AAGTTGGTAGGATGAGCAAAAATTAGGGAATCGGTGTCAGTATAAAGAAGGTTACACCCTGGAGTTCGGACGACTTTTTGCATTGCTCGGAGCAAATGAATTCGCGCTGCTGAAGTTGTCCATAAGGAGATGACCACATTGGAGCAATTGTGCTCCTCAATCCAATCTTTCTTTTTGATGTAAGAGATGAGCAAAATATCTGGGGTGAGTTCATCTAGGCCGGTGATTTCAATTGATTTGTCGTTGTAGTATTTGTGTAGCTCTGCTGGGTTGTCTGTAATTGCACATTGTGACAACCCAAAATTCCTCAAAGAGAATCTCCCCCATAAGTTGTTGAGCATCAACTTCGCTTGTGTGCGCCTTCCTTTATTTGGTCCCATCTTGCTCCTCTCTATATTAATTCCAAACTTTTCCTTGCACTCCTTGATGAACCTCTCCTCCTCCTCATAATTCCCCTTCATAGAGCTATCAAATCCTGAAGAATGAATTTTTGCTGCCATAAATTCAGAAATGTATGGAGCAAACAATTTGTCGTCGGAGCTGTCATATTGTAAAACTCTGAACACCTTGGTGACGATGTATCCTTCCTGAAGAGCTGCATTCAATTCGAGTGATGTGCATGTACTTACCCATCCACGTTGCTGGTCTGAATGAGGGCATGAGTAGTTTTCATTTACTCCTCCTTCAGGGTGCTCCCTTGCACATTGGGAGCAGAGAGGAAAGAGCAACCTCTCATCATCTTCTCCTACTTTCATTGGGAGCACAGGAATATCAATGCTCCTCGGAGGGATGACAAAGACTTTCAATATTGCCAATTTGTATATGTTGTCCTCCGGCTTGCTCCAGTGAACCTCTTCGTTGAGAATATGTACCTTCGGGTGCCCCACTGGATAATTTGTAGATACATTGATAAATGGGTACAAGGAGGTGACGTCATAGTATGATATTTTCTCTCCTTCTTTTGGTGAGTAGAAGAGTTGAAGTGGACCTGTACGTCCTCCAAAGAAGCATGCCCGTAGATCAATTGGGCCATCATCCAAGTACTTTTTGAAGGAGCTCCTCATCTCCCTGTCTTTTTCCATCATACTCCTAATTTCACACTCCCAGAAGACTTGCACTTTTACTCCTTGACTTTTGATGTACTCCATCCTCTTTGCATCCTTCTCCCGCTGCCTTGCTGCTGTCAATCCATTAGGGAGGATAGTGTTGTCTTCCGAGTAGCATCTCTCACAACCATGCCACACACAGCCATTCACCTCTATTCCTAATTGCTCCTCCTCAATCCATCCATCCAACTTGAAGTTACCAACCTTCTTCTCCCCTCCATCAGAATGAGCAGTTTGAATTTTCACTCCATGATCCTCCTCATACCATTTCATGAATTTGAGAGCAAGGCGGCTCTGATTATCAACATTATCGTAGCCTTTCTCCGGAACAAGAGCTAAATGGTTTTCCTTCAGATGATTTGTTCTAAAATGATTCATACATGCTGAGGCTATGGTCATTGATTCTCTTAAAACATCAATGCCTCCGTGAGCTTTTGAAGACGCTGCTCTCTGACAAGGAGCTCTCTTTGTAACATCCATAAATTCCCGTCTGAACGCAATAAGAGCAGCTAGTAGAATTTCCACATCATTTGTACAGTATGCTGCCAACTCCTCATCCAAGTAAAATGGGAGCTCCTTGTGCTGATCATACCATTTATTGAATTCTTTTCTCTTCTCTGGCATCATCCCATCTGCGAAGTAGTCAGAGGGGATGGGAAATATCTCTTTTCCATAATTTTTAGGCTGGTTGACGAGGTGTGGGAAAAAAGGCTTATCCTCCACCTTAAGAGCAAAAGCGGGGACAAGAGATGCCAAAGACATTGGCATCAGATTGAAGCTGTCCCTGAAGATCAACATACTCTTCTTTCCGACTTTGACTTTCATCTCATACATTTTATTCCCCCTCTTCAGCATTTCAGGAGTAAAACCCAGAAGAAACAGCTCTCTAAACACAATTACCATATCAAACCTCCCTCCGAAATGTGAAAAGGCGATTGTGTCGTAGTCTGTTGTTAATTCAATTATCCATTTGACAAATGAAATGATGGGATCCTCTGTAACTTTCTGTAGATCTACGGGAGTTTTGGAGAAGGGGCGCTCCGAGAAGGTTACAAGTCTGTTGCTCCCACAAACTTTGCACTGCTCCTGCTCCTCCTCAATGCATTTGGGGCATGTTACTCTCGCTGCTATGAAGTTTGCTTGATGTTTTCTTTTGTTGTTACCTGAGGAGACATGTTGCATGGTCTCCAGATCAAAAGCTACAAATCGGTAAGGCTTTTGCTCCTTGGGCTCCAAAGGCTTAATAAAACATCCGCGCTTAGGGTCATGGTATCCTGAGCAGGTTGAGCAATAGCGCTCATTGCATACATGCCCACTCCTTCCATTTTTACTATTTACTGCAGTGTCCCAAATCACTCCACATTTTTCGCACTTCTTGGAACGCCTGCAAACTTTCGAATTGTGGTGATCATTGAAGCAATCCTCGTTGTTAAAGCTTTTGGAGCACCCGGTACACTTTTTAAAAAAGTTGTTTCTAGGAGGGCACGGGTAAAGCGGACCAACACGTGAGCAATTTAAACAATGAGCACGACAGGATGCAGAATGACGGTGAGAACGTTCATACACAGTTTCACATTCCAAACAATAGGGTTGACCAAAGAGCCCTCCTGTACTCGTAACTCCATTGAAATGGGAGCCGTCGAAATATAGGAGCAATGGGGAATTATAATTGTCGGGGCCATATTTAAAACAAGGCTTATAATGCCCCAAACAATCAAAAATAAAAACTTTAAAACAAAACTGGCCTGAATACATTTCATTCCAGAAGTCGACAACAGGAGGAACCCACTCCTCAGCATCATATTCTTTTTGTCCAAAAGGAGCTCCAACATGTTCCATGAGCTCCATAGTTTCCTTCTCAAATCGTCCTCTTGACCCAAAACGACTATGAATGTAGTCGTAAAATTGAGAACGAGACATGTTGCCAGTGAGACGTACATGTGTTGCTAATAAAGAATAAAATAAGCAATAACCATCGTTGTTGTTGTTAATTTTGATTAAATTCTGCTCCTTGATACGGTGATGAATAGGAGCAAGTTTTCGAGGAGCTCCACCGATAAAGTTGTTTTGTTCGTTCAAATTCTTCTTATCTACAACCATAACATTAACTGAAAAGGGTTTTCCCCAAAGAGTAACTCCCGCCTGCTTCTTACTCTGAGAAACCTTATTAAATTGATTAAGCAGGACATTGAAGGTGTTTTGTGATGAGGGCCTAAGGGGTATCCATATATCAGAATCTAATAACTCACTTGTTACTGTGCAGCTCAGCTCCTCTGGTTCAAGTCCATTGTTCTTCGCGTTGTTCATAGCCTCGTTGAAGCAGTGTTCGAATATTCCAGATAATAAGGCCTCAGGGTCGGCCGGAATATTCTGAATAAGGAATTTCGAATAATTTTTGGTGATTTTGAATTTATCGATGAATTTTGTCGTATTTTCTAGTTGTTCAATATATTGTTGTAAATCAGTGCCTCCTCCTGATTGATTAATAGAGAGGAGGTTATCAATAAAGAACGCTCTTGCGCGTTTTGTTGGAGGAATATAGTCCATTATTGAAAAAAGAGCTCCTATATGAAAAGAGCTCCTATAAGAAAAGAGCAAAATTTTATGGGGAGCAAAGAGAGCTCCTATTGAAAATAAAGAAAAATGAGGAGCAAATTGAATTAATAATTAAAAATAGCAATTTAAATTATTTAGACTTTTTAAAAATGAAGCGAATGAGAAATAAATCTTGTTTTTATATGAAAGTTTTTGCCAAAACTTTTAGGATTAAATTATTGTGAAATACATATAGGCGGCATCATCAAAGAGGTTTCGATTGTGAAATCTAGGCAAAACAAAAGTTTTAATTTGCATAAATTTAAATGTCGGCAACATCAAAGAGAAAATAAAAATTTTAATTTTTAAAATATAGGCGGCATCTTCAAAGTGATTGTTTAATTTGCATAAATTTAAAATCTCGGCAACATCAAAGAGAAAATAAAAATTTTAATTTTTAAAATATAGGCGGCATCTTCAAAGTGGTTGTTTAATTTGCATAAATTTAAAATCTCGGCAACATCAAAGAGAAAATTTTAAAAAATTTTGAAATTTAATAAAGGATTAAGGTCAAATTTTAATTAGGTCAAGGTCAATTATATTTCTGAAAACTCTGTTTAAAAACAAATGTCAAATTTTGGGGAGGAAAGGAAACTAGGGATTGGGGATTGAAAATAAAGAATTTTAATTTTTATAAATTATCAGCTATCACTTTAATTAACGTAATCACTAACAAATCATCATTAAATATACAAAATATAATAATCACCGCGAACTGTATGGTAATCACTTTACGTAACATCTAGAGTAATCACTTGACTCAGTAACATCTAGGGTAATCAGGTGATAATTGGTACATGTTTACAAAGGTGTAATCTAGTAACGTACATGGATCATCACCCTCAACAGTGAAGGATTGAAATTACTCATTCTCCACCGATTAATCACTCACCCGTTTGGTTTAACATAATTTTATTGCCACCCGGATGTTTTACAAATTACACACTCTCAATGATTTTTCTCACTCCTCGTTTTGGGTGAACACTTCTCTCTATTTTACCAATCCTCCCTCGCGACAGTGCCTACTCCCTTTGATCTTTGCCGACCCCTCTCCCATTTGTCGGACCCCTCCTCCCCCACGACAGTGTCCACTCCTCTTTGATCTTTGCCGCGACATGCCCTCTCCCTTTTGGTTTTGTCGGACCCCTCCTCCCCCACGACAGTGTCCACTCCTCTTTGATCTTTGCCGCGGCATGCTCTCTCCCTTTTGGTTTTGTCGGACCCCTCCACCACTTGACGGGGATTAGCTTAGTGACAGCCACGACGGTGACCGGTGACTAACTACTGTAGTGGTTAATATCCCTGACTCATACTTGCTAGGTGACCAAGGTTCGATACCTCACCATTCAAAAATGGGATGGCAATCAAGTTTTTTGCTAGGGATTGCCTTGCCAAATTTTTAAAAGTGCCGCAAGGCGGAAAAATCCACCTACACCCCCTACCTTTCCCCCATGTTTTGTAATCAATCAAAATGTAATCAAATTGAGAAAAAACTTTTATTTTGTAACCAAATTTGGGTTGTGTAGTAAATGAATCATCAAATGGCAGAAGAAAAAATTTTTTTAAGTAATAAAATGTTAATAAATATTAGATTAAGAAAAGCGCCAGAAAAATTTTTGTAAGTAAAAAAATATTTTGTTAGATGAAAATTTTTTTGCGAGGATTAGAACGTTTTAGAATAGCTCCGACTTTAGCGAGCATTTTTTTGTTTTTCGATTAATTCCCATATGTTGAACAGTAAAATCGTTATTATTCTAGAACGTCCCTCTTCCACATTTTTTAGACTTGACTCGACAAAAAAATGTCAAAAAAAATATGTACATCAGAGATCCTGCCAACATAAAAAAATCAATCCCGATTTTGGGAATAGGGAATTTCCGAGAAAATATTAATTAATAATTTCGGAAATCGGGAATCCCCGCCCTAAAAAACGTCGGAAATTTCCTATTTTCGGGAAATGATATGGCAGGATCGCTGCTGTGTATACCAGGGATGTCACAGGTCGAGAAAAAAGTTGGGCTGGTTTCGAATCTTCAAAATTTTCTTCGGATCGGTTTTCGGGTCGAGAACAAGCCCGTGTTTCGGTAACCCGGACATCCCTAGTAACACTAGAGTAACACTCAAAAATCAAGCAAAAATATATTTTTGTGATACTCTAATATAGAAGCAAAAACATTTTTGAATCATAGAAAAAAATTTTAGAAAAGAAAAATTTTTGGAGGTACTTTTAAATTGAAAAGAGAAAGGCAAAAAATTAAGTATTGAAAATTAGGCAATTTTTATACAAAATTTGGCATTTTTAGTCTCAGCTTTTTTCGCGTTTTTTAAACTAGAAAATTGACGGAATTTAAAAAAATTTGTGGATTAAAAAATTCCGACAAATAATCTAGATTAGAGAGAAAGATTCAAAAAAACATAAAATAGAGAAAAAATAAGAAAACAAATGAAAATCCCTGAAGAAACCTTAAAATCTGTTCAAAAGCGCTGCCGTGGTTTAGTGGTTAACACGCCTGACTTGTATTTTTTAAGATAATCCAGATTCGATACCTGGCGGAAGTTAAACAGTTTTTGAATAACACTTAAAAAATTAGGTGTCATCCTTTAAAGATGGGGAACTGCCAATTTTATAAGGCCCCCCCTTTCAATAAACGGACCCCTAAAATATTTGCGATTGTATGATAGCGACCAAATAATTTCTTTATTTTTCACAAATAACAGATATGAAGATCAAAAAAGGTCTAACATAGATAATGTGTTTTTGGGAAGAAATAAATAAAAATAAAATGATGAAATGCTTTCTAAATACCAAAAAATAAAATAAAAGGGGAAAGAAAGATTTTTAAACATAAATAAACTCAAATATTTAATGAGAGATTTTTAAGTAAAAGGTTTTTTAAGAGAAATATATTCATTGGTGAAAATTTTCTAAAAATAAAAAAATTTTTGAATTCCAAAAAATTTTCCAAAAATTTGCAAACCAATTCCAGTCTATGTGTTCCATGAGTATTTTTCAAAAATTTCTAATGCTTCATGGAAAGCATAAACTCGAAAATAATTAAAAATAATTTCTCAATATAGAAAATTTTCAAAAAAAAATCCGAATAATTTTAAAAATTTTCAATTAATTTTTAAAGAAAGGCTTTAATAATTTTTAAAATTCATCTTCACTATTGAAGACTTGCTCAAATTGTTGAGGTGTTGTTGATTTTATAATTGTTGGTGTTGGAGTAGTTGCTTTAATTTTTGGGGAAATTGTTTTTGAAGTTGAAATAGTTGCTGTCTTTTTATTTATTAAATTATTAAAATATTCATTCCAAACAAATTCTGATACTTTTTTGAATTTAATCCAAACTTCTCTTTTTTAAATATTTTAATTATATTAAATAATTTTATTTAACTAAAAAAGTTGCGCAAATTTTATCCAAAAATAGCACAATTTACTGTGAGAGATTCGAACCTCCACTTATTTCTATTAGAAATCCAAAAAATATCCCCCATTACACCAAAAAGTACAAATTTATCAGGAAATAACCAATTTTATTTATTTCAACATTTACGAATTATTTTCCCCACGAGGGATTCGAACCTCTGTCCTAGTTATTATAAATCCAAAAAGTATCCCACTACACTAAGATGTGAATTTTTTCTTAGTTAGTGCTTTATACCAAAGCAGGTTTAATCTGCTGCTTTTTTCCTGTAAAGTAAAAAAACGTCAGGAAGAATAACAAATTTCTGAAAAAAAACTTGCGGACAGAATTTGCGGACTTTTTTATATAATTTTTTTAATTAAAAACAATTAAAGAAAAAAGAGGTTTATTTAAACCACACCTCTTTCTTCTTTTTGTAATCACCCAAATATGTGTCGCTGTTGCTCGTATTGCTCTTTAACAAATTCAACAAATTGTTTATTTAATTGAATTAATTGATTGTTGAATTTATAGAATATTCCAATTAATAAAAGAAGGAAAAATAAAATGAATAGTAAACGCCAATTAGCTTTGGCTTTATTGAAAATTGAAAATGTTGACTGAAAATTGAGAAATATTTAAAATTGTGGGGGGAATCGTGTGAATGCTAAAAATGCTCCGATCCGTTCTTCGGGGAATTTTATTCGGAGGAATGGAATCGATTCAAATAAAAAATAAAACCTTTTTAACACAATTTCCAAATTTTCCCAATTGTCGACAGACTGCACTATTCTTTAACTGCTCATAATATGTCCCCCTTCTTTTCAAAGTTTTTCTTGCCTGCGGTGAATGTGTAATTCCTCTTTGATTATTATTTGCTAATGCAGCAGCAGTACGTGAACGAAGTAATGGTGGGGAAATTGAACCACGCAAGGCAAATGGAAGTGGAGAAGCTGTAGCCGGACGAGCTGCTCCTTTAAAAATAGTGGGTATTTGTGAGTTATTCTCATAATGGTCAAATCCTTTCTATTGAACAGAGGGCCCTGAAAAAGCCCTGGAAACTCAATAAATGTTTGGGCTCTGGACCCACAAACACCAAAAAATTTTCTTTCAAAAATTTTTACAAACCTCTGGTTGCCGTTAAAGTAGTTGTTTTAATTGTAGTCGAGCTACTATACGATTGTTGTGGAGGGCTCGGACGACTAAAAGTCTTTTCTTTTTTCTTGTTTGCACTCACAGCTGGCGGAGCAGTATTCACCTTTAAAGGAAATTTTAAATTTGCGGACAATGAAATTAAAAAATGTTTGTGGGGTCTTGGTCAGACCCAAGCTAAGTGGGCAGCTTGGTATACGGGCCTGGTCTGGATAATGGAAACTTGCAAAAATAAGATATACCCAAAAACCCCCACCAATTCTTAATTTTCATTAATCATTTTAAAGATTTAAAACCTTTCGAGTTCGTGAAGTTGAACGAGTTTTGCGTGCCTTTTCTTTAGGAATTGATTTTTGTGGAGACTTTGACTTGCGCGATGGTGGTGATGAAAGCTTCTTCTTCTGCTGCTGTGTTGGAGGAGAAAATTTTTGTATTGTTGGCTTTGCCTTCCTACTCGCGCTTGTTGAACGCGAACTACGCTTCACTGGCCGACCACGAGAAGTTGATCTTGCACTTGGCTTAAATGGGAGTATTTTACTCTATAATAGTTAAAGACTTCAACTTAACTCTCGTCAAGATTAGGCGTTCAATCACCCCTTTGTGCGTCCAAATCAATTTTGGGCACATAAGGGGGTTAATTGGAGGGAGCAGGTTAACGTACCGTGAGCCCAACGAACCTCCGAGCTACAATTTCGTTCAAAATTATCGAATCGGGATGCCCTGGTATAGTTCAATGCGCCTCGACGTGCTGAATCGGACCATACCTGGACTTCCCGGATTCGATAATTTTAAACGGTTATAGCTCGGCGGTTCGTTGGGCTCGCGGTATGTACACTTAATTGGACTTATAAGGGTGTGTTTGGACACCTAATCTGTACAAGAGGAGCCATTTACTTACCATTTATATAAAATAATAGCAACAAAAAGCTTGTTGTTGTAAAAAATACTTGAAAAATAAATTTAAATATTTTTAGCTAAATTTAATTTAAATATTTAAGGGGATTAAACAAAAAAAAAATAATTAAAAAAAAAAAGAAGCTAAAAACAAGATTTTATTAACACAATAAAGTCGCTTGGCTTCACTTTTTAGCTAGCTAACAATAAAAAAGAGAAGAATGGTCAGCGGCGTTAATACAGTTAAAGGAGAAAAAATTGTGAAATGAATGTCAATAGAGTAAACCCCAAATAGTGGACATTAGGAGAAAATTAAGAGAACACCAAAGTAGTGGAGAGCAAAATTATTAACGCTCGAATGTCGGTTGCGGGTCAGTTGAGTCCTGGAATTTTATGACGAACTGATGAGTCCCACAACTTAAGGACATATCAATTAAGTACACTAATTGAGTGTAAACAGTCAAAAATGGTATATATTTTTTATCGGAAGTAATTATAGAATATATTTTAGAATATTTTTACAACACTAATTTTAGGGATCGGATTTTTAGGTTATAAATAGGGTTGCCAAAATGGACCGAAAAATCTATTTTGACATTTTATACATATTTAAGTACCTATTTTAAGGTTTTTACAACCTAAAAACCCGATCATATAAATCTATTAATTAAAAATTATTTTTTTTATTTATTATTTTCTATTTAATCCTTTTTTCCAATTTTTTCTGACGTCGGTACAAGCAATGGATTATCAACAAAATCATCTCCATTAACCCAAATAAAGCCCATAAATAAAATAAATATTACAAACCAAAAGAATGAAGCACTTATATTATCTAAAAATTTTTTCTCGTTAAATTTCCACAAAAAATCTTCTTTTTTTTTAAATAAAACCTGAGATCAAAATACACAAAAGTGTCATAGCCACAGAAAATATTGCTCCAGCAATTGCCGCTCCGTTACTGTCAAAATTAATTATTGAATGATCTGCTCTCTCAGGTAAACTATTTCTATCGACTGTATAGTTGAGCAAAAATAAATTTAGGGCATCCTTTTTAAAAAATGAATTTTTTTAAATTAAAAAATGAGAGATAGGAGATAGGCTTCTGAGAAATTTTGAGAAAAACTTATCATGGTGTAGTGGTCTATGATTAGGATACCCAGACTCGATGCCTGCTGGCGATTATTAGGTTGCTCAAATGCCCGGAGAGGGAAGGAAACCAGATTTTGCTTTTACCTAAACCCCCGAGGCAGCGGAATTTTAAACCAAAAAATCCTCCCACTAAAAAATAAAAGAATTTTTCAAACCTGTCTATAACCATCCGTAAAATTATTTTTAAAATAACGAGTCAAAGAATTGTTCAAATCATTAACCATTCCACCAAAAGTTCGTTTTCCAACGCGTGTATAATCAGTCTAAAAATTAATTTAATTTTTTTTTAAATTAAAACCTTTAAAGCCCCAGTTCCAGCATATTGTTTACTACAAATATCACCATTATCTGCCCATACTTTAAAAATAGATAAAAATTAAAAAACGCCGAAAAGGAAAACCAACAATTTTTAAACGTATAAACAAATTCTGGCCAAGCATCAAAATTAAAAACTGATTCATTTATAATACCAAAATATTGAAGTTGAAAACTTTAAAAGAGAAAAAAATTTTTGCGGACAAATTTACGGCATGCAGAAAATTATAGTTTGATTTTTTATAAGTTTACCATCCTCTTTGATGTTGAAAATACAAACGAGGGTGTGATTGTTAGGCATGTCCCTTCACCCAATGGCTATCCAAATTTTAAAAAATTAAAAATTGGGGGAGTATCTAATTTTGTGGGTATTTTAAAAGTGTAAACTCCCGAGTCTCCTAAAAACATTTTTTTATTTACCGAAGTGACTCGATCCCAATTAATGCTTGAACAACATTTGTACGATCCAAACAACTAAATAAATAAATTTAAAAAACTAAAAAGAAACAAACTCCATGCAATTTGTACGTATAAAACCATTTTGATATTGCCTATTTTCTGGATTAGCCTCAATCCAAAAATCACCTTGTATTGATAAATGAGTTGAGAAAAATCTTTAAAAAATTAAAATTATTTAATTTGGAAGGATAGTCAAAAGTATTAATTTTGCGGACATTTTTTCTCTGCAAATATCAGTCCGCAAATACACAACCTCCCCTATCTACATTAATCAACTTATAAAAATTTACCCAAATTGTCGAATATCAGGCATAATTTCTTCTTTTAAATAAGATAATCTTTTCCAGTTTAACGACTGACAATGCCGATGAAAGTCAAATGCAATATATTTTACACTCGGAATTCTTATTTTTTCGACAACTGAACGAAATTGTGAGCCAACATTCTTCTCTCTTCCATATTGATTTAAAAGGCTTAGAAGAAGCTTAAAAAGGATTATTTAAAAAATTTTACGGGCAAAAATTTTTGCGGACTTTTTTTATACAAGAAAATGCTCTTGAAACCGGCATCGATAAACCCATAGAGATTTTGGCTAGAACAAACCCCTCTTGCCAACATGAAAAAAAGTCTTACAGAAAATCAAAATTTTTACAATTTTTCTAGGATTTCCAGTCAAAGCATCTCTCCCATAACAATCCAATAAATTATTCAAATGTTGTTTAAAACAATTAAATTGTTCATCAGCGCTAGATTTCAAACTTGGTGTCGGTTGCCATTTAAGATTTGGTTTTTGAGTCCAATAAAGTGGAATTGAACCTCGAATCTAATTTTTTAAAAAATTCAGAATTTATATTACACTTTTAGGTAGTTCAGGTTCGATACCTGGTGGTAGTTATTGGGAGTTTTGGCCTTCTTTTAAATCTTTTAAAACTAGGGGCAAAAAATTTAATAAAAAAACAAACTTGAATAAAGGAAGCAATATGCCTAGAAGTAACCACTTTTTTATTATTAGTAGAAGAACTAGAAGACTTCCCTCCAACATCAAATTCTATTAATTGTTCAGTTTCCACAAAATTTGCACAATTTCCTTCTGAATCAGCACCACGAGTGTGAAAACGAACTCCAGGCCTTTAAAACCAAATTTTTTTTTAAAATTCTTTCTAATTAAAAAGAAACCTGTAAACTGATCTCCTAGAAATTAATGCCAAATTAAATGATAAATTGTTTACACGACAACGACGTATTCCAACAAATCCGTGAATTAGAGGTTGAATAAACTTGGAGAACTATTTAGAAAAAATATTAATTGTTATGTAAAATTAAAAGAATATAAAGTTTTTATCAGCGGAAATAACTTTTAAAACCTTTGGGATCGAATGTCATCTTTCCAAAAAAATTTATTTAAAAATAATTAGTTTAACTGTTACGGGATCCCTTGAAGAAATTCTACATTCTCAGAAGATGAAATTCAAGTAAAAAATTATACAAAAAACCTCAACAGTATCAAATTTTTCACTCAATTTTGCATTCCAAACAAATTTCTTATCAATTTTTTGAAGTAAAGGTAATGAATGTAATTCTGGAGAAGCATTTTCACTTAACCATTGAAATGAACGTGAAATATCCATTCCAATTGAATAATAAAAATTTTCGGTAGAAAGAACATTTTTTAACATTTCAACAAAATTTTGATTAATTCTTCTCTAAAAAATAATAAAAAGGTTTTTTTGAAGTTATGGAAAAAGAAAGCAAGTGAAAGGTAAAAGTTTAGTCCAGAGCAAGCATCGAACCTGCGACCTCTTCTAGCAGTTAATGCTGGAGCTCTCGCTCACTTTAAAGGAGTGACAGAGCTCTCTTGGCGTTAGTCTAGAGTCATGAAAAATTCTTCCGAAATTAGATAGCTCTACAAAATTGCCCGAGACAAATTTCAGGTCAAAAGTCCTGGCTCCGGAAATCACATAATCCATACTTTCACTAACACCGGGGTTTCAATTTCAATAGGTTTCGAGGTTCTCGACAATTTTGTTTAAAAAAATACCCTTCTCCCCAAGAAAAATACAAAAAAACATTTTTTAAAATTAACAAACCTCCCTTTCAGAAAGATGCAAATTCGAAGATTTGAATGGAACCAATTCGGCTTCCACAACTTTGAAAATCTCAGCATCATTGAACATACCAACACTTGTTGCCGATTTTATAAAAATTAAATATGGGCCAGAAACTAATTCAACAATTCCAACAAGTCCATTAATACGCTCAACTTTAATTGCTTGATGACTAGATTGAAGTGGCTGTTGTCTACTTGTTATTTCTAATTTTGAAATAAAAAAGTTGAGAAAAAAGCTTTTTTAAATAGGCTAGTATTAATCCTGCCGCAATGCATCCTGCGACTTCAAGAAAGAGTTAGAGACCTTCTTCCTTACAGATATAAAAATGTTTGAAGGTCCCATTTATGCCTAAATTTAACTCATTGTCAGCTCAATAACCGCTTTCTAATGAGCTAAAATCTGCATATTCGAATTTTTCGATCAAAAAATAAGCCTATGGTTTTCCAATTTTCAATAAACTCACTCAAATTAACGTCGTTTGAATATCGATCAATCTCTAATGATCCTTCACCAAGCACTGGCTCAACAACAAATTTGTCAGGAAACTGGTAACTTAAAATTTTTAAAATTAATTTTAAAATTAAAAAAAATCCAACAGATTAAATTGTCCTGGTGCATGATCTATCGCTATTCTATCCATTTTTCTAAAGAAAAAATAAAATTATGTTGAATAAAAAACAAAAATATTAAAAGATGTAGAATCTAAATACAAACTTCGAAAAATTATTTTTTTTATAAATTAAAAACAACATTTAATATTTAGAATAAAATACATTTAAACACCAAAATAATAACAGAAAATTAAAATAAAAGATTTGGGACGAGTCCAAAATTGAAAGAAAACAAGGCGCAGTTCAACCCATTCCAACTTGATAGCGAGGGATTGACCATTTTCGGAATAAAATGAAGTATTGACTCAAAAACAAATATAAACTAGAGACCGGAATTTGAAAAAAAACCGGGACGGGAAATTGTTGCAAAAGAAACCCGGCCGGGACCCGGACACCGGGGATTCCCGATCCGGTTTCATCCCGGCATCTGCAAAAAAGCCGGTAAAAAGGACCGGGAAAACGGGAAAGGATCCCGTTCCGGTCTCTAATAAAAACAATTAAATATAAGATTAGAGTCTGAAAGAAAGGAAAATTTATTTTTGGAGTATTTCGCCTTAAACGGACAGAAATTTTTTGCGGATTAAGAAACTCCGGTTTTGTAGCATTTAATCTATTCTTCCAATTAGTTGTAGCTACTGAAAAATTGTCTATTTAATGAAATTTTTTTGCAAAAAAATTAAAAATATTTGCGGACATAAATTTTTTGCGGACACTAATAAAATTAGACATTTGCAGAAAGCTTTTGATTTTTGACAGAGCTATCACAAAATAATTATTAAAAACGTTAATTAATAATATAGGGTACACATTACTCTCCAATTTATTTATTTCAATTTGAAAAAGCTTCTCCGCAAAAAATGTCCGCAAAAATGTCAATAAAGCCTTTTAGTTTCAAAAATTATTTTATTTACTTACCATTATTTTTTTATTATTTCGAATAGGCTCAAAATAAAATGCATCTAATTGTTCAACAAGAAAAGCTTTCAAATCGGCAGGATGTAAATTTAATGATAAAAACAAAGATTCAAGTTCTTGATAATTTTTAACAATTAAATTACCCCCATTTTCTGGTGATCTTTTAATTGTTAGCTCTGAAAAATTAAAAAAAAATTTTAAAAGAGGCTGAGAACCAAAAAAACCACCTTATTTTTTGTTTTTAATTAAAAAAAGAACCTTTAAATTCTGCTCCACCCCCACCAATATTTTTTTCCTTCCATTTCAAATATTCAGCAAAAGGAAAAACAATTTTTCTACACAATTCTAAAGCAACATTCTTATCCAAATTTCCTGGTTCACAAAAAGATTTTCCAATTTTTTGTCGAATTTTTTTCAACCCATCGTTTATATTTAAATGAAAATCTGGCTTTGTAGCACTCATTCTAAGGCCATCTGTTCCAATTATTTCTGGCTAATTAAAAAATTTTTTATTTAATTAAATACAAAAAAATGTAGTGGGGAGGGGGTGGGAATTAGGTTTGAGAAGGTAACAGAGAAATTGAAAATGCCTGGTGCTTACTTTTTGAAAAACTTTTGTGTTTTCAACACCTAACACTCTTGACAATTACCCTAAAAGCTGTTTTTGTTCCAATTTCTTCGGTTTTATCTGCAATATTTACTAAAAACAAACCAAAATAAGAAAAGCCGGCATGTTTGTGTCCTCTCGTTTTAATTCTTTATTAATCTAAATAATTTCTTTTTTCAAAAAAAATTAAAAAAAAAAAGAAAACCTTTAAAGCTAAATCTGCAAATTCTTTTTGATTTGGACCAATTAAAACCTAAAAATTAAATTAAAAAGTTTTTACTTACAATTATGTTGAAACATAAATAATTAGCCCCCTAGTTAAAAATTCATTTATTACTTAACCGATTTATCTAATTTCTTTTTTTTATCAATTAAGATGTTAGTTATGTTTGTAGAAGTTCTTTGATTCTTATTTTTTGCCAGAAAATAGACAATCACAAAAAAATAGGCAATCACCAGAAAATAGGCAATCTTACAATCACAAAAAATATAATTAACCTTGTTGAATTTTAGTTGTCTCAAGGGGGGGAGCTATTTATTTATGTTTCAACCTATTTCTCTTTACAATGTCATAATTTCCATAAAATATATCCAAAGCAAAATATATTGGACAAAGATGACATCCAACAGTATTTGCTTCCGAAATTAGTGACGTTTGATCCCTTGTTACAACACTGACAGCCTGATACATTTTTAGAGTAAAATCACTATAAATAACGGATTCTTTTAAATTTTAAGAAAAAGGAGGGGACAAAAGAGAGGTAAAAAGTGGTACTTTTTTGTTATACTGTACTTGACTTAAAATTATAGCTTTTTGAAATTCTTGTTGGATGAAGAAAAAAGCGGCCGAAAACTCATCCCAGAAAATGCTTATTTGCTAGGCTGGGGGAAAAAAATTTCAAAGGCCTTACAATAGAAGGTAAATTTAATAAGAAATTATGCTGTAAAATATAGACAATCAGGCAATAATTAGACTGACTGGTTTTTGACTAATTTTGAGTTTAAAAGAATGGATGTGGAAACTCCAAAAATTAACTCAAAAAGTCCCCAAAACCCCCCAAAAAATAAATAAACCTTTCAAATTCATAATCACTGGATAAACAAATAGACACATTTTCCATTTCCAAAAGATTTAAAAGTTGTTTTAATATCTTCAAATGATTTTCTGTTCGTTTCTACAAAATTATTTAAATTTAAAAAAAATTAAAAAAAAAACCTTCAAATCCTGCCAAGGACATTTTAATTTATCCAAAAAAGCATCCAAATCAGAAATTAAAATTGTACATTGAAAACCTTTTTGACAAAAAATTTTCAATTGAACAAGAGAATAAATATGTGCTAAAGTAAAATTTCCTTTTGGTGAACATCTCCACAAAATTTTTAAAGGACATGATTGCTCTACTGATGAATCCATGTTAAATATTAAAGAAGATTGAGTAATATTTTTTGACGGAATAAACTTTAAAAAAAGTGAAAGGTGTTTAAGAAAAATGCTTGAGAAAAAAATCCGCAAACTTTTTCAGGTAAATTTAAAATTAAAAATACATAAAACTCAGAATTTTACGAAGACTAAAAAAATATGAAAATAAAATTAGCAGGAAAGGAGACGGGGGTTTGAATAAAAAAGTTGACAAATATTTATTTCAGCTAAGGCGAAAATTAAACAATCCCCATCAACCTAAGTTTATATTAAACAAAAGCAAAAAATTGCGGACAAAAAATCAATAAAATATTTAAAAAAAACCTCAAATTTATCACCAAAAGTACCAAAATCAGAAATAATTTTTTCTTCCATTTTATTTACACAAAGTTTACTAAAATCATCATTATTAACAAAAACCTTTGGGTAAGCTTTAGAAAGTATTTCTTTAAATTCTGGAGTATTAAAACAATTTTCTTGTACTTAAAGAAATTCAATTAATTTTGAAAAAATTAATTTTTAACAAAAAACCTTTTGCAAGAATTCCATTCAAAAATTGTTTAAGATAATTTTTGAGTTCATTTTCTTTAATTAATTCTTCTTTAAATGCTTTTTGAAGACTCGGAAAATCACAAAATTGTTGGTTATTCATTATAATACTCTAAAAAATAATTTTTTCTCAATTTAAAATACTCAACAAACCCCTCCAATAATTGGAAAAACAACATGCTGATAAAATGCTAGAACCCCATTGTCAATACCAGATTCAATTGATGGACAATTTGCTGAATCAATTTTTGTACTAACAACATCAGGATCATCAAGTAAATCTATTTTTGAATATTCTTCAGAACTTTAAAAAAATAAAACTTGTATGAAGTATAAAATTATAAAAAAACCTGCTCATTTTTGAGCCTGTCAAGCCCGGAACCATTGGATTCATCAAATGAAAACGTTTCCCTAATTTAATTCTTGGTAATTGTTCCTCAGCCAAAATAAATATTTTTCTTTGATCTAATCCTCCAAATTGTCCATCAACTTTTAAATATTGTTCATCTAATGCCTGAAGTAAAGGGTACAAAATGCCACTAAGCAAAGGATCATCCATTTGTTTTATAACTTCAGCGCCAGCCCTAACTGCATCTCGAAGGCTAACTAAAGAGGATAACCGTAACAAGTCTTTTGTGTAAGGCCTGAAAAAAATAAGGAGAAAAATGGGTACTTTGTTTAAATCCTGCACCTCTCCCCATTTGAGGTTTTACCTTTATTGACAGTCATTTAATTAACTCGAAAATAAGTGAAAGTTATGTTAATTGAGCAAAAATTAGGAAGAAAAAATAGACGGCAAGGGCAAAAATCAACACTTATAAAAAGGAAAAATGACCATTTCGAGACAGAAAATTAAATAAAATAAATTTGACTCAAATAAGGATAGGGGCGGGTTCGATATTAAATAAGAACATAGAAAATTAAAAAAAACTAACTCAGACAATTGATAAGATTGACCACGTACAAAATGTAACTTTTCTAAAGGAACATTTAAAGCGGTCATTAAAGCTTTAATCACATATTCATAATAAAGTAAACGATTCTCCAACAATTCAAAATTACTTTTTAAATTATCGAGAGATGCATGAAGATCAGCAAAAAGAATAGTGACCTTAAAATACATAATTAATTGTGTGAATAAATAACCATGGAAGGAATCGAATCTCGTATAAAAAAGTGAAAGACAAGTGCTAATCATTATAACACCACGACATTGAGTTGGATAGATCCTCAATTTCATAGGTTTAAGTGTTCAAAAAAATTGAGGGAAAACTTTCAATTGCTTAAAAGCTGGCCCATAAGTGGAATTAAAAAAAATTTTTCACAAAAAAGTTTTCAGAAAAATTTCAAAAAATTATTTTCACCTACCTTAATATCAGCTCTCAAAAAATCAGCAATCTTTTGAATTGGTACAAAATAGCCAACATGTGGCCTTCCTGTTGTTGCAGTTCCCCAATAAACATGTATATTTTTCCCTGTTATTATTTGTTTAACCAATTTATCCTCCCCCAAAATTTCTTGTAAATTTCTTGTTATTAGGTATTTTCGTTCCTTTTGTTTTTCATTTAATTCTTCTTGCTTATTTTCATTTTTTTGTTTAATATTATTATTTTTGTTGCTGTTGTTGATTTCTTCCTCCATTTTTTAAATTTAACTTTTTTAAACTGAAGGGGAAAACTAAATTTAGGGTTGTTGGCGACCGGTTATTAACCGGTAACCACGGTATTCGGTTATCACCGGTTTACGCCCCCCGGTTTTTCGGTTAACCGAAAAACCGGTCGGTTTAGGCCACCGGTTTTCGGTTATCACCGGTATTTGACCCCGCAGTTTTCGGTTTCTGGCCAAAACACCGGGTTTCGGTTTTGCTTCAATTAACCGACCGCCAACAACCCTTTCAAAACAAAAAAAGTGTTAAATTGATTTTTTCTTTTTGTAAAATTTCTTAAGAAATGACTAATCCAAGAAAATGTCAAATTCAACCCCCAGCCCCTCTCCCTTCTACTCCCACTCGCAAAAAACCATTGGCCTTGAAAGAAATTGAGAGGAAACTGGGCCTGAAAATGTGTCTGGGAGGCACCGCCCCATAACGGGAAATTCACATTTTTTCAACTTTTTTATGGGACTCTCCAAAATCCGTGCCTACTTCTAATTTTTGTAAAATAAAAATTAAAAAATATTTTTTTTCGGTTAAAAAATAACCAATAAAATTATTTTTAATAAAAATAACCAATAAATTTTTTAATTTTAATAAAAAATTTCTTTTAAATAAATTACTAGTAAATAAAAATAAAATATTTTTTTAAATAGAATCTTCCCTTATACTTCTTCTCCTTTTGTTTTTCACTTCAGAATTTATTGAAAGCTTTCTTGTTCTATGATGTTTATAATGATGAGATTTGTCTTCTTCTTCATTGTCATCCCTTCTTTCTGGACTAGAAACAACTATATCTATCACAGATTTTAATGTTCCAGAAATTGGACAAATATTATTAGATTCGTCTTTCTTAAAAATAAAATTATTTTATTAAGTGTAAGTATGGATTTTTCAAAAACCGAAAGTTTAAAAATCTTTTTGTAATATGACCGAAAGGCCTTCAGAATTAAAATCTATCAAGGATTCTGTTCTCCTGAGGGTCCCATTTTTTACAGTCAAAAAACTTTTTTACGGACTTTTCCACAATTCCTCATTGGACTTTTATTTAAATATTATGATACATCTTTAAAAAATTTTCAATTTTAAAAAGGAACTGACAGAGGAGATCGTCAGATTTTTATTACACGAATTTGTCCAAGAAAAAATAAGGGGGAAAGTTCGTAAAAAACGCCCTATGTAATTTTCGGACAACAAAATTTTGCGGACTCTTGCCCACTTTCTCCAGGGGCGGTCTTCAACTTAATATCCTCAATATATTTCGAATACCCTCAAATAAAAAAATTAAAACTTAAACAAACCATTTTACTAATATCATTGCTACAACTAGTTTCATTCGTTGTCGTTGTACAAAAATATTCACTTTTTGCCAACAAATCAATTCTTTCATTTAAAATAATAAAATCTTTATTCATTTTCTTCAAAAAATCATAAACTTCGCTGGTTAAATTTTTATATATTTCATGTTCAGAATTTGTAATTTCTTTATTAATAAAATCACTAGAAATTGCATGTTCCAATCTTTCATAACGCCTTTGAAGCAATTCATAAGACATAAAACGTGAAGACGACGTTGACTTGAAAATTAGTTTTTAAATTAAAAAGCCTTTTTTCGGATCACAAAAAATTTTCTTTTCTCGAAAATAATAAGCGCACCAATTAAGTCCCCAAGACTAACACACTAACACCGGGCTAAAGTCAGTCATATAAACAAAATAATAACCGACTAAAGATAATATGTATTTCTTTTAAGTCTATTTTTGTATCCAAAGCAGGTTATTTTCACAAAGGAATTACAAAATTCAATCCCCCATTCAAAGAAAAAAAAGAAAAACCTCATCCAAACATTCAATATCATCATCATCCTCGTCGGGTAATTTAGCATTAATAGCTTCTTTAACCATTTGATCAGCTTGGTCTTTTTTCAATAAATCATAATTGTGAGGTAATGGTGGGGCTGGGACACCGACTGGATATAAATTACAAGTACGACAATTTTTGTTATGTGGAAGTCCTCCAATTTTAGAAGTTCCAACACCTTGTGGAATTATATTGTCAAACCGTCCCCTTTAAAAAATAAGAAAAATAAAATGTAAATTAATTTAAAAGTCCGCAAATTTTATCTACAATTGTGGATAAAATTAAACAACCCCATCGTAAAGTATTTCACAGGGGTAACCGTCCGATTTGATAGGCAGTCGGAAGTCTCTGATTCGAATTTAGTGAACAATAACTGATTTATTTCCGAGGTTTTTTAATATTAAAATTGTAAAATATACTAATCTAGTAACTTGCAAACAAAAGTTGCGGACTTTCTTGAAAACAAGAAAAGAGCTAAAAACTAAAAAAAACAAACCATCTCATAGGAACAGTTTCAGTATAATATATTTCAACCCAAACCTTTTTGTTTACAAAAAAATTTAATGGAGATTGAGAATTTGAAGTATGTTGAAGAAGCAAAAACTGATTGTCAAATGGGTCTAATGGAAGAAGTTTATCCTTAGAAAATCTTTAAAAAAGAAATTTTCTAAAATTATTCATAAAATTTCATACTTATCAACTTCAGAATCTTTAAATGCAACAACAACAGTAACATAATGAGGAACTCGATTACAATAAAAATCAGCAAAATATAAATTTACACGTTGAGGATCAAGTAAATTATGTGCGGGCAAAACCTTTAAAAATAAAAAATTTTTTTTAGTTTTAAATAAGTTTGAAAGGAAAATTGCAAAAAAAAAAATGCTTAACAATTTAATTAATTGACAATTAGATAAATGTTCGGATAGAATAACTAGGCGTTTATTAACTGGGCTTTTTAAGAAGGAAAAAGCTTCTATTGAGAATGGGCTTCTATTAGAATATTTAGGGTAATCAAAAATATATACCATTCTAACATCTCCAAATGGTGAAGAATTAGGCAAAGAACCATCAGGATTAGTTTTAGCAGAAAAGAAAAGTCCTATTTTAAATAAAAATTAAAAATATTTAAATAAAAAAACCTTCAATATTTTGATTTAAAGGACAAGCTGCCTGCCCATTACTATCCTTCAAATAAGGATTTAATACTTGCCCCATTTCATAAACATAATCCCAATAAATTCTTGGTTTACAACGATAAAGAAAAGTAAAAGATTGCATTGATGTTCCAGTAAAATCAATTGCTTTTTGCATTAAAACCATCATTTCATCAATTGAAAATGCTTTAGAAAAAATTTTTTTAATAATGAAAAAAATCAATAAAAATTTTTAAAAATTTACTTGCTCTTTCTTTGGTACTATTTGATGTATAAACATTTCCTTTTTGACCAATAACGTTAAGATCAATTGAATATCTAAACAAAAATTCTTTTAAAGTTGAAGTTAAATGTAAAAAAATATCACAAAAAGTCTGAGGAGTAAATAAAAAATAAATGCCCAACAAAAAAATAAATCCGCAAAAATGTTTTTAATCAAAGAAATATTTTAATTAATATAAAACTGAAGACAAAATGAAGGGTTGTAAAAGAATCGTACGAGAAATCTAGAAAAATCTCGACCTCAACTGAAATTTTTGGTTAAGCTACAGTCTCGGTCCTGTCTCTAATATTTATAAAAACGTACAAAGATCCAGGAATTGCATCAAAATAAGTTTTTGTTGTATGTATTGGAAGAACTTTATCAAGTATTAATCCCAATTCACCAGTTCTTGCACCTCTTCCAATTCCACCTTCCAACTCCTCCAATTTTATGGCCAAATTTATTTTAAATTTGTCGTTAGCTTTAAAAATGAAAAAAATAAAAAGAATCTAAAATGTTTTATTAAAGTAAAATGGCTGGTACTGATATAAGCCTGATCTGACTGAGTGAGCCGTGTCTGATAAATTCGACAGTTAACTACTTTTTTTCACCGTTTTCCTCTATTTTCGACAGCGACTAAATTCGACAGTAAGGCTTAATTTTAGAAAGTGCGAATAATTCTCAAACCTTGGCCCAACCCATTCAATCACCAATACTTCCCATTAATTTTCAAAAACCTGGAAGAGTTGGCAACTTCCAATTTAAATGTATTCTCCTTGCAGATGTTAAAGAATTTAATTCCAAGTACTTTTCGTCTTGTGGAGCAGCAGCTTTAGTCATTTCAGAAAAATCACTATAAGAAGGTTTAGGCGTTTCATAATGTTCTCTCAATTGCTTTTCATAATCAATATGTGAAGATGATTCTTGAGGTTTTATTAATGGAGACCCAGGTCTTCTATCAAATTGAGCAAAAGATCTAGCAATTGGGACATTCCCTCCATATTGGCGTTGATAAAAATCGTGATCTGACAAAAACAGGAAGTGAAATAATTTCATTTAGATTAGAAGATAGGGTTAAAAGGTGAATTTAGAGACAAAGAGGCACTAGTTAATATTTTGCGGTATGGCAGGCCTGTAAGACTAGATAACAGAAATCCCCCAACATTACTTCAAAAATTAAAAAAAAAATTAAACTAACTTGACCAGGGTTGGTGATGCACAGCAGACCGCCAATCTTCTCCAGGTACTCTCCAAGTACCAACTTCTCTATGATTCCATTGTGGTCCAGCAAGAGGAGGAGGAGCACCAGCACCAACTCTTCTATCCATATAAGGATCAGGTGGATGTCCATGAAGTGGCATGCCATAAGGTTGAATAGGTGGTGGAGGAATTGGCATATTATGCCTAGGCGGTGGCCACATTTTTTACAAAAACTGAAATTTAAAAAACTAATTAACAGCTCACAGCGGGTTAAAGAGGACATTGTGTAGTGTCTAATTTTCTCTGCTTCTCTAACTTTCTCTCATTTAAAGCATTATTCTCGCATGCAGATTTTAGGTTGCCAACTTTGATCGAGTCCATTGGACGTTCTAGATGTTATTTTTTAAATCTTTCTGTTATTTTTATTTTTCATAGTTTAAAGAAGCTTTTGGCAAAAAATTATTAATTTATCTGGTTTTTAGCAAAAGTTACTAGTGTTTATATTTTAATAATTTTAGTGACAGATTTTTAAGAGTTACTTTAAGAAAAAAAACAAAGATTTTGGTACCATCTGATGCAGCTCGATGAGATACGTCGAATAAAACCAAAATCAACGTGGTCTGACTTCATAGGGCCGAGTTACAGGCCCCCGAAATTTTAAAATTTTCGGGGATAGAGTTTTGGACATGCAAATTATAGGTCGATCGAAAGAGCTCATCGAGCTGAGTCGAATGACACCAAAATCAGCTTGACTGAATAATTCCTAACAAAGTTATGCCCTATAGATGGATGAGCCTTGCGTTTATATGGAGCAGTTTCGCGAATAAACAGGTGGTATTCGCGAATAAATAGGTTGTTTTTGCGAATAAATGGGTTTCTCTGCCTATGTCCTGTCTGTCAACAGAGTTAACCCGCTGTGCAGCTCTAAAAAATAGAACAAATGGAAAAAATAACCAAATGTTTAAACGATCAAAAGAAATATTTTCCCTTAGTTAACACTTTGACATAATTATTTTAAAATATTTCTAAACACCAAATTACAAAGGACTAATTTTAAAAAACCAACATAAGACAGAAAGGAACAATAAGAGTAAAACAAAAGGAACAACAAAAATAATTTAACAAAAAACCCTAAAAAATTCCAAACTTTAAAGGTTATCAAATTTTTAACAAAAAAAGTAAAAAAAAATAATATTTTCAGGCAGCTTCACATTTTTTCTTCTTCACATCATCATAATTATTTAAATATCCCTCCAATTTAAAAACCATTTTTTCTAATCTTGATGAAATTTCTTTTGTTCCAAAAAATTTAACAAGTTCATGAATAGGTGGTCCAGATATATTATCAATTATTGCTAATCGAAAAAGACTGAAAGAAAAAAATTTGAATTAAAAAAAGTATTCTTGTTGCCGCTAAAATAGAATTAAATCCACCCAACGCCACAAGTAAGAAGCTGAAACAATCCTTTACCACGAAAAAGATAAAACCACGAACCGAAATTTCGAAAAGAAATTTTTTCCATTACTCGAAAACCCGAAACATATCCGAAGAAAATTTTGAAAACCGGATCCGAAACCTGATACCCAGACTTTATTTTCTCAATTTGTCACACTTCTTATTTACACAATAGTGAGATCCCCAACAAAAAAAATTAATTTTAAACAAACGTAGTTATTTTTCCTGCAGAAAAATCTTCTTCTTCCTTCGCTAACAATTTAATTTGTTCAAAATTAATTTTATTACTATCCAATTTTGAATATTCCAACAATTTATTCAAAATTTTCAAAACTTTTTTAATATCTTGAAAATATTTGACAATTTTTTCTGACGAATTTGGTGTCATAAAAAAGAATTTAAAATCCCCTGTTGTTATGTCAGACATTTTACAAAATTTTTCTTCATTTAAATGTAAAAATGAAATTACTTTATTAAAATATGAAGAAGTTAATAATTGTGGATTTATTGAAGTTTTTGTTGCCTAAAAAGATTTTTTAAAATTTATACAACATTTTAGAGTGTCAAGTCCTAGATTTGGTTTTTTCCTGGATTCAAAGTCATTTTTCCAAGGTTGTCTCGATTTTTCATGACTCCAGATCAAGAAATCTGGCCAAGATTCGACAATGATGAAAATGAAAAAAAATTTTGCTTAACTAGATTTCTTGACCATTCAAGAAAAGATCAAGGAACCCCGAAAAATAACTTTAAATCCAAAATTAAAGGCTAATCTAAATCTAGATCTCTCTTACTATTCATGATTAGGAGGTGATGATTTTTTACTACTTATCAAAGTTGTGTAAAAAATTTCAAAAGCGGACAGCTTTTGAAACATACGGACACAAATCCGTATTCATTACATAAAAATTTTTTTCTAAACCCTGATGAGCTAGACCCCTCAAAAAACCCCAAATTAAAAAAATATTTTTGCAAAAAACCTCTGGAAGAAGAGAAAATTGTTTTTTAATACAAGGAAGCAAATCTTTTTCAAAATCACTAGCTTGAAAAGCCATTCTTCCATAACGATCCAATTCTTTTAAATCTAACATAAAAGTACTTCTACCAATTAAATTTTGATCAAAATTTGTAATCATTTCATCAATTGAATAAAGTTTGTGTAAATTATATTCTTTAATTCCACTTCCATTTCGTAATAAAAAATTTAAAACAGCTAAAGGGAGATAGCCAAGATTTGTATAATAACTCTTTAAAAATATATTAAAAAATATTTTTGAGGACAAAAGAAATTTTTTTAAATAAATTTGCTGAACTTAATTTTGCGAGCAATTAACAGTCCTCTCACAGGACTCGAACCTGAGACATATGTATTTATTGACTCATATTTTTATATATTACGTCGGCGGCCAAATTACATTTGTCCTCGGGCCCGTATATGTACTCGTAGTCTAAAACCTATCTATTGCATACTATAGAAATGAAATCAAACTTCTGTTATTATTTTAATAAATCCTGCCCGAAATTATAATTAAAGTCCCAAAACAACCCATATTAAATTTAATAAATTTTAATTAAAAAATTCATTTATAAAACAATATACCACAAATGCATGCGATTTTCTTTTTGACAATTTATTTTTTCCATCCTCAGTAATTAAAGGTAAATGTGTAAATCGCGGTTCCTTCCAATTAAAAGCTCTAAAAAATTAAAAAAAATTAAATTAAAAAACAAAAAACATACTCATAAAGTTTTAAATGTTTTGGTGTAGATAAAAGCCATTCCGATCCGCGAATTACATCTATAAAAGAAATTTTTTAAATCGCCACTTCGAAGGAAATTAGTGTCCTAGCGACATTTGCGAACATTCGTGGCTAGGCGACATTTGAGGTTAAGTAATGATTGCATACAAATTTTTGTGTATCCGCACATTTTATTGGGGTGCCCAAATATAGATTTACTAGTTTCTAATTACGTTAGTCAAAAAATTACCACTAATTTGCATATAATGGTCATCTACAACATTAGCAAAGTGATAAGTTGGAAAGCCATCACGTTTTAAAATAATAAAATCAACCTCGTCCCAACTTGTAGAATAAACACCAAAAACTGTATCCTAAAAAGTACAGATATTCCCAATTTCCACCTTTTGAAAAGGTCAAAAAATTCCGAATGTTTTATGTCCCATTTGCATGGAAATTTAGGATATTTGCGGACAAAATTGTGGGTGTCCGCGAAAGTAAACTGGGATGGGCCCGGTTACCCGAACCTTAAAAAACTTTTTTTTCCGATCTAAAAAACCCCGATCCAATGAACATTTTAAAAACCATGATCAGCTTTTTTTCTAACTGATATAAGCCCTCCATCAAAAAATTAGAAATAAAACCTTAAAAGACATTTCACCAGCATCATATTTAAATCTAACAACAGGTATTTCACCATTTTTTTCACGAGCAACAATTTCTTCTTTTGACAGATCTCGACAATGGCGGTCATAACGAGGAATTTTCTTTTCATTTAAAGCTTTGCGTCGAAGAATATCAAGTCTCTAAAAACTAAAAGAAGATAAAAATTTGCCGAAACCGGAAATCTTCTGCTAAAGTGTTCCCTAGAAAAAATGAACAGCAAGTGTTTTTTGATAGTTAAACTAAAAGAAGATAAACTAAAAGAAGATTTGCCAGTAAGTAATCGAGTGTGTTGAGTCGAAATATTGCTTAGAATTTGTCTATCTCGAATGCCGAACCAAAAGTCGACCATTTCAAATTCGGATCCGGGATTCGAAAAAATAGAAGTAGAACTTATATACGGACCCGGCACACTCGATTACCTACTGCCAACCATCAACAATATCGAAAGCGCCTTCTTGATCATTTTTCCTAGGGAAACAGGAAAGAAGACAACCAAAAAAACCCTCACAAATTTTTCCCAAAAAAGTCAAAAAAACCTCAACAGAACAAAAACATTTGTAAGCTTTATCCTCTTCTATTAGCCTCTCAACTTCATTTTTATAAATTTCACATCTCTCAGATTGTACATAAGGACCAAAATTTCCATCAATGGAAGGGCATTCATCCAAATTTAAGCCAAAATACGACAAAGCATTTTCAAACTAAAAAAAATTTTTTTAAAGAAAATTTAAAAAAAACCTCATTTTGTGTACCCTCTACCAATCTATCCCGGTCAGTATCTTCAATTCTTAATAAAAATGATCCTCCATATTTCTTGGCAAATAAATAATTAAAAAGTGCTGTTCTTAATGAACCTTTAAAAATAAAAATTTTTTGATGGTTGGCCAATTCTGTCACCAAATTCGCTTTTGGTTAATGGGATTTAAGGATTTTTTTACTAATTTACTAGACTTTGTATCAGACTATATAAATTGGCAAAGGATAGGCAAGTAGCCAAGAAAAATTATCGGGGAGGGGGGGGGGGTAATTTTTGGTAAGGAAAGAACAGTACATTATTCAAACTGGATAGGTGCATTGCAAGTGAACCAAGTCTCATAAGAACCGTCAGGAAGTAGGAAAATTTTTCGTTAGATAAAAAAAAAAGAATATAACTTTATTCCCCCAACTCCTGTCTAGCGAACCGGTCCCTACACATATAAACACTTAAGTAACAATACGGACTAGTGTTGGTCACGGTACCGTATTACGGCGGTATTTTTCGGTAATACCGCCGTATTTTTACCGAAATACCGATACCGAATACGGTACCGAACAATTTTTAAAAAATCGGTATTTTTTCGGTATCGGTATTTTACCGAAAATACCGATACCGAAAAATCGCGTTTGACCAACACTAATACGGACACTCTCCAACACTTCTATCCAGTATTTTTATTTTTTTTAAAAAACCTAAATGTAATTGTCCAGTTGGCGAAGGAGCAAAACGAACGCGGACATTGTCATAATTATTCGACGATTCAAGAGAATAATGACGAACATTTTGAATTAAAAAAGAAAATAAACGTCGGTAAATCATTAAAGTTTCGCTACAATTGCGGAAATAGAACATCTGCTGTAGCTAAAATTGGAGAAGAATAAAATTTATTTGAAAGATATTTTGTGTCCCAAAACTAACTATAAAATAAATACCGATTTTTATAAGACAAAAAAGTTTATATAAAATACAAAAAAAAGGAACTAAAAGCAACTCTCAATAAAATCATTACAAAATCCCCTCAATTGCCATCTTTCTCCTTTCTCTAAATAATTCTAACCAACGTTTATTTCGAACTTCAGGGTCTTCAGAAAGCTTTAAAAAATTTTTAATTTTCTAAATTATTCAAATTTTTATACTTTTTCATGTGCCAAAGGAAATCTGCTTGCCGGGGGGACAGTTGTTGTTTCTTCCTTTTTATTCTCCTCTTTATTTTCATCCTTTTCTCGTTTTTTGCCAACCTCCTTTTTATTTTTAGACTTTTCAGCAATTTGTTTACTCGCCCATAGTGGTCCAAACATTGCACGATCGTGATGGGTTGTAGATGAAGATGTAAACAAATTTGTGGTGTTCTCAGAACTTTTGGTTGTAGTGGAAGACTTGGAAAATAAAAAGTAATAAAAAAATATAATTTCAACTCCCAGTCCGGATTGGACGCAATTAAGAAAGGTACGATTCGGGCAATCTTCATTTCACTTAATACCACTATGAGCTTGCATAAATGTCATCAAAACCCGGTTTGAGATTTTTTAAACCAAAAAACTAACCATTCTAGCCGAATCCGCATCTGATTTGAACGAACAAGGATTAAAACCAGGCTCTTCAATCCGTTCAATGGCAGCATGGCGGGAAACTGAATCTAATATTTCTGAAGCATCTGAAGACAAAAATGTCAAAGAAATAGATGAAACAAAAACCTTGTTTATCCTGTCGAAGTCGCATGGCCTGAGAATACTCTAAACTTCTTCCGCTATCTATTGCTTCGTTTAGAGATGACTTTAAGCGATTCTTAGCTTTCTCAATTCCTTTCTGTATTTCATTCTTTGAACTGAAAATTTGGCCTAAGTGTACTTTACTGGGGGATTTTAGATTTGGACAATTTATAAGTCAATCGAAAAAGCTCGACGAGTCGAACATTTTCAACTAAAAAGTCCGTTTATAAGTACCTATAAGTACATTTTCATTACGTAAGTTTGAAGGTCACTCCGGAAATAAGTACAAATGTCAACCCTGTTTTAAACAAACAAACCTGGAATCATCGTGTTTACGCCGCCCATCCTTTTTTGACCTTCTAGGGCTTTTACTTCGATCTGATCGCCTGTCACGTTCACGTCGTCGAGATGAAGATGATTGAGAATTTTTACTGCTCATGGATAAAAGTAATAAAATAAACAAACTGAAATTTAAAAATTTTTAAGAAAAATTCAATCTAAAAATTCTAATAGCCAAGTTAAAATCCGGTTTTGTTGTGAATCTATTTGGGGAAAATCTTTTGAGGGCTTTCGAATGGAATATTTTCATTTAAATTTAATCAAACACAAAAAAAGCTATAGCCGATCAAGGTCGGCTAGTGCTAAAGCGGCCGCGCTCAACTGACCCAAACAGGTGCCGTCCTCAGCTTTTTTACAACTTCGCGTTCCGTTTCCGCTTTTTAAAATCCGAGAGAGCCTATTCCCGTCTTAGACCCTCCCTCTTCCTTAACGAAAAAATCGAATTATAGAACCAAATCAATAACTTTTAAATTGCCAAAACAAACAAAATTATACAATTTTTAAATAATAATAAAGGAAGGGAAAAAATACTGGAAAAACAAATCAAATTAATAAAAGACAAAAAAATCAGGTAATTTTCTCCTTTTTTTCTTCTTCTTCAGTTTTTCCATCAACAATCAAATTTTGGGATGAACTCGAGGATGTTTGTTTGATTTCATATATTCCTGAGAAAAAAGAGAAGCGAATTAAAAAAAATTTAAAAAGACACGTTCGGAAATTATCACCCCCCCTCACCCTTGTACTTCTTGGTGACGGATTGAAAAAAAAAGTCGGGTCGGGATTCTAGTTAGTTTTGAAATATTTCTTTAACCCGTCCCATCCTGATACCAATACCGGCTGGTATTCAATTTATAATCCCCGTTCAGTCTAGTGAAATATTAAAGGAGGGTACCAAAGCGGTAATCCCATTTTCGATCTATTCGATTCATCAGCTAAAAACTCAAATCCGATAAATAATTGGCATTATTAAAAAATTTGTTTGTAAGGGGGTGAGAAAAGTAAACAACTTTAAAAAATAAATTTAAAAAATTATTTTCTTACATCAAGTTCTCTATCCATTTCTGCGACAGTTTTTTTGAGACGTCTGTCATTTCGTCGATTTCTTCGGAAACCTCCACCCTGACCAGAAATCCAATTTCCTCCCCCACCGCCTCCATACCAAGCCCTCCAACCTCCAACAAACCTTCCACGAAATGATCGCTTAAAAGCAAAATTGTTTCGAATTGGGCGGCGAAGTGCAAATTCGGACGTCATTCTAAAATTGGAAATATTTAAAAATTGATTTTAAAAGATTGAAAAAACCGAGGACGAAAACTGAGTCGTTGTTGAATGGGTCTTCGTGGTGAATCATTATAGAGCTAAAAGATTAAATGTTAAAGTATGGTATGAAGGGTGTGGGGTAAGTTTGAGTTATGGTTGTGAGGCCGATATAAACACAATAAATTTCCTTGGGGAGGCAGGGTTTAGAGCAGTATAAATCATGGGCGGGAGCTCGAGATGGAACCCCAATTTAAAAACCTATTTAATAAAGTCTTCAAATGTTAACACAAACATTTCGATCACAAAAAATTTCCCAACAAAAAATAGCCTCACTTAAAAATAAATTTAAAAGAAAAATACATTGGATCTTGGTCGAGGTGCATAATCATTTGGAAAATCATATTCTTCATCAATATCATCCAAATCATAATTGTGTACTCGAGAGGAAGAATAAAATGGCCGACGAATACGCATCTTCTGATAAACGTTGTAATCATCAAGTGTGAGATTAACAGGATTTAAATTGTTTAATTCAGATAAACTTTCAAAAGGTTCACTACTACAAGTACGGAAGCGACCACCACCAGAATGATGATATTGGGAAGGTGGTGGACGATATTGATCATGTTCTGAGAATTCGCCATATAATTCATTGTCCTATAAAATAATATTGATTTCTTGTTAAAAAATAAAATTTATTTAATCAAAAAAAGTTTAAGAAAGAGAATTAGAAAAACTTAAAGAATAAAAGCAGTCTTATTGTTAGCTAGGTAGCCGAAAACCTCAATATTTAAAGTGATGCCTTCCAATAAATTCAGTAACTCATACTAAAACAACACACCAAGCCTTTGGCAAGTTTGTAATAAAAAGAAAAAATAGATTAAAAAAGTTGAGGATACTCAATCAAGATAATCAGACTAATTCAAATTCAAAGCCAAAAACACAGCCCAAGTTACCAAAGGTCCTGCAGTCTTGGTAGGAGTTGCTGACATGACGATTAGTTTGTATAAAATAAAAATAAATACCATATAATTGTCGTGTAAAAAAGATTTGTTGCTGCTAATGCTTCCACTTGTTGGACGTTGAAAAACACGAGGCCGCTCAATTATAGGACCTCCATTAACAGAAAGAACACTTTCCGCTCGATGCCGCAAATTCTGAGGTTCTAAAGAAGATTGTCTTTGTTTTACTACATGTCTATGTGGTGGTGGTGGTGGTGGTTGTTCAACTTTTTCTGCTTGAATTCGATTAAACCTGCAAAAAAACATTTAGATTCTCAAAAATTATAAGAGAAAACCTTTCAGAAAGTCTTAATTTACTCGTTCCAACAACTACTATACGGGCTGGAACGACATCAGAATTGTTCATTGTATTTAACAAAACGTTGATTTATTGTTTAAAATCCAAAAAACTGTTCGAACACGTTAAACATAAGTGCAAAATTAAGAGTTTTAAAGTTGAGCTTAAATTGAGTTCTGGCATATTGTTATTTATTAAATTAAAAATACGCGTGCCCGCTCAACTCATCGAATCCTTAACTCATCGAATCGACCAAAAACGCTCAACTCATCGAATCGGCTAAAATTCCTTAACTCATCGAATCGGCCAAAAACACTCAACTCATCGAATCCTTAACTCATCGAATCCTCAACTCATCGAATCGGCCAAAAACGATCAACTCATCGAATTTTTCCAAAAGGGGACGTTTGAGTCCCCTGTTTTTATTTTTCTCCCGAAAGGGCTAACTGAATCTTTGTTGAAAAAATTTTTTGCTGCTATGGAGGCTAGGAAAAAGGGCTTTTGGGCATAATCGGGGTCTACTGGACTAATTTGGTCCGGTTTTACCCGGTAAAATCTCCAGCATAATTTATTAGGAATGAGATAATGTTTTCAGGAATGAGATAATGTTCTGATAATGTTTTCACTGGCCGGATAAACTTGGATGAGTGCCCGATCAACTAATTAACAAAATTAGTTGAAACCCCAGAAGAAAACAAAAAAAAATAAACAAAACAATAAAAAATCTAAAAAATAAACACGGGGACTCAAACGTCCCCTTTTGGAAAAATTCGATGAGTTGATCGTTTTTGGCCGATTCTATGAGTTGAGGATTCGATGAGTTAAGGATTCGATGAGTTGAGTGTTTTTGGCCGATTCGATGAGTTGAGGATTCGATGAGTTAAGGATTCGATGAGTTGTAGGGTAGCCAAAATACGCAAGACAAAGAAAAAAATAAAATTTAGAGTATAAAGGTTAGACAAAAAAGTAAAAAACTGTAAAAATTTAGAACATATATTTCTTAAAATGTCATATTTAAAAATGCCAAATACGACAGAAATTCACTTTTTGACACGCGAGACTTACAAAAAATAAAATTTAGAAAATTTTAAACTAAAAAGTAAAAAAACTTTAAAATGTCAACTAGGGCAAATTATGAGTTTTCGTCTAAAAGAAAGTGAAACCTGCAGGCTAAAGCACATCCTACCTACAAAATTACTCCTTTTAATAATTAAAAACAAGTAATACAAATTATAATATTTACCATCCATTACAAATTTATCCGTAAACTTATACAATAAAAAATGCTTAATATTACGATAAACACAATTTTTTCAAGAAAAAATTTTCTGAAATTTTTTAGATTTAGTTATGAGAAATAGTAGAGAATGAATAGAGAGAAAGAACAACAAACACGACACCTTATTTTTTAATAGTATTTTTTCATGAACTAGTTAGTATTTTTTTCCATTTTTAAATAATTGTGTATATAAAATAGAGCTGCAAAATTACTACAAAATATAAAAACACACAAAATAATTTTAAAAAATCGAAAAAAAATCAATTATAACATATTAATAATTTTTTGGAGGATTTCTCGTTTGTAAGTCAAAATATTGAAAAAAACCTTTTTTTGATAAAAAAAAACACAATCCTTTGTTCTTTGTCAAAAAATAAAATCCTCTTTTGTCATATCTATAGCCCATCGAAATTTGTCACGTTGAGTTTTCGAGTAAATCTTTTCTATAGGGATGTCATACTTTTTGCACCAAGCAACTGATATTCTATAAAAAAATTGAAAATGTATTTGGAAATCTGAGACTAGCCTATTTTGGGGACAGTGGCCGGGGAAGAAATTAATTTGAAAGTTCGGTGAAAATATTTTTTAAGACGTTTATCGTCCACATCGTTATATCACGACTCTTTTGCAGACAATTAGGGAGAAAATTGGACCTTTACCCATTTTTCCCCTTGGCTTGGTTACGGGCCTGATGGGCATGAAAAGGTTTTTTCATGTTAGAAGTTGGGAAGAATATCCAAAAAGACACGAATCCAAAAGGACACAATAATCGAGATGGATGACTCATTATCAGTCCGTATTTAAAAAAAACCTTGGATCCAAATAATTAAGTTTGGATGTGCCCAATGCAATTTGTTTATTTTCATCCTTAAAAAATTTTTTTTAATTTAAAATTAATTTATTAAATTAAAAAAAAAGAAACCTTGTCGGTATGCTGTGTTTTTAATTTTACAAGTTGTTCTTTCACTCGAGTATATTTTTTCTGCAATTTCTCATCATTTTTATTTTTCTTAAGTTCAGCTTTAATTTCTTTATATTCTTTCTTCTTTTCATTAATCTTTAAAAAAAGAAAAATTCCGCGTAAACTAAAGATTTTCAAAAAAACAATGGATTTGAGCTCAATTCCTCATAACTATTTCCCAAAAAAGGTTATAACCTAAAAACCGACGAAATTGCCGAGCTCGAAAACTCCCTAGCCTAAATTTCTTTGAGTGGAATCCTTAAACTCTAGAAAATACTAGGAAACCATTCATTTTTATTTTAACCTTATTTTGTAGTGTTTCCATAGCCTTATCATGAGTTTTAGGGACTGCACGTTGGTGATTACAAAGAATTGCAACTTGTCGATTTGCACCTTTACAAAAAAATTTTTTAAGTTGTTTTTTCAAAGTTAAAAAAATTTACGATTATATGAAAGCAGCTTTGCATGGATTGTATCATCAGCTTAAAATATTAAAAAATAATTTAATCAAAAATTAAAAAAAATAACGATTTGTTAATTTATCCAATTGGTCTTGTAAAGTAATTGAAGCATTATATGTACGAAATACTTTGGCAGTTAATCCATCCATTAATTCTTTCAAATAAGCATTTAGAGAACTTGTCTTTAAAAAAAGTTTTTTTTTAATTTAAAGCGTTAAAGCAAAAAAATTTTTTTAAATTTTTACTCGATTTTTTTGTTACTCCTCTTTCGGAGACGGTGGAAGGGATCTTGGAAGAGGAGGTGAGAAGGATTTTGGGAAGAGGCGGTTGGAAGAATTTCAGGTGAGCCTCTGTGGGAAGGACTCCGGAGGATACATATTCTGCGGTGATGTCACCAGGGGACCTTGGGAGAGGCAAAACTTTGCGGGAGTTTTTCGGGAAAAATTCCGGAATCAGTAGGTAAATCATCCAAATTTGCCATCAAATTAACTCAAAAGTAAAAAACAAACATCAAGTCTATCAAAGAGATCATCGCCAGGTTCCTTTCCTTCCATAAAAATTTTCAAATTTTTAAAAACAGCCTTTTCAACAGGTACACGATTGTAATAACGAATTGAATCTTTTCCAAGAAAATCAAATTCTACAACATATTTCTGGTTATCCAATTCTTCGTGTAATTTAATATGTTCACAACGAAGAGAGCAACAACCAACAGTATCTTTAATAAATTTTTGAATTTTTTTCTAAAAAAATGGGCCGGAATCAAGGGCATGTAACCAGGATTTTTTTCGGAGGGAGGGAGGCGTTATTGCTTTTACTACTTTTACCCGAAAAAAAAATAAAATATTTTCAGGGGCCTGTATTAAAAATTTAATTAAAAAATTTTCAATTTTGAAAATTAAAAAATCTTCAAAAAATTTTTTAAATTAAAAAACCTGCAGCTTCATCAGTATCCTTTTCATTTCCAGCTCTAAGCGCAAATTTATCAATAAAATAAAGAGCAACTGCACGTTGTCGTATTCGCATCTCTTTGCTTTTAAAGTCTAATAAATACTGATCTCGAATTGGCCCAACACAGCCTTTAAGCTTTAATAAAAAGAATTTTTTTAATTTTTAAAAATCAAAAAACCTTTCGCGCTTTTTCGAACTTTTCCCAATCTTTTTGGCCTTTAAGCTTTGAAGAAGGGTTTAACATTATATATTTGTTACTGAACAAAACATTTTCATTCCAAGAACAAAGCCAAGTGACCTTAAAATGAATTTAAAAAATAATATTGGTAAAATTAGTTAAATCACTGATAAAAAAATGAACCGATTTAGATAAACAATGAAATTCGAAAAAGCCTGTGAGAGTCGTCATTTATATAATCAAATCTTCACCCAAAAATCGCTTGACCCCCCCCCCCCCCCTATGGTTTTTTGGTTTTAAAGGGAATGTAGCTCGACACAGAGACCCAAGTTTAATTTTGATTTGGAAACCAAGCCTTCGAATGACATATTGTTGTTGGAGATACGACGTAAGTTAAAAAATAAAAAAACCATATTGTCATGTCGAACTTCTTTCCATTTATGACCTTTAGGAGGAGGAATTGTAACACCTTTAGAGCAATTTATTATAACATCTTCTGGTTGAACTCGTAGCTTTAAACAACCCATTTTTGGGTGTTCTCCTATAAAAAAAATTAATTAGAAAATTGTGACTTGTAAAAGAAGACATGGATGCTAGCCTTTTATCCTATTTACCGTTCTGACATAAGGTGGTTAACAAGGGGGCTGGGAGGCCATAGCCTACCCACCGTCCACCCCCCCCCGTAAGGGGTTCAAACCGTGAGACAAGGGCGTATCCAGGGGGTCAGTTTCGGGGGGGGGGGCTAACATTGGGTGTGCGCCAAATTTTGGCGTTCACTTTGGCTTTCCTTCCGCAAATTTTTTGTACGTAAATTTTTATCTTTTCAGCGCCGCAGGCGAAAATTTTTTGAAAATTGGAGGTCAAGAGGCCAAATTTCTTCCATTTTCTGCGACGCACGCGAAAATTTTTCGGAATTTGGAGCCCAAGAAGCCAAATTTCTTCCATTTTTAGCGCCGCAAGCGAAATTTTTTTAAATTTGAGGGTTGTAGGTGAAAAAATTTCATTTTTCGACCGTCCTTCTCCTAATTTTCCCTCTTTCCCCCATTTCAGGGGGGGGGGGCTAGAGCCCCCCCCCCCTGGATACGCCCTTGCCGTGAGATTCCTAACACGAAGGTAAATAATTTAAACAAAAAACCTCGTCCTCTAAAAAGTCCCGGTGGTTCAATTCGAAAATTTCCAATTTTTTGTTTATAACCATCCAGCATCGCAAAACCATATTCAGCCGCTTCTTTATCTTTAATTTCTTTTTCTGCTTTTTTCTCTTCTTTACTTCGAGCTTTTCTTTTTTCAGTTTCAGAAAGAAAATAGGCATTTATATCACTTTAAATAGTTATTTTTTAATAACATTGTAAAGAAGCAAAATTTAGAAAGTGTTAAGTTTAGCCCAGAGCAGGTATCGAACCTCATGGCATTTATTGTTAGCCCTTCTTGCTCAACACGTACAGTTGCTCTCCCAACTAACCACCCTTTTTTTTAATAGATCCAAAACTCTTCCTATGCTAGACAGCAGGATCACTCCTCACTTTTTCCTTATATATATTAATAAATATTTTATACCGAAAATCACATTTTTTTAAATCAGTTATTGTTGAACGTTCTGCAGCGGTCATTGTCTAAATCAATTTTTAGAAAATTTTTTAAATGAAAAAACCTTTCTCCAATCCTTAAAAAAGTTTTGATTAAAAATAGGCTTTGAAGTATAGTCATGATCAAGCATCTTAGCATAAAAAGTGGCAACTTCTTCAGCAGACGGGGATAGATCCATTGGCTACAAATGGAAAAGTGTATAGTAAAAAAAAAGTTTAAAGTGGCTTAAACTCCGACGCCTTCTAGCCAATTCAGCATCCGTTCAGTTGGATTAACCTTCCCCGGTCAGTCCCTGATATCTGTCCCAGCCCAATCCATCACCTAAATTTTATTCTCTCCTTGGATAAATTGATGGTCAAGTAGTCAACGAACACCCGTCGGATATAACAGTTCCAACCCCATCTAGCCCAGACCCTTTTTTGATAAACCCGACTCAGGCCACTTTTATCGAACCCTAACCCAACATTATCAATAACGACAAATTCCGACCACAATCTTTTCAACCACGAAAAGTTGAAATCCAACCACAATTAAAAAATTCTAACCTTTCCATTATATTTGAATTTAATGTTTTTAGGTAAAGGAACATATTCTGGTGCAAACATTGGCCCTTTATGCTCTAAAGTTCTCCATTTAATTGTTCCATCTGATTGTTCAGGTGATTGTTCTTCCCACCACTTCCAAACTTCCACCTCTTCTTCAGCCTTCTTTTTCTTTTTTGTAGGGCTTGCAGATGAAGATGACTGAAAGAAAAATAGTGTAGGTTAACATATAGAAATGCCATACAAGTACGAAAAACCTCTAGTTATCGGGTCAAAATCGACCGAAAACACAAAAATTTCGGATTGGTTGAGAGAAAATTTTGGTTGGGGTTTTCGGTTGACAAGAGAAATGGGTGAAACCGACAACCCCCAATATCGACAACCTAAATATCGTTGACCCAAAATTTAGGGCGTCGATATTTAAAGGTGTGAGAGGTGGAGTCAAATTAAACAACCTCTTGTTTAACAAGATTATTTTCAGTTGATTTCTTTTTCTTTTTTGCAGGTTTGTCATCATCGTAATCCGAATCTTCTTCAGTTTTCGTCTCTTTTTTAGCAGATGACTTTGGCGTTGGTTTTTCAGGTTTGGATTTGGAAGATTTTGATTTCTTCTAAAATTAAAATGACTCAAAAAAAACAAAAATTAAAAAAAAACCTTTGGAGTATATTCTTCTTCACTTTCAGACGATGCTTGTCTCGTCTTCCGCTTTTTATCGGCAGATTTTTTTACAATAGGTTGAGCTTCTTCTCCACCACTTTCTACAGGTGTCACAGGTCTTTTAACAGATTTAGAAGTAGAAGAATTTTGTTGTTTTTCCCGAATTCGTTGAGACCATGGAATATCATCCAAATCTTCATTTTTGACAGAAGAGTCATTTTTTAGTTCATCTCCATTAGTTTCACCAACCCCATTTTCAACAGGAAGAGAATTTGACAATTCTTGTTGGTACTCGGAATTCACTGCAGTTTCTTTCCTGTTAAAATTAAGACACTAATTTACGAGAAATTTAGAAAATGTAGGAAAGACGGTGAATCAGGGGGTGCCGGAATTTTGGTCACCAAGGATTTTCGGAACTCTGGTCACCAACTTTTTTGGAATTTTGGACACCAGCGGAATTTTGGTCACCAAGTCAAAAAACGGAATATTGGACACTGAAATTTTGGACACCAAGAGGAATTTTGGTCACCAAACGGGAAAAACAAATCTTATCTAGAACTGATATCAAAGTGATAAAAAATTGTTTTTCAACTCCCAGTTGATCAATTTCAATGTTGATCACTCTCACAGTTAATCAATCATCCGGAAGAGTGATCGAGAGTGATCAACTGAGGGAGTGATCAGCCATGAGAGTGATCAACATTGAAATTGATCAACTGGGGGTTGAAAAATCATTTTTTATCACTTTGATATCATTTTAGATAAGATTATTTTTTCCCGTTTGGTGACCAAAATTCCTATTGGTGACCAAAATTTCAGTGTCCAATATTCCGTTTTTTGACTTGGTGACCAAAATTCCGCTGGTGACCAAAATTCCAAAAAAGTTGGTGACCAGAGTTCCGAAAATCCTTGGTGACCAAAATTCCGGTGACCAAAATTCCGTACACCGAATCAGGCACATAATTTTTATGTGCCTGATTCTCAGGAATTTGTGAAAAGGAATTTAAGAAAATCAAGAAAAGTTTGATACCTAAACAGACGGCCTATTTAACTTAAAGAAAGATAGCCGGTATTATTCAATTCTGTACCTCTTTTTTTCCTTCCTCAAATTATAAAAATGGTCAGACTTATCCCGGTGACCTCCAATAACTCAAAAAATTTAAATTGATATTTTGGTGGGTGGGCACAAGATAGAATGATACCGTCGAAACCCAAAGTCTCAATCCTTTAGATAGAAACTAGATAAATGCCACATTATAATCAAATTAGGTGCTTCGTCGCCATCCTAATATTATGTAAAGAATGGTCAAAGTAGCTTCCATATAATATTGAACCGGACAGACTCCTTTTTTCCGGCGCTCCGACTCGGGCACAGTGATCCATTTGCACAGTAAGACTTTTGCACAGAGGACATCTGCACAGTGGACAATTGCACAGTAATTTGTGGTTAAGTGGAGTTGTGTTAGGTTTTACTTATTGTTATAAGGGAAGGCAATCCCGGAGAATTGGGCAATCCCGGAGAATTGATTCTATTAAAAGACTGACCATTTTGTACAATGTCTGATAATGTTCGGGGTCATAAGTCCTGTTCGGGGGCAAAAGTCCGAATTCGGGTTCGGGATTCGACTTTTTCAAAATCTGAGCTCGGATTCGTAATCAGCATATTTTTTTACCCTAGAAAAATCCTTTTTCTTATTTTTAAGATTTTTTTCCGCAGGGACCCCAATTCTCCGGAATTGCCTAAGGGAATAAATGTTACTAAGGAAAAATTCCTTCATATCACCCGGAAACCGATTCGGACAAATGATATGTCATTCGAAAGATCTCGCCGAGTTGAGTCGAACGGCACCAAAATTAGCTTGGGGACTCAGTTATGGGCCGAGATATAGATTCCCGAAAATCGAAAAACCATAGAGGGGAGTAAGCCCAATTTTTGTGTAAAAAATTCGAATATGCAAATTATACATCATTCGAAATTCCTGGATATTACCTAAATCACACGATATCACTCAAAATTCACTTTAATCCATCTAAATCTTCTGTATATCATAGTCCTTTTTCAGCGCTGCATCATTAAAAATTAGTAAAAATTCATTTTTACAACAAATACTTGCATACTTTAATAAAGATCTGCTAGAATTTGTCCACTTGATAAGCGAACGAAAATTTAAAATATGTAAAAAATAATTAAGAAATACTTAGGTTAGAAAAAGAATTATGAATTTTAATATGTACAATTTAAGATTTTTTAGTAAAGGTATTAATAATTGGTAACATTTATTCCCTTATAACAATAAGTAAAACCTAACACGAATCCACTTAACCACAAATTACTGTGCAATTGTCCACTGTGCAAATGCCCTCTGTGCAAAAGTCTTACTGTGCAAATGGATCACTGTGCCCGAGTCGTGTCACCCTTTTTTCCTCCCCAATTTTTCGCAAATATTTTTGCAAAATGGTCACTGCAGACAAAAATTAGAAAGGCAATCCGGATGGAAGCAAGGGAAAAGTCTGACCATTTTGCAAAAATATAGGGAAAAATTGGGGAGGGAAAAAGGGGGTCTGTCCGGTTCAATATTACGAGCTTCCATTTACTATTCGTTTATTGATTGACTGAAAGACGAGGGGGAATAACATGAAAATAAGTAAACCTGACCGTTACGCGGATCCGAAAAAATAAGATGGCAAATTAAACAGAGATGTACCCAAAACTATAATTTAAAAGAAATACCCATTTTGTGCCACAGCATTGTTTGGTTCAGTCTCTGTTGCCATATTTTATTAAATTCACTGTCTCTTTTTTAAAATGCCAATCTTTAACCAATATAGATTGTAGCAATGAATTTCCGAGAAATTTAATTGTATTTAAATAAAATCTAAAAATTTTATTATTAACAAATTAACACAAAAAATAAAAGAAAAATGAAAGAAGTACAAGATTTTCTTTGAAAATTTTACAGAATTCGACAATTGAGTCTCAATGTTTTAGTCCAAGAGCAGTCAGAGTCTCAAACGTTTTAATACCAAATAGGTAACAGTTGAACTGAATATCTGTGCCAACTGAATGCGTATGCAAATTTTCTATTTTTTAAATTTTTTAAAAATGATAGACATAAAGTTGTCTCGGCACTCGTAATAGTTCGGTTCGTACCCCCCCCCCTTTTTTTCCTTCCTAAAAGTATTAAAAATGATCAGTCAGACTTAGGTTATAGAACTCATCGAGCTGTGTCGAATGACACCAAAATCATTCACAGGTCTTATCTTTGGGCCGAGATACAGACCTCCGAAAATTGAAAAATAAATGGGTGTATCAAGCTCATTTTTTAAGCTAAAAATTCGATTAACCAAATAATAGCTTATCCGAAAGAGATTGCCAAGCTGATTCGAATGACATCAAAATCAACATGATTGAACAAAATTTGATAAAACTATGACATAAAGTATTCCTATTGTAGTTGTGAGACACTTTTACAAAAACTTTCCCTTTGCGAAGGGTTTTTGTCTGTACCTCGGCCCAAAGTTAAGATCTGGGTTTGATTTTGGTGTCTTTCGATACAGATTGACGAGTTCTGTAAGCTAAGACTGACTGACCATTTTTTAATACTTTTAGGAAGGAAAAGGGAAGGGCGTGACGGGACAATCCGTCAGTGGACAATCCGGCAGTGGAAAATCCGTTAGTGGACAATCCGTCAGTTGTCGGACAATCCGTCGGTGGACAATCCGTCAGTGAACAAAACCGTAATTCTTACCTCTACCCGACCTACCGCGGCCAAAAATTTTCATTTTTTCGTGTGGAGATTATAAGAGATATCGGCTGTACTTTAGTACGTGGGTCCCGGAGTTAATATACAAATGTTATACCATTCGAAAGAGCTAGTCGAGCTGAGTCGAATGCTACCAGTTTTAGCCCGAGGAAAAATTTTTGGACCGAGATATAGGTCCCTGAAATTTGAAAAAGCATAGGGGGGACCAAGCACTTTTTTGGGGTGAAAAATTCGAAAATGCAAATGATACCTCATTCGAAAGAGCTCGTCGAGCTGAGTCGAATGACACCAAAATCAACGAAATCCGACTTGATTGGACCGAGATATAGGTCCCTAAATACCGAAGATCCAAAGGGTCGATTTTTGGAATAAAAAATTTTTTGTAGAAATAATACCTCATTCGAAAGAGCTCGACGAGCTCTTTCGAATGAGGTATCATTTGCATTTTCGAATTTTTCACCCCAAAAAAGTGCTTGGTCCCCCCTATGCTTTTTCAAATTTCAGGGACCTATATCTCGGTCCAAAAATTTTTCCTCGGGCTAAAACTGGTGGCATTCGACTCAGCTCGACTAGCTCCTTCGAATGGTATAACATTTGTATATTAACTCCGGGACCCACGTACTAAAGTGACCCCGAGATATCGAAAATTTGGAGTTTAATTAGGAAATCGTCTAATTTGGCTGAATTAAAAGATCAGTGGATTTGGGAGATATCGGGGATTTCAAAGGATATCGTGGAACCAATGGAAATACAATAGATTTAGAGTATCATGGTGGTTATCGAGGAATTTGGGGATTAAGGGGGATTTTGTGGATTAAGTGGGATATCAAGGGATATAGTCGGATTAAGAATATTTTGAGGTTGTTCCATGATATCCATCTAAAAACAACCTCTCGTATTGAGGACTTCCCATAATCCCACGATATTCATCCAAATCCAATATAATCCTACACGTTAATTATGTAATCTAATCCATCCAAATCCCCGAATCCTTCTAAATCCATCAAAAAATCCAACGCGGGAGGTCGGGTAGAGGTAAGAATTACGGTTTTGTTCACTGACGGATTGTCCACTGACGGATTGTCCGACCTCTGACGGATTGTCCACTGACGGATTTTCCTCTGCCGGATTGTCCACTGACGGATTGTCCGGGAGCCGGAAGGGGGGGGGGGGTACGAACCGAACTATTACCCTCGATTGCCTTCTCTCTGTCAACCCCAACTTTAAAAAATAAATTGATCGAAAAACCACAGTTCGGCGCTTTCACGGTTCGGCGCGGTACGATCCGGCGTCAGTTGATAAATTTTTTCAAAAAAGAATTCTTAAACTTACTTTAGGCAACTGAAGGGAAATTGGGGGAAATGCAATTGAGGGGAATTTATAAATTTACTCGTACTTCGTACTACCCCATATTTTGACTTTGTACTTGCATATTTTTGGCCTCATACTTCGTACTTAATACACTCCGTTAAGAAAGACCCACGAATTTTTGTATCTATGTTTAAAATTCTAAAATTGAATTTTCTCGAAGTTAAGGTGTTAAGAAAGTATAAACACCCCAGTAAAAATTTAGTTTGGACTTATTGTAGAATTCTACAAAAAATACAGTAAATATGTATGTCTATCGATATTATTTATAAAAAATAAAAGAATTAGGCCTACATAGTACATATATCACATTTCAAAGTCGAGATCTCGATACCATGAAAATCAACGTAAAACAGGATTTTTCACTTTCTAAAAATATTTTCAACCCCTTAGGGTTTGTTTAAAATTTTCGTTTTACCCTCATTCGAAAGCCCTTAAAATTCGCTACAAGATGGCAAAAAATATTATTTTCCAGAAAAAATATTTTGGAAAGTAAATTTATTTAAAAAATGACAATTATATTTTATTTGCTTTTTTATTATCTTTGGGAAAAAAGTTTTTTTAAATCACTTTTTATAAATTTAAAAGAAAAAATTTTTTACTGTCCTCAATTAAAGTAAATATTCTATTTTTATTTAGAAGTTGAAGATTCAGGAATCGGCACAATAACCTAAAAAATAGGAAAAAATATGTTTGTACTGTCTATGTGTTTATCTGTCATCATTTTCCTTTTCTTCCCCTTCTCATAAATATTACAAAATCTATCATACCAAAACCAAAATATCATACCAAAACGAGCCTATATCACGAGTCCCCAGCTTTTATAATTAAAACCACTAACTCTACCTATTAAAATCTAAGTTTTACGTCTTTGCGATAGAAACCGGACTCGTGGTAGATCAGCTTGTCTTTCCTAATTTTTAAAGACTGAAAGACCCAGCCTTCCCGAAAACCTTACTAAGATTCTAAACATTAAAAAATCCGTAAAAAACAAATTTTTATGCGTCCAATCAATGTCGATATTCAGGAATCGGCACAATAACCTAAAAAATAGGAAAAGATACTCTGGTCAAGCTGACAAGGGACTAAAGTGAAGTACAAGGGACTAAAGTGAAGAACCAGTCATTGACGCTTAAACGGTTCTTCACTTTAGTATCATAAAATCCAGGCGAATAAAAAGCTCTACTTACACTGAATTACGCACGATATCGGGCCATAGTTTCTAACAAACAAAACCGAGTACTTATCGCGTAGATTGCTTGCATGAAAACGTGATTGGACTCATAAAAATTTGTTTAGACGCATGAACCAGTCATTGACGCTTAAACTTTATTGGAAGGCTGATAGGATGAGTAATCTGGACAAGCAAAAAATCCTCCCAAGAAATGCGTGTCAAAATAAAACAAACAAACCTCGACATAAGTGATTGGAAAAAATCCACTCCTTCCATCTAATGTACCTTCAAACCAATGCTCATCAATTTGACTATCAAGTTGTATTATTTGTCCTTCTATAAATAAAATTAACTTTTCTGAAAAAATTTCTAAAAAAATTTCAACATTTTTAATACAAAAGGGAGTTAGGTCCATCCATAGAGAGATCATTAAGACTTTAGTTGGTGACCGTTTTTAACGACTTTGGATCCACATATCATTCGATTACTCTGGTCAAGCTGACAAGGGAACATTGTTTTCTGTCAGTCCGAATCGATATATTTTTTGTTGCCATTCTATAGAGTCCTATTGCGAAGTCCGCTTTCTTTTTCATATTACACTATATTCACATTCCACAGAAGATTTCCCAAAATTTTCTCCCATTTTATTTTCAGAATCAAAAAAAAAACCTTTAAAATCAAGCTCTCCCGGATTTAATGCTTGAAAGTCGTACAATGCTTTACATTTCCCTCCTTTTGAGACACCATTATTTGACTGCACATTTTCTATCGGTGAAGAATTATTCATCATAGGCATTGGACTTGAAATTGAGAGGCTTGCTAAACTGCTTCGTTCACCAAGATGCCTATTTGATATAGAAAAGAGAATTAAGAAAACATGTGATTTTTAAAACTTTGCACCCCTAGATAAGCCCTTGGAGGGTACGACGTCAAAAAGAACCAATATGAGGTGTCTTGGAACGGTACGACATTACAAAGTTCCTCCCCATTCTATTTTCAAGATATCAAAAAAACTAACGAATTAAGATCCGTCCTCGAGCCTTTATTTCTATCAAGTACAGGTCTAGGAACATGTTCTCTAGGTTGTCGATCATTTGTTTCATTTATTCTAAATTTAATTTTTTTTATTTGATTTAAAAAATATAACCTTGAATTAAGTTGTAATTTGAGATTTTCCAAAATATTTGCAGTTTGTTGATGAAAATTGAGTTGTGCATCTATCAGTGCAGTCAATTGACTAATCTGTTCAACCTAAAAATAAAGAATTTTACATAATACAAATTGTGCGCAAGTACTGTCCGCAAAATTTTGCGGACAAAAAATGCGGATTTAAGCTTCAAAAACAAACATCATTATTCAAAATGTTGAACATTGCCTTCTCAGTTAAACGTTTAGACTCTTCCAATTTTTCTTCAGCTTGAATTAAGTCATCTTCCTTTGTTTGTTTCCTTTTTTTAGCATCATAATCTAAACGTCGTCCTTTTAATTTATTCCTGTGACCCTTAAAAAAATTTTTTTTCGAAAATTAAAAAAATTCTTTTTACATTAAAATCTTTAAGTTCATTATTTTGAAAGTCAGTAATAGGATCAAGAAAATTGTGTTTAACAGTATCTTCAAGTTGATATTTTATATCTGCCATTTGACGAAAAGCATCAGCAGCATCACAAAGTGCCTTTAAAAATTTTTCTAATAAAAAAATTGGATTTCTTCAGAGGTCGGCCAAATTCAAACACTACTAACTGGATACGACCTTTTTCCTTTCTTCCATCCCAGTCAGAGGTGGGTCGGAACAGTCAGAGGTGTCGGAAATCGGAAGAACCGGAAATCGAAAGGAAAAAACGCCGGAAATCGGAATTCCGACCCACCTCTGATTCCAATTGCCTTTCTATTTTTTGCCTACAAATAATCAAAAAGGCTCAATGGTAATATTGAACCGGAAAATCGGGTCTGTAAAGTTCAATATTACCAAACAAAATCAGAAAATTTTTGTATAATAACCTTTCCAAAATCAGATTGGGAGCCTAAACCTCTTCCATATTTAGTCATTGTATCAGCTAGCATTCCCTCAGTTTGTGGATAAGCCTGACTTTTTGCTGACCCTCTAAGTTTTGAAACTGCTCCGAGAGTAGCTATTCTTGCTCTTATTGCTTGATAATTGAAAAGAATAATAAAAGAAATTGAGTAACAAAAAACCTGGATTAGGTTGTAAATATTCGTTTGTTCCAGTAACCAATTGAGTAATCAATTCATTGGTTAAGTCGACCTTCTAGAAATAAAAAAAAAATTTAATCTTTTTCACCTAAAAGTTGTTCAAAGAAAAGAAACCCTTTAGTTGGGTATAGCACCGGATTTTGCTCCGAAAACTTATAATTTGTTGGATTTGAAAATTCGCAAAGGCACAGAAGGTTCATATCAAGAATTATTGATTAGGACTGGTACCTTGTCTGTACCGAGATTAATCCTCCAAAGCTTCCGAAGATTAACCCTTCCCATGCTTTCTGAAGCAACCTAGGACTTTTGGTACTTTATGGATATGTCACCCCCCCTCCTATTTTGAGTCTCAGAGTTTTCCTTAAACGTAGAAAATGGTCAGAGATTATTTTCTTCTCCATGCCAATCATTTTTCTTTCTTCAAGCAAAATAAGTGAAATATAGTAGATGTAGAACCGAAATGAGTGAAATGTAAGTACAAAATATGCGAAAAGGCAAAGTAAAGAAGCAAAATGCTTGAAGAAGAAAAAAAATGATTGACATTGAGAAGAAAATAATCACTGACCATTTTCTACGTTTAAGGAAAACCATGAGACTCAAAATAGGAGGGGGGTGACATATCCATAAAGTACCGGACTTTTCAGTAATCCCAAAAAATACTAACAAAAAGTTCATACCCTTTCCATTTCATTAAATTCATCATCAAGTTTAGTTGCTTCTGCTGCTCCAACAGATTCACTAATATATTGATTTGCTTTATTTATAGTCTTTTTAATTGCAGAGAAGGACATTTCTAATCTTTTTTAACTGAAAAATTAAAAAAAATTTAAATAAAAGTAAACTACATTTAGAAGCAACATTCACCTAAAAATTTAAAACCCCAAACCCCCCCCCCCCCTTCTCATTTATTTGTTGGAAAAAATTAAAAATCTTTTTAAGTATTTAAATTAACAAAATTAAATAAAATTTTCCCAATTTTTATCCCATTTTAAGCCATTTTTGAGCCCAAAAAAGAAAAGGAAAAAATAAAATGACAAAAGTGGCCAATGAGTATGTGTACATATTATTTTTTTATCAATATGCTTATAGAACGGTTCAAAAAGAAAAAATAAGGGAGAAAGGAATAGAGGTGAGGGGAGAGTTTGGGGGGAAGTTATTGAAGAAAAATTGGTTGGTTAGAGGAATTTAAAAGCAAAAAAAATAAAAATAGAAGCAGTAGCTGTGATAGAATGACGACTAAAATGTGACAAGGCTCTACTATTACACCCAAAATATCAACATTTGCAATTTAAGCCAATTTGACTCTTGTGTCGCTCAGCTCTCTCGCCGTTCAGTGAAAGACAGTGAAAGACTCAGCGAAGGACGAAATTGGCAACTGCCTCCCAAAATAACCCCCATAATCTCCAAAGAGCCTCAAAATCCCCAGACTCAAATAACCATCAAGATAAAAAGTTTGTTGATCTCATGGGTTATCCCTTTGTCCCACCCCATTTTTCTTTTAAAACAGCAGAATATAAAGAATGAAAAATATTGGCTATATAATATTGAGAAATTATATGTAGTTAAAAGAAATTCTCCCCCTTTACTTGGGCCAATTGGAAAAAAACAAACTGAAGATAGATTGGCAACCCAGCACCTTCAAAAAAACATTTAAAGTGGGGTGCTTTTAAGGGCACTTTGAAAAGGAAATTATTCTTTTTCAAACGCCTTTTTCTTTGGCAAAATAAAAAATATTTTTTAGTTAATCAAAAAATCAACAAAAATAGGAAAAAGAACCAAAGTCAAATGTCAAAATCAGGACATTTTAAGCACTGACCCAAATGAGAATTTAGGCCCCCAAAACAAGTCCTACCCCAAAAATTATGCAAAAAACATCGAACAAACCTAAAATAAAATTGCCAAGTTTAAAATCAAAATGCCAAAATGGTCACATAAATTGAAAAAATCTGAATAGCTCTTCTTAAAAAATTTTAGTTTTATATAAAAAATTTATCTAAAAAATCATTATAAATATTTTAAATAAGAAATATTATTAATTAATTTAAAAAATAAAATTATAAAAATAAATTTTTATTTGTTAGCATTTTTAGAAAATAAACATACACGCGCACACGTTTTTTGTTTTCTTTTTTTTTCATGATTATAAAAAGGAGAAAAAATTTTTATTTAAGTGTCAATGGAATATTTTTTTATTAGGGTTGCCGTTGATGGGTGGTTTTAAAATTTGGTGACTCATTGTCAGAAATATCACGGGTTGAGGAAAAAAGTTGGGACAGCTCTCGAGTTAGGTTTCTAAATTTTCTTCGGATCCGGTTTCGAGTCACAAAAAAAGTCCGGATTTCGAATTTCGGGTTTTTTCGGGGGCTAAATTTGCTGTAAAAGGTGAATAGCCAACAGAAACACTTGTTTATTAACCGCCCTCCGTTCCAACCCTAATAAAAAAAAGTCATGTATATTTAAAAATTTTGCTACAGAAACAGGAAAAGGAGAAAGGGGAAAAGCAAGTTTTATATATAGAATATAATTAGAAAAAAAGTGAACCTCTTAAATATTCTTTTTTAATTTTAATCCCTCATCATTTAGAAAAAGCTTCAAATACAGCATATATCACATCTGTAGCATTAGCACTAGGTGTGCCCATCTTTTTGGCACTTTCAGCTTCATAATCGGTCTCTAATAATGTCCTAACACGTTTCATTGCCAATTCATAATCTGTTAAAAAATTCGATATTCTAATTAGTCAAGCTGTCCAAGACTCTTGGTCTTGATTCCAAAACAAAAAACCTTGGTCATTTAACGGAGAAAAAGCATTTTCCAAAACATCGCTAGCATGAGCCAAAATTATTAATGAAAGCATTTTTTTATCCATCCGTTGAACATCATTCGTCCATCTTGTTAAAACTGATTCTTGTACTTTCTAAAATTAGATTGGTTGTTATATTTTGGTATATCTCCTCCCTCTTTTCTTGATTCCAGTGATTTTTTCGAGTTAATAAAAATTCAAATATAATGATAAACTATCATTATATCTATTTTTACAGTTTCGTAGTAGTTTGGGGGTAATGGCTACCTGGTTTCAATCCTTTTTTAATCAATTATGGATAGACGTTAAAATCTAAAATGGGAACATTACCTACTTTGACTCCCTCTCCCCATTAAGAAATGACTTTCTTTTTCTAGCAAAATGACTTTGGACCGAGTTATGGGAAGTCAAACTTTCGGGTTTTTGGAAAATTTTGGATGTTTCAGACCAAGACATAATTCATGAACTGTAATAAAGACTCATAAATCCTTAGATTTTTGTTCTGGTTGAAACCGATAGCCTAACCCAAAAAATTCAAAAACCACCAGAATCTGATTTTCAATAAAAATTGGTAGATGAAAAACAAAGTATTAAAAGAAACTTTAATCAATTTCGCTTTAATTCCTGAATCATTGAGCGGATGTGTAGTCATATCAAAGAGCAAAAAGTTTTGTTTTTCTGTTGTCAAAACTCCCTTTTCGACTAAATTCTTGGCTAATCTAAATTTAAAAAAAATAAATTTTTATTCCATCAAAAAAACCTTTCACGCATATTCCTAATTTGATAACGCAATTTGAGAGGATTCCATGTTTCTCCACTTAAAAATTAAAATTGGTAATATTCAATTTCGTACTAGGGACGTAACGGGGTGAGAAAAAAATCGGGTTTCGGGTACAAAGCATCTTAAACCTTCATTATCACCTTTATTTATTTTTAAAAAATAATCCAGAAATCAAGGTTAAATCCAGAACAAAAAAATCCAGGATTTTTCCTGGATCCAGATCAAGAATCCTGTCAAGGTTGCTAACCTAAATCCAGATCCAGACTTTTTGAAAATACCGATCTCTATGTATTACAAACCTTGTTCTATGACAATAAATATACTACTTATCCCTTATACCACACCCCCTCAAAGTAGTGTCCAAAATGTCATATATGGGGTAATAAAGGGTGCTGATCACGATTATGGTGTTTATTTCTCAATATAAGAACCCCCTCACCCATAAATTGTCATGGTTCATAATGGTCAAACTTCAAGTTTTTATTTAAATAAATACATATATAGGTATGAGCAATATTAATGCACTAATATTTATTTTGCACTTATATTTATTAATGCACTAATATTTAATATTTATTTTCTGTGTGATTATTGGACGTTTAATGAGTATATAAACGATTTCATTCATTTGAACCCATAATAATAAAAATAAATAAAAAATGCCCTATAATTACGACACACTAATGGGGGGATGTCCTGATGAATCAAACGCTGCAAAATTTTTTCAAAATTGCGGTTTGCTTCATACTGAACGTTTCTGCCATTGTGGTAGTCAAATGCGTCCAAACTTGAAGTTTGACCATTATGAACCATGACAATTTATGGGTGAGGGGGTTCTTATATTGAGAAATAAACACCATAATCGTGATCAGCACCCTTTATTACCCCATATATGACATTTTGGACACTACTTTGAGGGGGTGTGGTATAAGGGATAAGTACCATACCCAGCTTTGCTTTTAAGAAACTGTGGTCCGGTATTGTGTGTGTAAAAAGTCAAGACTTTTTTGGGCTAGAATGAACCGATTACAAGTAGAAAATAAAGAAGAGTGAAGTCGAGAAAGGAAGTCTGACCATTTTTAGTACTTTGGGAAAAAAGAGTGAGGGAGGTATTAAATGAGGGATATTACATATGGTAAGATAATTAAATTTAAAAAAACCTCAAATATTCTACCCAACAGACAACTGACTCGTTTTGATTCGTTTCCTTAATGTGTTTAATTGCTTCATCCAAAATAACATCACCCGTTGGTTTATCGCTTTTTAAGAGCACCTAAATTCAAAAGAAAATATTATAGAAATAGAAAATTATGGTACTTGTGCGTCATCCAAAATAATTTTTGCGGAGATGAGCTATGTATCACTTTCGAATGGGCTATCATTCGTAAAATCGAATTTTTATCTAATTGTAAGATTAAACATTTTGAGCCTTTGTAACCTATAGTTTCTGACCACGAATAAATGCCCGCAAAAAACTGGTTCAGGATAACCCACAAGTACAAAAATTATTTACTTTACGAGAAGAAAAACCCCTTTTGCGAACGCCAGCCTTTTCAAGTTCAATTCGATTCCTCAAGGCAAGTTCAATTAAAATACAGCCACGCAACCCACTGCTTATACAATCATTCCAGAAAGAAGTGTAGCCCTATTAAATATTTTAAATATTAACGCCAAGGGTGACCTAGATTGGAAGGGACAACTTACAACCTACATATGAAATATTTTTCTATTTTTAAAAATATTTTTTTCCAAGTAATATGCTAAAAAATAAAATTTGAGGCGGCTTTAAGACCAAAAATAAGAACAAGTTTCTTTTCGACCCAGTTCCAAGAAAGCTCTTATCAGGATTAAAAGCAGAGAAAGGCCGAATTACCCGATATCAAGGGCGTAGCCAGTCAAAGTTTTCGCCTGCGGCGCTGAAAAAGTAAAAATTGAGGTACAAAAATTTGCGTTCGGAACGCTAAAGTGAACGCCAAGATTTTGCCGCACATTCAATTTTAGCCCTCCCCCGAAGTCGACCCCCTGACTACGCACTTGCCCAAACTTTTTTCGACCTGAAACAAATCCGAAGTTTTAAAAAACACAATCACTCTAAACCCGGCCTATTCCTCATTTAAAAATGCCCAAGTAATCGAAATAAAAACCTCTCTGTCCTTCAGTCCCAACAACAAAATTTCTTCCATTAAAGTTAATCGCTGAATTTTATCATTATTTTCTGTATCATCCTCTTCATTTGGCTGGTTGTCGTTCTGCTCAATTTCGTTTGCCTTCAAAATTTTTAAAAACTAAAAAATACCAACAAAAAACCTGTTCAACATCTTCCACAATTTTTCGCCTTCTTTGAACTAAACCTTCAGACATTTTTTTATAGATAGCGTTTTTTAAAATAAAATTAATGTATGTAAATATTTAAGGAAATTGTTAAAACATTTCTAATTGAAAACAAAAAAAAACAACTCCGTACCCCCTCCATCTTTTCCTTCCTCAAAGTACCAAAATGGTCAGACTTACTCTATTCGATTAAGTACCCGTTCTGCTTTATAGAACCTATTGTCCGGTATTCTGTTTGTTTATCATAATTTTGGATTAATAGAACTGTTACACATTTAAAAGCTTTTTGGGAATAATGTAGGCAGTGTAGGGTACATGCACTTAGCTTTGGCAAGGTTCTAAAAACCAGATCGGGACATTTAAGGCGTAGAGTTACTAGGAAGGTAGCAGATCTAACCATTTTCTAATGCGAAAGGAAAGGAAGAGGAGGGGGGTGGGATACGAAATTGGATTTTACCAAAAGAAATTTAAAAGATTTTGTGGCTCGAAACGGTAAAAATTATTAAATCAAATAGAAAATCGTTTTTAAAGCAAAAAAACTTTCCAACAAATAAAATCAAAAATGTGTGAATGAGAACGTTTCAAAGGCTTTTTGCCAACAACGCTATTTTAATATTATAACCCCCCTTTTCTCGCTTGCAATCATTAAAATAGAAAAATTAAAAAAAGGGAAAATCACGTCGACGCATTCGGGAAAGAAAAGGGAAAAAGAGAATCGATTTTATATTGGATTAATGAAGATATTTATGGGATAAAAAAAAGTTATAGTAAATATAAAATATATGTGATTTATTAAATCCTAAAATAGAATAAAAAACAAGACAAAAAAGCTGGCATTATAAAATCTCAAGTCCGACCCTGTAGATCAACGCTGTGTTTTAGTGGTGATCTAAAGGGTGAAACTTACTATAGACCCATAAAATCACCACTAGAAGAGTGTGGTGATCTTATGGGTTATTCTAACGGGCGTTTTGGCGCAAGACAATATGACGTAAGCGATATTTGTTTGATTGACATTTTGGTCCATGGTGGTCCGTAATATAAAGGGTCGTATAACTCTAGAGATTTTTCTGGTTAAATTTACATCAAAGATCTAAAATATAAATATTTTTAATTCGTCATTTTATTTATTTTTTAGGGAGAGAAAAAAATGGGCCCTATCTGAATAAGAGGGCGCTTTGATTTTTTTATCATTTTTTTCCTACCTTAATATATAAATAATGGTTAGTCTTTTCTTCCTAGTCCGATTCCACTCGTTTTACCTGTGGCATATTCAAATGAGAGGACAGACAAAGCACAAACACCCGGACAGACAATAAACGGGCGTTTTCTGTCCGAGTCCGCCCGTGTTTTGTCTGTCGGTGTCCGTCTGTGTTTTGTGCCATCGTGTTCATCCGTCTTTTATCTGTCTGTGTTAGTCCGTGTTTTGTTTACTGTGTTCGTCCGTGTTTTGTCTGTCCGAGTCCGTCCGTGGTCAGTCTTTTCTTCCTCTTTGAATCCGTCCATGTTTTGTCTGTCCTCTCATTTGAATATGCCACAGGTAAAAAGAGTGGAATTGAACGCGAAAGAAAAGACTGACCATTATTTATATATTAAGGTAGGAAAAAATAATGAAAAAATCAAAGCGCCCTCTTATTCAGATAGGGTCAAAAAATGTTTTTAATTTTAAAGTTATGAATGATTTTATTAAATGGTTGGAAAGTGATGGAAATATTTTATTTTCAAATGTGGATATTTGTTTGATTGACAAATCTGTTGGTTATGGGTTATTTGCAAAAGAGAATGTTAGATTAAATGAAGTTTTGATTAAGGTATGTTTTTTTAAAGTTTTGGGATTTGGGGAGCATGGGTGTGTGGCAGTTTCGTGTTTCGCCTTTTACCGATTTTCGTCTTTTTTTGGAGCTTCGACTTTCGTGTTTTGATTTTTAGATCTAATTTCGTTTTGTTCCCTTTCGTATTTCGCTTTTTTAAAATATGGAGTCTTGCAAATATTTTTGCAGACTTTTCACCTATTTTCGATTTTTTTTCCTATTAAAGTTTTTTTTTTCAAATAATTGTATGTATTTCGCAACATTTCCATTTAATCCTTTAAATAATCTCGGTCCTATAATCCTCTCTAAATAATCGAATACTAAAGGGAAACAGAGACATATAGTGGAAAAATCTGCAAAAGAAATCTGAAGAACAATCCACTCTTTTATAAGTTCTTCTAAAGTTTTACTTTTTCAGATTCCAGAAAAATATATTATTACTGCAGATTTTGTGTCCAATATTAAAGAATATTCAGATATATTAAACAGGTTTTTATTTGACTGTTTTATTTTTTCAGTTATTTGGGTTCTGTCCGTAAAATTTGTCCGAAAGAATTTTTTTCTTTAAAAGCAATTCTTTTTTTAATTTTTGTTAGTTTTTTAAGGAAACAGGAACGGAGATTTATTAAAAAAAGAAGGTGAAATAACTCCTCGGTAGCTTGCATTTGTAAAAACATAATTGTAAGTGTGGAGGGGTGAACGAAAGCTCCTCTTTGCCTACCAGTAAATCGCGTCTGCCAGGGGCTAAACTTTTTACCTCTCTCTTACTCAAGCTTCTTTGTTCACCTATATTTGTCTAATAAATCCCAGCAAGTATCGAAAATTTTCAAGCACCGGTCTTTCTGTTGAATTTGCGGATATTTTCCTCATCTGCAAATAATTTTATTCAATTTTTAAAGATTTGTTTTTGATTTTTCCGAACTGTTAGCTCTTTTCTTTGCTTTTGAACGGGTATATCTTGATTATTTTTGCAAACAATTTGGGTCTTTAAACGATGGGACTGCTTATTTTGTGCAGTGGACATTGGAAATGCCCAATGGATTTGAACAGTTTTTGGATTGTAGGAAAAAGTTGATGAATGAAAAACGAAATGAAAGCGATTTTTGGTTTGGTTTTTAAACTTATTCAGAAAAATTTCAAAAAAATTTTTTGTCCGCAATAATTTTTGCGGATAAATTTTTCGTCTGCAAATTTTTGGGCCATTTTTAAAGAATTTTTATTAGGTGGAAGTCGTATATAGGCATTCTTCCAAGAAACTTTTCAACTCCGTTATTTATTTATTATTTAAAAGAAAATGGACAGGCTAAAATAAAAGAAATTGCCTGTCAATTGCCTATTGAAACAAAAGAAAAATTGTTAGGACAATTGGATGAATTAATTGTTTTTGAAGAAAAGGTTTCTAATTAAATTTTAATTTCTGTCCGGGGACTATGATTCGATATCTTTGTTTTATTCCATTTAGCGACATTTTGACGAATGTCACAACTGTCAATCGCTTGACATTCCGGAAGCGATTGGCAACTGAAGTCAAGTGAATGTTGGCTGCAATATTTTTGTGTACTTTCCCTGTTAAACGGGTGGCGAGGGAAATGTTCACAAACATTTAAATTCTTCAAGCAATTTCTGACATTTTTTCAGTTTTTTAAATTGCTTCTTAATTCATCCGAGGAGGATGCTTCTCAAATTGCTAAAGAACTTTCTCAAGACTCGATAATTTTTTGGAGAGAAATTTGTTGTTGGGCATGGCATATAGTTAATACAAGGTTTTATTTAAATTTCTTAAATTTTTAATTAATTTTTAGAAGCATTTTTACCGAAAATTTGTCTTTACACTCGGTTGATAAACAAAAAAGTTATGATAAAAATCAGAAGAATTGCTCAAAAAAGAAAATAGATGAAGAAAATTTTGGAGGCTCACTTGCATTAGTACCTTTGGTTGATATGTTGAACCACAGTCCTGATGCTTCGGTTTATTTTCAATTTATTGATGATTAGGGTTTGCAGATTTTTGGCCGTAATAGCAAAATATTGTGACTTATAAACTTATAAATGCTGCCGAAATATAGTTAAGAGGAAATTACGTCGTAATACCAAATAAATACCAAATTGCTTAAAACATTCCCCCAAGCTTCCCCTTTTATTGGAATATCATCGCTTGTCGTTGGTTTGGTATTACGGGCATACTAAAAAATATTACCGAAGTTAGCAAGATTTCCAGGCTCCCAAAAAGTCTACAAGCTTTGTCCGCAGACTTCTGTTATTATCATTTTTTAGTGTGTCCCATTTTTCGACAAAAAGATGGGCTTCTTCAAAGTTATCGCAGAGCACCATTCTATTGTGGCTGGACAACAATTGTTTTTTAGAAATTTTTTCAAGTTTTTATATTTTTATTAATAGATTTTTCTGTTATGGTGCTCATAATAATGACCAACTTTGGATAGAATATGGTTTTAGACTTTTGGAGAATCCTTTTAATCGTGTGAATATTTCAATAGGTTTGTTTGTTTTTTGGTTATAAATTTTTTCGTGACAAATCGCAGTCCGACAAATTCAATTTTAGAGATTTTTGTTTGCGGATAAAACGAGGTAATTTTGAGACATCTAAAACAGCGGTTCCAAACGTTCCGTTTCCAAGAACCATCTTTCTTTTCTTACAAAATGTCATTTAAATAATTGAAAGAATTGGAAACTTCAACTTTTTACTCTTTCTAATTTAGATTTGTTCGTTGTTTTAGCTGAACGTTGTGGACAAAAAGTTGAATCAGCAAGAAGAGAAATTCTTAAAAAGGCTCGTCTACCTTGGTAAAATTTTTAATTTTTATTTAACTTAATTCTGATAAATTTTTAAGTACAATTTATGCAACTGATGAAATTCCGAGTTTTGCACTTCGTAAAAATGCTTCAATTTTATTGATGAAAAAATCAAAATTGTTTGTTTGGTTCTTTTCTTCTCACAAGAAAAGTCCGCAAGTTTTTCCACAAGTAAAAAATTTCAATGCGTCTTTTTAGTCTTTTGAAATTTACTACAAATATTGTTGATTCCCTTCAAAATCCTTCAAAACATTCTCTTCTTTCTTCTCCCTTTTTTGTAAAACCTTTCTGATTACTAAAAAACACTTATTAAAAAATACCTCTATTTTCGATATTAGAACTTTTGGAAAACACTGCTTTCCACATCGTCACACAGTTTTACGTACAATTTTTAATGCTCTTTCGAATGGGGTTAGCACATCTATATTCATTCGAATTTGCTGAATTCGGAGGACTGAAACTTTCATTGTCATAAAAATAAAAGTTGCGGACAAAATTTGCGGATTTTTGGAAGGAAATTGCCATCAGAAAAAATTATTTTCAGATCAAATTGGAGTCAATATCTTTTTTCTGATGAAGAAAATGAATATGAAGAAGAAGGAATTTTAACTAGTCCAGAAATAAAATTAATTGTATCGATTTTGAGGAAACTTGAAAATGCCCTTATTGCTAGAAGAAATGAATGCTCGATGGAGGAAATTTGTGCATCCTGGGATGATCAAATACAAATATTAAAAAGGATGTTAATTAAATATTGAATGTTTATCTAAGTTTGTTGATTTTATTTAAAAATAGAAAAGCCTCGCTTGTAAGTACGCCCTTCACTTTAGGATCTCTGGTTCTGATTTCGCTTGTAATCAGAGGTGGACAGAGTTTAGAAAAATCGAGTCGAGTTTCGAATCTGGTTTTCAATATTTTCTTCGAAAAGGGTTTCGGGCGAGGTCCACAAGTGAGGTCCAACTATCGAACAATAGATATAAAATGCTTTTTTGATTAATTACTTATTACTTAATATCTAAAAGAAATTTTAATAAATGCAAATTTAGTATATTTAAATTAATTTTTTGATATTTAATTATATTTAAATTTTATTTTTTTAAGAAAATGATTTTAGGAGAATTCCAAAATGGTTGATTAAATTTTTATTAAATTTTCTTGAGAAAAAAGTGCTTGGGATGAGGAATAGATTTAATTGTGGAGAAAGGGAACATGACAAGCTTGAAGGTTTGGTTTTTCTTTTAATTGTCCAGGTTTCGTGTCATTACTGAGTGATTTGAAGGGGATAGGGATAAAACTTTTTTTATATTTCCTTTAATTTGTGTCTACTCTAATTATCCATTCAACGACCTCCAGAAATTTTTTTTGTTTAACTAAAATATATATACTAACTCGTTTATCATCCCAAAAATCATTTACTAGTTTCCTCTGGTTTTATTGTCCACATTTCTCTCCTCTTTTGTTGTTTTTTACAACAAAAAAACAAAACAATTCGCGCGGCGCTAACAGAGAGGGAGAAGAAACATCTTTTTGTTGTCCATTCTTTTAGTCCAAAAATTTTGTGAAGGTATTAGAATACACAATTTATCTATTTCCTATTTGTTGTACAACAAAGAAGAAAATACCTATATTTTAAAACATTTCCAAAGCCTGTTGGTGGGGGAGGGATGGTCGTTTTATTGAAATTTATATTTTTTAAGTAATTGTGCTGTCCGCAACTCTTTTTTGTCAGACTGGGGCTTTCAGCAAATTTATTGCAGATTTTTGCTAACTTTTCCGCAATTTTACTTGTATTTGCGAATTAAAGTTTTTGTGTAAAAATTTTTCGATCGCTTGACATCTCTGCCCTTTACCCAAAAAATTTCTCACAAAAATTTTCCAAATTATTTTTATTTGTCTATATTCTCATTAATTTAAAATATTCCTACACAGATAAAAAGCTATTCAATAAAAATAAGTAAATTTCTTGGAACACATCTCGTGATGAAATTGTCACACTTGCCTAGTTTGGAGGGAAAATAGGCACACTTCTTTTCTCTCTTTAGCTAATATATTTTTATTTTTTCAATGTGTGTTTTGTTTTTGTCTCTAACACATTTAACAATAAATAGGTCCCCACAAATTTATTATTTTATGTCCAGATGGTTTTGGGTCTTTTTTTCTTTTTAATATAAATAATGTGTTTATCGTTAAACTAAATTTCTTTTTCTGGTCATTTAAAATAACCGAAAATCATCGGATAAAATTTTTTAGAAATTTTAGAGAAAATCACATTTTTGCGGATTACAGTTGCGGACAATGATTTATGTTTATTTTTTTGCGGACTGTATTTGCGGACAATTTATGTTAGCCGCAAATGCTGTCCTTGTATTATCCAAAAATGTTATCCGCAAATTTTTTTCAATTTATATAGCAAATACATATATTGTTCACAAAAATTGTCCGCAAATGCTTTCCGCATTTTTTTATCAATTAACATTTTCTTTATTATATCCTCTTCTTAAAGTTATTTTTATCCTCTAGAAATATTATTTTTGGTTCTCGCTTTTTAAAAAAATACACAATAAAAATTTATTTCAGATCGCCCTCCTCATTTTTCTTCTTCATCCGACAACAACAAAAACAGTTTTATTTCCTCCAACTGTTTTAAAAATAATGTTAAAACAATGAAGTCTTCTCCTTCCGGTCAAGATGTAAGCTCCCCAACTGCTGCCGGTGTTCATTTCATTTCTCCATCAGAGCGACGTCGAGAAGATAATTCTTCTAGTAATGTTGGGTTTTTTATAAAACGTCGCTGGCGCTGTATTTTTGGGGTTCTTTCTGCTTTACTGATGGCTACTGGTTAGCTTTTTTTGTTATTTTAGTAGTTAAAAGACTTTGACCCTATTTATTCCCTATTTACAAACCCTATTTACAAATTTTTTGCGGACAAAAAACTTTGTTCGCAATTTTTTGCGGACTGATTTTTTGTAGGACTTGTCCCCAATGTGTCGATTAAAATAATTAATTACAAAGCCTCTTAACCAAAAAATGTAGGCTGCTAACCTTTTTTAAATTTTTAGCTGTAATCGTTGGTAGTTTCATTCTCTTTATGATTTTGATGAGTGAGGCAAAAAGAAGAGCAAAAACAGAAGAAACGCAATATTTAAAAGGATTAGTAGATACAATTAACAATTCATCAGATGTTAGATGGAAAGCTCGTTTTAACCCGTTTGGCATTCGTGTTCAGGATTTTAGCCACAAAAGTTTAAAAAATTTGACGGCAATAAAAGAATATGTTGCACATTTGGAAAGGTTTTTTGATTCTCCAAGAATGAAGGAACATTTAAAGTAAGGGGACTTTATTTTTAAAGGGTTTTATTTGAAAAAAGTTCCGAAAAAAATTCCTCATTTCTTTCATTCTGTCTTTACTAGAAAAATTAGAAAAAGTCCGCAAAAATCCTTTACAATTTTGTCAGCAATTATTGTCCGCAAATGATTTTTCGGACAGAAAATTTTGCAAATGGGCAAGGGCGATGCTTTTTGTGGACTTGATGCTTTTTTAACAGAAAAAGTCCGTAAAATTGTTTTGTCCGCAAATATTATCCGCAAAAATTAATTCTGTAAAATTTTTTGTTTTTCTGTAATATCCTAACAAATTTAAATCTTCAACAGAGAATTGGAAGATTTTCCTGATTCAAAGCTTCCTCGACATTTTGATGCTCGAGAAAAATGGTCATTATGTCCAAGTATTCACCAAATTCCAAATCAAGGTGGTTGTGGCTCTTGTTATGTAAGGATATCTTTTCGCAAAAATTATTTGTCCGCATATTTTGTACGAAAATAAATTTTTCATTATTTTTCAAGGCTGTTGCTGCAATGACTGTAGCTGCTGACAGAACATGCATTCTCAGCAACGGAACGAAAAAATCACAATTATCAGCACTTGATGTAATCGAATGTTGTTCTGTTTGTGGAAATTGTTTTGGAGGAGATCCTTTAAAAGCAATGGTCTATTGGGCTTTAGAAGGTGTTGTGACTGGAGGTCCAGATGGCTGTCATCCATACACAGTCAACGCTGAATGTGGCACTCCATGCAGTCCTCAAGTATATGGAATTGAACAACAAAAACGTTTTTGCCGAAGAGATAAATGCCAGCCTGGTTATTATCGAAATATAAATTATGAGGAGGACAAACAAAAAGGTTAGTCATATAATATATAAATTTAATCCCTCCCTAATGCTACGGTTACATAAAAATCGCGCGCGTCTTGAGACAGACGCTCGGCGACAAGACGCGCGCGACAGTCGCTAGTGGTGTGGTTACATAAAATCGGCGTCTTCCGCAAAAGCGACTGTCGCAAAGCGACAAACGCTGATTTTATGTAACCACGCCACTAGCGACTGTCGCGCGCGTCTTGTCGCCGAGCGTCTGTCTCAAGACGCGCGCGATTTTATGTAACCACTAAATCCGATTAAAAATTTTTTTAAACATTTATCATACTAAAATAAAATTTATAAAATCAAATAATTTTATTCTGCCATGGTACCGATCAGGGGTGGCGCTCCTCTCGTATCTCGTGAAATCTCGTGTTTTTTAGAGGTCTCGTATCTCGTATTTTGCCACAAGACACGAGATATTTTCAATATATTTTAGAAAAAATGTCAAAAATTTGAGACTATTTTAGGATCCTAGAATTAAAAAAAAAGGAAGAAATCTTGCCCAGTGGTCTTCCAAAATTCTCAAATTTTCGCCTGCGGCGCTGAAATTGGAAAGAGGTATAAAGTTGGTCAAGCGGGAAAGAGGTATAAAAAAATTGGAAAGAGGTATAAAGTTGGTCAAGCGGGAAAGAGGTATAAAAAAATTGGAAAGAGGTATAAAGTTGGCCCAATAAACTCTTCTCTATCTGAAGGTATAAAAATTGGAGTAAATTATAAATTGGAGTAATTTATAAAATTGGAGTACGTAAAAATTTTTTATGTGAAAATCCCGAAATCCCACGGGATTTCGCTAAATTTTAGAAAAGGATTACGGGATTAATCCCGCGGGATCCTGTCTTGGAACAAGTCCTGTCTTGGAACTAACTTGGAACAAGTTCTAGAACTGGAACTAAGGAATTTTAAAAATGGAGTTCCGAAACTGGAACTACAAAAATAAAAAACCTAGTTCTGGAACTGGAACTAGTTCCAGAGAAATTTTGGAACCTTCCCATCACTGATCGTCAACTTAGTCATGTTTATTAGTCTCAAAAAGTCTTAAAGCCTCGATTTTCCCCAAAATTTTTTGTCCCTAACTATATGGGACGAGCCCTACTTATCAAGAAATGGTCACTTTTTCATGTTTTTGGTATCATTTGATAGAGAATCAAAAGCTCTACAACATATCAAAAAATCAGAATTTTCGACCGATTGATAAAAAAGTTATGATACTGAGAATCTCAAAAATATCGAAAAAAAGAATATTTTTTTGCAAAAAGTATACCTTTTTCAAAATCAATTTTAACCCATAAGATTTAACTTTAAAAATATAAAATTTATATTGATCGATAGAGAATAAACTGAACTTTCAGAATCTTTTTAAATTTTGAAAATCGGATCAGAATTGGCCGAGAAATGATCAAGACGCTAAAAGTTGTCGCCAAAAATTCAAACATGTTTGAATTAAAAAAAGTGTCGCCGGCGACAAGACGCCGGCGGAAGATGCATTTTATGTAACCACTAGAAAAAAGCGACAAGACGCCGGCGTCTTGTCGCTGGCGGAAGACGCGGTTTATGTAACCACTCGAAAAAAGCGACAAGACGCCGGCGACAAGACGCCGGCGGAAGACGTATTTTATGTAACCACTAGAAAAAAGAGACAAAATTTTTTTCCTCTTTTCTCTCCTCTTTTTACATTATCTTTTCTGTCGCAAGACGCGCGCGATTTTTATGTAACCGTAGCATAATAAGGTGCTTGAGTTGATACTGGATATAATTTATAGCAAATTTTGTCCGCGAAAAATTTTCTTCACTAATGGTCGGTAAAACTACAGTTTTAGGGTTACAAGTTTAGATAAAAAAAGTTTCGAACGTGGCGGAGTTCAGCATGAATAAAAATTGAAAAATGCAAATAAAATAGGAAATGGGGCAGGATTCCAGAAAATCCTGTATGCGATCTCGACCCACTTTTGACCTCTACCCAAAGGCGTAGCCAGGGGTGCTTCTGGGGCTATAGCCCCCACTCCTGAAATGGGGAAAAGGGAAAGATATTGGGAGAAAGATGATGGGAAAATTTAAATTGGTTCGCTTACGACCTTCAAAATTCTCCAAATTTTCGCCTGCGGCGCTGAAAAAATAAAAATATGTGTACAATAAAATTTGCGTTCAAACTGCCAGCGTTCAAACTGCCAAAATTTTTGCGCACACCACATTTTAGCTCCCCTAAAATCGACACCCGGGCTACGCCCTTGCTTCTACCCACATAAAAATTTGGAAAAATCGTGGTACAGACTTGGTATGCTTGAGTCATGACATCCTTTGATAGTTTATTCCAATTTATAAATAGGGGGTCAAAGTTTTGTCCGCAAGTTTTGCCGCAAAAAATTTTCCATCTTTTTTAGGTTTAATAGCTTATACACTCTTCCCACGAAAAATGAGTATTGACCAAGCAGGTAATAAACGAGTAATGCTACCTTCCGTAATTGGTCATTTCAATAAAACTTTAAAAGGAAATTTGGACAGAGACAAGGTTTTTGAATTTATTTTAATAAAAAATTTTTTTTAAGATTAGAAATATTATTCGAAAAGAACTTATTACTGTTGGACCGACAACTTTAGCACTTCCACTTACCGAAGAATTCCTTCATTATGACTCAGGTTTGTGAATAATTTTATTTCTTAATGAAAAATGGTTTGTCCGAAAATGTAGGTAAATATGTCCACAAACAAGTGTGAAAATGTGTACGCAAAATACAAAATAATTTTGCGGACAAAAAATTTCTCAACTAGAAATATTAACTGATAGGATGGGGTGTTTCAGGCCAGTATAAACCATACTATCTAAAAAGAAATTTACGTTCAGAATTGTTTAATAAGAAAGTTTTTTGGACAATTAATTATGTATATTTTTTGAATTTTATTTCTTTTTTAGGTATTTTCCACCCATATCCAGAAAAAGATTTTGAAAATCGAATAATATATTGGCATGTTGTTCGATTAATAGGTTGGGGGCATGATGAAGAAGATAGACTTTATTGGATAGCTGCAAATAGCTTTGGAGAGCAATGGGGTGAAAATGGTAAGGGGAATTTTTTTTTTGAATTCTTTTTAAAACTCAATAAAAAAATTTTTGAAAATTCGTTTTCCTTGTATACTACAAAAAGTCCGCAAGTTTTATCCGCAAATCTATTTATCAAAAAATAGAGTTCGACACTGGTTGGAACACTGACCGGGCTAAGGGTTTTCAGGTCGGGTTCAAACTGACCCCGCCTCGGGTCAGTTTGAAAAACCCCGGTTACCGGACCTGGCAATTTGAAAATGTCAACCCCTAAAGAATAGATGACTTGCAGATAAAGCTTGCGGACTTTTTCAAAAAGATTTTCACAAAAAATTTTTCAGGTCATTTCAAAGTAGATACCAGCCTATTGGAAAATTTTGGTTTAGAATACGAAGCGGGACTTTAACAGAACAAAATTTGTGTGGCAACAAAAAATTTTTAAATATAAAATCCCAAAAAAATTCTTTAATGTATTGTTTTAATTTTTCTGTTTTTCTTTTTAATTTTGTCTTTTCTAATGGGGAAATTTACCTCAATTTTAAATAAAAATTTAAATGTTTAAAAATAAATACTTTAAATAATTATATTTTATAATTTTGTGTTTAATTGTGCTTTTGAACTGGTTGTGGTGATCATTGACTGGAGGCCTGAAAATATTTAAAGGTTATTTTTTTTATTAAGAGAGAGAGAGGGGGGGGGGTGCTGAGGATTTTTCATAAAAGTATTTTCGAAGATTGATTTGGTGATGGGTTTCTCCAAAAAAAGATGCGGACTTTTTCTATTTGGACTTTTTCCAGTCCGCAAAAATTTTGCGGACTTCCCGCGTGTGGGCGTGAACTTTTTAAAAAACTTTCCCGAGGCCCTCCCCCCCTCCGCTCGAAAATAAACTTAAAAATAAACCCTCAAAATAATAAACCTGTTGTTCTCTTGCATCCTTCTTCCTTTCAGCCCTCATCCTTTTCAATTTCAAATCCTTTTTAAGTGCATGTTTAAAAGTAACATATAAAGGTTCCTCTACTTGTACAGCCCTTCCTTCACAAAAATCGTCTTCCAATTTTTCACGAAAAGTTTTTTCACGTTCTTTGACAAACCGAATAACTTCAATTCCTTTGTCCCAAATATTTGATTGAAATCCTGTTTTGACTTTTTCTGTTTGTGGCATTCGAATATTTTTACTGAGAGAGCCAAACTTGAAAGGAAGAAAAGGATTATTTTAGAAATTTATACAGAAAAAGTAAAAAGTTTGGATTTAGTTTAGCTGAGGGCCCGCTAGAAATTTTGATTGGACTTATAAAACCAATAGAGCTGTTTTTCTGCTTCCTAAATTTTTCCGGATTAGAGGCTCAGGATCAGTTCCAGTTAAACCGAGCCCAAAGCAAAGCCCCCCCCCCCCCCCCCAAAAAAACTCTCGTTCTTTATTGCCAGAATGTAGCCATTTATTAAAATTAAAAAGCCAACCTTTTCTCTATTATTAATTTTATAATCCTTTCTAACAAATTGTTGAATTTGTTTGTCTTCTGAATTAATAGTAAATGATGATGGCCTTTCAGCAAATTTTGATTCTTCTTTTTTAATTAAACTTTTATTTTGTGTATTATCAGCAGTTGAAAATCTGAGAGAAGTAAATATTTTTGGAAAATGTAAAACTGATTTTGAATTAAAATTTGACAACATTTTTTAAACTAAATTTAAGAATTGTAAAATTTAATATTTCTCCATTACGAGCTAGAAATTTCCCTTTATTTGGACCTTTTATGATATTCATAGTTACTGACCATTTTATATATTTCCTAAAAATATTCTTTTAAACGTCGACAGTGGTCTCCCGGACAATGCGTCAGTGGACTATCGGTCAGTGGACAAAACGTTAGTGGGGAATCTGTAAGTGACGTATATCGGAGGAGGGACACGGACACTTAGTCGCAGGCCACTTAGTCGCGACCACTTAGTCGCGACCACTTAGTCGCCGGCCACTTAGTCGCAGGCCCACTTAGTCGCAGGCCACTTAGTCGCGAACTAGCTAAAAAGCAGTGTTGCACCGGAACCGATATTTTGACCGGAATCGGAACCGGATCCAATTTGAGTTCCGTATCCCGGAACCGGAATTTCCGATTTTCGAATTTTTTCATAAAATTTCGATATTCGGTTTCGATATTTTTGGATTTCTTTTGATTTTCGAGTTCCGTTTTTCGATAATTTTTTTTGTTTCGACGCAGCTCTGATCCCGACAGATCTCACTCCAAATCCCATTAATCCATGCAAAGTTTCGAAAATATTCCTCATTCCTCTTTAGCGCCGCAGGCAAAATTTTGTGAATTTAGGAAGGCCAAGTGAGTTTTGGAAAGCCAATCCAAGTTTGGAAAGCCAATCCAAGTTTTGGAAAGCCAAATCCCCAGATATTCAATCCCTATATCTGCTTTACACTATTTAATCCCTCGATATCACATCCAAATCCCTCGATATTACCTTTGATTTAAGTTTTAAGCGACCTGGAAAAAAGTACCTTCGCGACGAAGTGGCCTGCGACTAAGTGGGCCTGCGACTAAGTGGCCGGCGACTAAGTGGTCGCGACTAAGTGGTCGCGACTAAGTGGCCCGCGACTAAGTGGGCCGTACCCATCGGAGGATTATGGGATATAGAGGGTAATTTGGAGGGATATCGGAGGAGTTGTGAGGGAGTCTTCGACTTTTTGGTGCTGCCATAAAGGCGTGACCATAAGGATACGGCCGTTAGGGCGTGAGTTAGGGCCCTCGTATGGTTTTTCGCCTTATTGACAAAATATGTTAACACGATGTTATCTTTTTTTTCAAATGATGATTTTAAAAAAAAAGTCATCATTTTTTTACATTTCTTGTTCAATTTTAAATTTTTAGTAATTTACTGTAAACAAAAATATTTTAGGCTCAAAAAACTTAAATGGCAGCCTCAACAGTTGCTCCACCAATAATTCTTCGTTCAGTTGAGAAGCACACTTCAACGGTTTAAAATTATTTTTTTATTTTTAATTTATCTTCTCATTTTTAAGCTTATTTTCTTTCACGGATTGGGAGATCAAGGAGATGGCTGGGCAAGTGTTTTTAAAGAAGAAATGCGAGTGCCGTATATAAAGTTTTGTTTTTTTGAGTTTTTTATTTAGAAAAAACCCCTTTAAGATATATTTTCCCAAATGCCCAAAGTAGGCCAGTAACTTTAAATTTTGGTATGCGGATGCCTGCTTGGTATGATATCCTTGGATTGACTGCTAACTCTGCAGAGGTTTTTTTATGTTTTTTTTGATAATAATTTGGTTAATACCAGGGATGTCACGGGCTCATTCTCTATCGAATGAACCCGGTTCGAACGTTTTTAGGTCGGTCACTTCACAACCTTTCCTTATTAACATTCTTGGTCCATACCTCTCTTTTCTGACCATTTGAGCTTTTTATTTAAATTTTTTCATAAAAATAAAAAAGAAACGAAATCTTTATAAAAGAGTCAAAATAAAAAAAATCTCAAAATGGTCAGGAAAATGTGATTATAAAAATATTTTTAAGGACGAGCAAGGCATTGAACTTGCAAAGGATTATGTTCATGGTCTGATTAATAAAGAAATTGAAGACGGAATTTCTCCTAAACGTATTTCTATTGGAGGATTTTCAATGGGCGCAGCTTTGGCTTTATATGCAAGTTTATTTTGAAAATGAGTCATACTTGAATTATTGATCTAGTATACAATAGACCAGACCCGTAACTAGGATTTCTTTTCGGGGGCCAGAGGGATCGATCTCGGCGCCAAAAATTTAAAATTTTTGGGAATCTTGGAAGACTTTAGGCTTAAAATTTAATTTTTTGCCCAATTCCCTCCTGAAAATTTTCCCCATTTCGGGGGCCGGGGGCATTACCCAACCGCCCCACCCCTCTGGTTACGGGCCTGAGTCTGACCTCAATTTTATATCTATTGGTACGGAATTTTTTTTACCAAAATTGGGTTACCTATTACTCCTGGTATTGCTTTGAAAACAGAGATCGCTTGAGTTCCTCCACTTTTCGTTCACCAATTCCTCCAACTGTAATTCTAAATTATTTTCATGTTAATTTTTTAGGCGGGATTGACTTTCGACAAACCTCTTGGATGTATTATCTCGTTGAGTGGGTATTTAATCCAGAGAAGTAAATTACCAGGGGTAAGGATTCTTTTTAAATATTTTCAAATATTTTTCTTTTATATTTTAGGATCACAAAGCAAATTTGAAAACGCCTGTTTTCCTAGGACATGGGCAAGACGATTTTCTTGTTCCTTATAGCTTTGGTATTTTTTTTAGTTTTTTTTTGAGGTTTTATTTGTCACCCGCTATCTTTTCCATTATCCGCAAGTTTAATCCGCAAGTCATTTATTAAGATTATTAAGAATATCCTCTGCAATGAACGACCAGTTGTTGTTCCTAGTGCAAATATTAGAGATCGGATAGAGAAGAGATTTCGATCAAAAATTTTCATTTTTTTTGAGAATCTCTGTTTTTGCGCAACAGTTCCAGTCCGATCTCTACTTAATACTCTCTATTAAAGTTCATCCGTGCTATAAAATTTGTGAGTACAATTTGCTTGTAGACAAAATTTAACTTGCGGACAAAACTTGCGGGTTTTTAGGAGCATAAGAAAATAAATTAAATTTTTTTAGGTCAACTGACTTATCAGGAAATACATAAATTTAATCCTAACGGTTTTTTATTTTTTTTTAATTTTTAAAATTTTTTAATTTCAAAGTAACTTTAATTCCTTATCAATGTCAACACGGGACAACTCCACAAGAGCTTGCTGATACTCTTACTTTTATTAAAACAAGCATTCCAGCAGAGGAGAAAAGTTGTGAAAATAAGGAAAAGGTTATTTTTCGATTTTTTAAATAAATTTGTTGAAAAAAAATATTTTTGAGAGGAGAGAAACTTGGAAATTTTCTTTAAAATTCCTTCTTCTTCTAGTTTCCCTTTTAAATTTCCTCCATATTTATTTGAGAAATACAAGTTGCTTCGTGTGATTTAGGAACCAGGGTGGGTTATCTGAAATCCGGACTTTTTTCTCAACCCGACCCTCCCTGGTAGTTACTTTGGAACCACAGAGGTGGTTCCTTCCTATACAAATTTCAATTTTTTTCAATTAAAATCCAGTTACCTTCAAAATCTAGTTTCCTTTGGTTCCCTTTAAATTTCCATATTTTTTAAAAAAATTAGTCTATATCCTCTCTTATATCCATAGGGATTATTATCACAAAAAAAATATTTTTTATTTAATTCAAAACTTTTAGTAAAATTCCAGTGTAGTACCAATGAAGAAGATGATTTTTTAAATAAAAATTTTAAACAAAAATCTAAATTGTAATTTTTATATATTTTGAAGAAATTAAAGTTAGTAAGAAAATTATTTATTTTAAAAATTTTGCTTACTAAATTAATTAGATAAAAATTGTTTTTGTGTTTTTTTGTTCTTTTTTTAATTTATTAATTTTGAAAATTTTTTTACTTTTTTTTGTCACTTAAAAATTTTTTAATTTTAAATTTTCAAAAATTTTCCCATTTAAAAAATTTTTTCAATGGAATGGAGTCAGAAACTTTCTGCTTTTGAGGTTTTTTTTCTTTTAAAAATTCAAAAAAAATCTTTTTCAAAGGACCAGGCAATTACACAATTATTAAAGCACATTTATTCTGACAGAACTTCAAAATGTGAAAAGGATTCTTTGGCTATTGAAACAATCCAGAAATTTAAAGAAGACAAGTATTTTAGATGGAAATTGATATTTTCTGTTTTGGAGGGAAAACAATTGTAAATTTTGGTTTTTTTTTAATTTCGCAAATTTTTGGCTTAAGTACGGCGAAAAATAAAATTTTTCGTTCGAACGAAATAGTAAAAGTATACAAAATAAAGAAACGAAATAAATTTCGTCTATGATTTGGATTAAAATTTAAAAAGTTTTGGTTATGTTTAAAATGTCCGCAAGTTTCTGTCCGCAAATTATATTTTTTTAATATTTCTTCAAGAAGGTATTTTTTTTGGATATTTTTGAAAATAAATTTTTCAACTTTGCCGATTATTAAAATAAGATACTATTTTTTGAAGAAAAAACTTGCGTATAAAAGATTTACGGACTTTTTATGTTTACTTTTTAGAGGAAAATTGAACATGAAAATACTTCATTGTGCCTGTATTCTATTAGGAAATGAACAAACTTCACAACTTTTTGCTCAATTTATTCATGCTGCCAAAGACGAAAAAGAGGTTTTTTTTTATTAACATTTCTTTGTGTGTTTGTAGAAATCATATTCTCAAAATTTTCTTCGAATCTAGTTCGGGATTAAAAAAGAGGGTGTCTGGTAACCTGTCCATTTCTGACACCCTCCCTCCCCCCCTCCCCCTTCCCATTATAGTCTCCTGAAACCCGGCCCCTGTATACATCCCGGGTTACGTCAATAAGTGTTAAAATCCTGCTTCAAATATTGCTTTGTGCAATTTAATTAATCTGTAGAATCAGAGTAACATTCTTCTTTAGTCACCCTTTTATTTAATTAAAAAAATTTTTTTTCAAAAGTTGACCAATTTTCTTTCATTTGCTTTAACTGTTATTCCTCATTTAAATCAAAATCAACGTGTAAATTCACTTAGTGTAATGACCTTAGCTGTTCGTTTTGCTGTTTTGGATTCAAAGAAAATAGAAAATGAATTGACTGAATTTTTGGAAGAAAAAAAAGAAATTTTGTTGGAAAATGAAAATAAAATAATTTTGGAAAGAAATTTGTTAAATAATTTATTAATGATTGTTAAATGGAATGAACAGAGTGAACAAGGAATGATTTTGAGAAATATTGGGTTTGAGATTAATTTTTAATTAAAATTTGGGGGAAATTGTGATATATGTATAAAAAATCTTTTTAAATTTTCAACAGAAAATACAAGAAATGCCAAAAAATTCTTTTTATTTAATTTTTTAGTTTAAATCTTGCTGACATTCGTGGCTATCTTCAAGAAGGCCTTCTTAATTGGATGTTAGATTATACCGATCTTGTAAGAAAAATTACTGGGGGGACTTTGAATGAGGTTTGCAAATTTTTACTTTATTTTTAGGGGGAAGGGTGTTTCCTTTATATTTCTAGAAATACCAAAATTTTATCTGTAATTATTTTATTTTAATCGTCTTACAATCAACTCTCTAATTTCAAAATTTTAGCCTTTGTTTATTTTAATTTTTAAATTTTTGGTTACTTTAAATATAAATATACATTGAATACCCAATATTTAAGCATTCTAAAAAATTTTTTAATCAAATTAATTTTTTAAAGGAAGCAGCTCAAGTATTAAACACATTCTTTACCTTAATGCTTTCTGTAGTTCCTCAAGTCCAACTTCCTTTAAATTTTCAAAATAATTTGTTGACTAAATTGAGTGCTTTAATTGTTTCAATGTTAAAATTTATTAAAAAAGGTTTTTTTAATTAAAAAAAATTCTTTTTTTTTCCTAATTAAAAAAAAAGAAAAATTGGGGACGTCTTTGGATGGTGTTGATTACTTTGCACGTTGCTGTACTATTGCTGGACGTATTTTTATTAAACAAACGGGTGCTGATCCAACACAATTGATGCGTTCTTTAATGGATGAAATTTTTGAGGTTTTTTTGTTTTGAAAATTTTTTGATCCCTCGTCCTGTCCTTTTATTTCAAAAGATATGGATTAAAAAAGTATATTGTCTTTGGGTTGTTCGATGACACAGTGATCGTGCTCTGTATCTCGTCCTTTCTCTATGGAGGACTGAAAATTTTTATGCGACTATGGGCCGAGATACAGAGCTTGAATATTGAAAAACTATAGGCGGACAAAGCAAGCTTTTTGGTTTTTCGACTCGGCTCATCAGGTCGAGTCGAATGGTACCAAAATCTCGAACAAGTTTCGACAGTTACGATACAAAAAACAAACAACGTAATTATAGGCGTCGGCGGAACGTTTTGCAAAAGCCAGCACTTCGCGCTGGCTTTTTAACTTTTTTAACTGGGTTTAATTTAATTTCTAACGGCTTAACCCTTAGAAATTTTCAAACTTTTGGCTTAGAGTCTTAAATCAAAATTAAATATGTACGATTATTTCGTTCCTAAATTATAAATTTTTTTATTTAGAGTTATCAAGAATTGTTTGATTCTAATTGCTGTGGAAGTAACGAATCAAGTCGACATATTGGCGCATTTTTGGATTATTCGAAATTTAAAACGATTAATTTTTTAAATAAAAATTACGAGGTTTTTTTTTAACTTTTTTATGAGTTCTTTTTCAAATGTCCGAAAATTTTTTGCGGGCTTCTGAATAAATTTACGGGGTTTTGGGAGCAGAAAGAAAAGAGAACCTTAATTAAAAAAACTTTTTTTATTAGCATTCAATATTTCAAGAACTTCGACAGGCTTCTTTAACAGACAGAACAGCAGCAGCTGTAGCCCATTCTGGCACTTTAAATCGTAAAAGATTTTTAGAAAAATTTGTAGAGAATAAGGAAGGAAAAGAAGAGGAAAATGCTGAAATTAAAATTAATCAAATTAGAAGACTTTTATTTTTGGATTTTATTGAATGTTTATGTCTTTCTGCAAGGCCTTCAACGACAAAACCTTCACCTCCTTCCACAACAGAACAACAAATGCAACAATTTTATGATTTGGGAATGTGCAGATTTTTGGTTTGTTTGTTTTTTAGACTTTTTTACGAACATTTTTAAGGGTCAATTACTTGTGGATAGATTTGCAGGTGATGGACTTACCTCACATTTTTGTTGGCATAGTTGGGAGCAAGAAAGAGAATTGGTTTCACAGTTAGTTTATTTCCTGTTTGTATAAAAAGGGGACTATAAAGAAAAATCAGTTAGAAAAATACTCCCTTTATCTACCTTTTATTTTTTCAAATGGTTCATGTCAGCTTTTTCCCCATGTTTTGAAATTTTTTCCCCTTAGGCCTCTGGGCTCCTCCATATTGCCCCCAATAAATTTGTAGGCAAAACGTGTGTTTTGCCACCACTCAATTTTTTCTAATTTTTAAAGATATACAAAAATAACAAAAATTATTGACCAACACCCAATTATTGTTGATTTCCTACTTTTATTGTCAGAACTTGGATTTACTGGATTATGTTCTGTTCTTCCATTATTTAAAGCTTTATTTGTTACAGTTTTAAGTCAATTAGAAAATACTCCATTAAAAACAGAAAAAATTTCTTTTGCTTTTTTACAAAGGTCGACTCAATTAATTGGACTTTTTATTTGTGTAAATTTTTAGTTTTTAAAGTTTTTAGCGTTTGTGAAGATTGTGAGGTGCGGATTATTTTTGTGGACGTTTTTGTTGTTTTTTGCTGACTTTTCCACAATTTCTTTTAAGTTTTGCCTTTTCAATTCGAGCAATGGGAAGGATTTATTTATTTTCCATTTCCGCAAAAATAGTCCGCAAGCACATTACCACAACTTTACAAATGCAAAAAATTAAATAATCAAATTAATTTTACTTTTATAAAGGCTGACATTTTCCCTCAAATTTTGTCAAATTTTCAAAAAATCTTATCTAATTCAACCAATTTTGAAGCTTTTGTTTTAATGAGAGATTTATGGGATTTTTTAAAGGTTTTTTTTATTTTAAATATTAAAAAAAATTTTTATTTAAGTTGTTAATTCCAACGTGTGAAGAAATTACTAAAGGAAAAATGATTAGTGTTGAAAATAGGGCTGTTTTGGAGAAGGTTTTTGTTTAAAAAAATAATATCCCCCACAACGTGTAAATCTAAATGAGAATTTACCCGCTGAACCAGACTTTACCTTCTGTCTGCAAAAGTCCTATTATTTAGCCATAATTTTTTAAATTTTCGACCGATTCAAATAATTTTTAAGCCGATTGAAAGCTCTGAATTTACTAAAAGGATTGATCAATTTAGGAAAAGTTACAGGCCGATAAATTATAGAAAATCACGACTGCGCGCACATTTCCGCCTTGAACTTTTTTGCGGTACATATCTAATAAAATCAGTTCTTTTTGAAAAATAATCGGTACTTACATAAGTACCAAATAATTTGCATATTTGGAGCTTTAGTTTACTGCTATTTGTTATGGGATCGAAAATCTCTCCTTCTTTCTATTATTTTTAAAATTTTAGAAAGAAGGGAAACAATTAATTTCATCAATGGTTTTGGTTATTCAAAGAAATATTTCTTTATTGGGAGAATATTTATATCCAATTTTGGAATTAATTGGTGAAAATGATGAAAATAATTGGGAAATTGAAAGAGAACAAAAACCAATTTCTGTTTTGGCTGAGATTAAAAGATTTTAAATTAAAAATTGTTTGTTTGTCGTTTTTATCAAAGGTTTTTTTTTAATTTTTTTAAAACTTTGTTATATCAAGCAAGGGTTGGCTCCGTCCCTGAAAGTCGGGAAATTTGGCGGGGACCAAGATTAGTCTCTTTGTAGTGACTGGACATGTGTTATATGGACCTAGAGATTAACCCTTCTTTTCGAAGATCTCTTGTTTCGAAACATCATTGTGCCTATTTTTTCTGGGCTTTGTGTAATAGATTCCAAGATTCAGCCTATCTCAATAAAACCGAATCTAGGCTCAGAATTTTTAAAAAAAACTCGATTTTTAGATTATCCTATTTTTATGTATAATCAAAATGAAAATTAATTTATTAACAAAAAATAAATTATTTATTAGAATAAATTTATTTTTTTTTATTATTGACGTCTAAAAACTGCTGAACGTGTAGGACATGGACAATAGGCTGAAAAATATTTTTTAGTTTTAAAATTTTTTTTTCAAATTTTTAATTATTTTATACCAGCATCACTTCCAGGCAATCCATCTGACCCAGGCGCGCCAACCTTTCCTGGTATTCCGGGTAATCCTGGAGCTCCAAGCTGACCCGGCGGGCCTGCAGGGCCTGTCTCTCCATTTTTACCTGACAAATTTAATAAAAGTTTCGTTTACAAATTAATTGTACCATTTTCTCCGGGTGCTCCATCTTTGCCTGGCTGGCCTGGGCCTCCTGGAAGACCCTTTGGACCGGGCTGAAAAGATTTTTTTGAAGATTGTAACTTAAAAATAATTTCTTTTACCAATGCCGGACTGTGTTCTGCATCACTTCCAGGCGTTCCCGGCGTTCCCGGATTTCCTTTTTCGCCAGGAGGGCCTTGATCTCCTGGCGGGCCTTGTTCTCCAGGCTTTCCTTGAGGTGCAGGTGGGCCTGCTGCTCCAGCTTCTCCTGTTTGACCTGACGAGCCTAACGGTCCGATTGGACCTTTAAAAGTATTTTTTTAGATTTTTTTCATTTTATTGGCAACCCTGTTCGCCAGGTGGCCCAGCTGGGCATTCAATACATTTTGACACATCAGGCGCCTCGCATTTTACTTGTGGGTAAACCTGTGTATTATCTTCTCCATTAGGTCCAGGCTCTCCAGGTGGGCCGTCTGTGCCTGGTTCGCCGGGAGGACCTTCTGGTCCTGGAGGGCATTCGGGTTTGGTGGGTTCACATTGGCACCTGGTTAATATTAAAATTATTTTTTAGCGAACAAATATCAATTGAGATGTTCCTTTACACTACAAAAAAGTTACATTCTGTAGTTCCCTTCGCACTACAGAATGTTCCCTTCCTACTACTACATATATGACATTCCCTTCACACTACAAATGTCCCTTCACTCTAAAAACCTTCACATTACCAAGCAGGCAATTTTCCATAATTTTGTCGTTTTGCCCTTTGAAAAATACTTTCAAAAGGATTTTCTTCTCTAACATTAACAGATTGAGGTTTATGACGTATTTGTATATCAATTAATAAATTCCAAGCAGAATCAGTTTCAACTTTAAATATTTCAACTCCCCCTTTTACTTCATTCAATAAATTTGTTGTTTCAAAATAAATTTGTGGAAAAATAAAAATACAAGCCAAAATTGACAAAATACTTGCAAAGGTTGAACAATAAACTAGCAATTGGATATTCTTTATATTTGTGGACATTGTTAAAATAAGAGAATTTCTTCAAACAAATAAAAATGAAATAGTAGCTACTTAATATCTGCTAATTTATATTCAAATTTTTTTCTTTTCTCGGCTTCCCTTTTTCTTTTAGTTTTTCCAGTTTTTTACGGAATGATCTGTTTTTGAGATAATTGAAAGTTATTTGAAGACTTTAAGGCGGGAATTGAGCTTTCGTGTGTACTCTGAGTATTTTTCATTGCTAGTTGTTCTCAAATGTCGTCCCTCTGATAATGTTCTCAAATGTCGTCTCTTGGTATTTCCTTATTGTGAAGGCTGTCATAGCCATTTCTGTCTTAGTATAGCCATTTCAATTTGGGCTTAACTTTTTTGATTCTTAACCGATTTAAATAATTCATATACCAATCGAAAGCTCTGTATGTAGGATTATTTTAGCTAACAAAATTGATTTGATCAGACCATTCTATAAAAGTTACCGCCGAATAAAGATAAAAAATCACGGTTGCGGCGCCTTTACGGTTACAACTTTATGCAGAATATCTGGTCAGAACAATCCATTTAGCTAAAATAATCCTCATATCCAGAGCCTTCGAATAATATAATAATTATTTAAATCGGTTAAGATTTAAAAATAGTTATGACCTAAAATATGTACCTGAGACCCTGTTTCCCTACCCTTTTTTGCTATGTCGTTTGAGGATTGGGATTTAAATATTATTATTCTATTTATTTTCTTTTTCATTAAGTAAATAAATAAATAAAAACTTGTTATTTATTTTTAATAAGATAAAATCTCTGTTTTGTAAAAAGCGAGGGAAATAAATAATTTAATAATAAAAAAATAATAAAAATTAATTTGAGTAAAAAACAAATTAGGTATTTATTGTTAAAAATGTAATAAATATAGAAAATAATTTGTTTTGTTAACTGAAACCAGAAAAAGTTTTTCTAAAAAATTTTTTTAATATTTATGTAATTTTTTATAGATACTACATACTAGATTTAGTGAACACAACTGATCGTCCGCAAATGTCGTCTCTTATTGTTGTTCGCAAATGTTGTCCTTGTTTGTTCGCAAATGTCGTCCTTTGCCTGATGTCCGCAAAAGTCAAATAAAGAGTTGCAAGAGTTGCAAAACCTTTTGAACCTTTTAAATTCATTTTAACATCTTTTAAATTTTTTAAAAATATTTTCAAGTATTTTATCCTCATTATTTTCCTTTTTTCTTTTAATGGATTGAAAAGCTTTTTAATGTTTTTTTGACAATTTCGCGCAACAAACAAATGGAATTTATTTTTTTGTGTCATTCAATCATTTTTTAATACAAGGAGGCGTTCTTATATTGCCTGTAATTGTATGCAATAGAGCGGAATGAAAATAAAAATATATAAATGGTTAAATAATAAGCTTGTTTATTAAACATTTTTATTTTTAAAAGGATTTTTAATTTTGTAGAAAACCAAATCCGAAAAAAATTCTGTCCGCAAATGTCGTATCTCAGGTTGCGATCGCAAATGTTGTCCCTTAGTTTATATCCGCAAATGTAAAATTACATCCACTAACATTAGTGGACATCCCAGAAAATGTTAAGGATGAACCTCTCTATAATAATGTGGTTACATTCAGTATAAGATACTTAAGGGGGTGTATCTACATATATGTGTTTTTAAAAGGTAACTTTTAATTTCCCCCTTTTCTACATAGATGTCTAATAACAACACAAAAAATAACGATAAACTAAAGAATATCCAATTGCTAGTTTATTGTTCAACCTTTGCAAGTATTTTGTCAATTTTGGCTTGTATTTTTATTTTTCCACAAATTTATTTTGAAACAACAAATTTATTGAATGAAGTAAAAGGGGGAGTTGAAATATTTAAAGTTGAAACTGATTCTGCTTGGAATTTATTAATTGATATACAAATACGTCATAAACCTCAATCTGTTAATGTTAGAGAAGAAAATCCTTTTGAAAGTATTTTTCAAAGGGCAAAACGACAAAATTATGGAAAATTGCCTGCTTGGTAATGTGAAGGGAACACCCTGTAGTATGAAGGGAACATTTTGTAGTGCGAAAGGAACATTCTGTAGTGTGAATGGAGCATAAAGGAACATCTCGATTAATCTCAATTAATTAATATTTTTGAGATTCGATTATTGATGTTTACTCACAGAAATTAGAGATGGATATCCGCGGATCATATCCTCCGTAAAGGGAACACTTTGACTTAGTAATGTAAGGGAACTTCTTAAGGCCAATTAATTGTCCTTTAAAAACCAACTATTTGTTCCTTAAAATTTTGTTCTCTATAAAACAATTAACCTTTTAATTTCATTTAATTCAACTTAAAAGGTGTCAATGTGAACCAACCAAACCAAAATGCCCTCCTGGACCTCCAGGCCCTCCAGGCGAACCAGGACAGAACGGAGAACCAGGACAACCTGGCCCTGCAGGAAAGGACAATACAAAGGCTTATTCTCAAGTTTCATGTCCCAAACCCAGCACAGCTTGCATTAAATGCCCTGCAGGCCCTCAAGGACCTCAGGGACCTGTTGGGCCGGAAGGTAAACCTGGCCAAGCTGGAAAGCCAGGAACTCCCGGAAGCAAGGCTCAAAATGGAAAGGCTGGTCCTAGAGGTTTGTGTTAAGATTCTTTTCTTTTAGTCTTAAAAAATTCCGCGAGATTTTTGTGGATAGAAATTGCGGACTTTCGGTAGCAGAAAGGAATAGTTAATATTCTAAAGCATATAGCTATTTAGTAATTCCTAAGGCTGTGGAGGTGTAATTGATAACACATCAGTCCGGTATACTGAAGTAACTGGTTCGCTTCCAGCCGCCGAATAATCTTTTGCACTAGCTAAAGGAGAGAAATATAGATAAAGCCCAGCTGCTTCACTATATCCAAAACTTATTTTCTTTCAATGTCAGGACCACCTGGTGATGCTGGTCAAGCTGGAAAGCCTGGAACCCCAGGAAAACCTGGACAGCCAGGAAAAGAAGTTTAAACAATTATTAAATAACAAAATTTATTTATTTTAAAGGGTACTAAAGGCATCCCAGGCGCTCCTGGACCGAAAGGGCCTAAAGGCCCGGCTGGATCAAAAGGACAGGCTGGCAATAAAGGAGCTAATGGAACACCGGGAACGGTGAGTCAAAGATTCATTACTCAAAAATTTTTCTTGTTAAAAAACAGCCTGGCCCTCAAGGCCCACCAGGAAAAGCAGGCAAGCCAGGCTCGAATGGAACACCTGGCAAGGGAGGAGTTAAAGGCTCCCCAGGAATTCCGGGCTCAGATGCTGGTAAAAATTACAAAATAAATTTTAAAAATAAATTTTTCCAGCTTATTGTCCTTGCCCTAAACGTTCATCAGTTTTTGTTAGTCGCTACACAAATTAAAAGAAAAAGTTTGTAAAGAACAAAATTAAAACTTTTTAATTTTAAATTCGAAAATACACAGAAAATACATTATTTGACAAAATAAATGAAAAAATACAACGAAAATACAAAAATATAAAACTTGTTTTGGATAAAAAATACGAGGACGGATGGAGAATAAAGTTTTGTGTTTTGTACAAGTTTAATTGTATTTTTTATATAGGCAAAATTTATTTTATTAAAGTTAAGTGGTAAACTTTAATGTTTGTGTTTTCAAGTTTATTTTTAGTTTGTATTTTCTTAAAAGTTTGTTTGAATTTTTAAGTTTATTTATGAGGAAACATAACTAAAATAAACTTGAACAAAACTTTAATTTGTATTTTCAAGTTTAATTAAGTTGGTCAATAAAGTTTGGTGTTTTTCAAGTTTATGCTTTCAAGTTTAGGTAATAGTTTGGAATTCGCCCCCTTTTTTCCTTTCTACTTTTCCCTAGTTTTTTCTCATTTTATGGCAAATTATATATCATTCGGAAGAGCTCTTCGAGCTGAGTCGAATGACATTAAAATCAACGAAATCTGACTTAAGTGAACAAAGTTGTGACCGTTTATTTATCCACTTGCATTGGCACAAAAAGTTTACGCAACTAAGATTTAGCTTCATAATTTTGGTAAGAATGATCAGATCTAGTCAATCTTGGTATCATTCGATCAAGCTCGAAGACCTCTTTCGAATGATACTATATGATAAATTATGTATCAAACAAAAAAACTCAAATTGGTCAGGGAAACGTTGAAAAAAGGGGCGAATTCCAAACTATTACCCAAGTTTATTCAAGTGTTCAAGTTTAAGTCTGTTCTTAAAGTTTTGTGTTTTTATTATTAATAAGTTTGTATTTTTTTCAAGTTAGAGTAGGAAAAGTCTCGGTCTAAACTGGTCATCCAATAAATACAAAGAGGCTAGCACATCAACACTATTCAACTGTAAAATTTTTTTAAAAATTTAATTAAATTCCTTTCCAACCTCCAGCCAATGATAACGTTGGGGAGCATTTATTTGTGCCCTCATTGCAGACTTTCTGTGTCTACAAATTAAACGAAGACGAATTCCATGCCGGACGGAAGACTGTGGAGAGGGTAAACACCAAATGGCCGTTACCGCCTCAGGCAATTCTAAAACAGAATGTCCATCGGTCAAAACGTGTCGATAGACTTTGGAGAGTACTGAGGGTAGGAAGAATTCAAAGCCAAATTCAACTGAAATTTTTTTAATTTAAAATTTCGTTTGCAAATTCCATCTTTTGCCAATAAGTCTAAAAACTCAAGTTTTGCCAAAAAAATCATTGTAAACGTGAGGAGTTTTTAGCTTTATTGGCAAAATATGGGGTTCTTAAAAGTTCGAAAGTTTTCAAAACCCGCAGGAAAAGCATCCGGCAAACTCAATTCATCCAGTAATTGTCGTTGGTCCTTAATGCATTTGTGAACTAAACACTCAAGGGAACGAGGAGAATGTTGAGGAAGTTTAGTCAATTGTGGACAGTTGGCAGCCATTTCCTTTGGTTGTCTAACATCCCTCACAATAACAAATTCAGCAAAAAGCCCAGGTTGCGCCTCGTCTTTACACAAAATTGGGGACCAAGAAGAAATTGTTTTTGGAAGGGAGGACACTCTCCAATTGTAAAAACGCTCGGCCTGGTGAAGTATTTCAAAAAAATCCCGACAACGTAATTGTAGAGGACAGGGCTTTCGTCTAATTAGAGCAAGTGGATGCCAACCTGCACCCAACGATCTTTAAAAAGAAATTTTATTTTTAAGGGAAAAAATCATTGTTTTGTTTAGACACTTGCTAATAGAAGTACGCGTTTAAGCTTAAATTTATTTAATTAATAAAACTTGAGCATATTCAAACATAAATTAAAGTTTGAACTTAAACTTATATTCTTAAACTTAAGTTTGAACTTAACTTCAAGCTTAAACTTAACCTAACAACTTGCCCCATTTATTTGCAAGAGTTTAAGCTTAAATTAGTAAATCTGACTTAACTATAAGTTTTGTGTTCTTATTTTTCAAAGCAAACTTACTCTTGATCCGGTTCCTTCTTTAAATTATCAGTTGTCGGGTTAACAGCAAATGCAAGTCTATACCACCCCGATCCTCTAACTTCACAACACAGCAAGCTTTGTACTTCACATTCTAAGCCCGTCTCTTCACGCAATTCTCTCTTTACTGCATCCTTTAAGTTTATTAACTTTTAAGTTTTCAAGTCCGCGCCCCCATTTATTCGAAAAAAATTATTACTACTAAATGCGAATAAATGGGGAGCATAAAACTCATTTTGAGCCCATCCACACATTTTGAGGGCTAACCCCACATTTTGCCAATAAACTTTTTGGAAAACGTGGATTTTAGCTTTATTAGCAAAATATAACAGGGCCATCTAAATTTAAAATCACTTCAATAGTCTCCCCAGGTTCAACATGTCCAGCAGGTATATACCACTTTCCACGGCATTTTTCTTTTGCTTCGCGCATAAGTAAAACTTCTCTGCCTTCTTTGCCTTCACGAAGAGCTATCGCCGCGACAATGTATGTTACCTAGATTTATATTTAAATTAAAAAAAAAGAGCAAATATATTTTACATTGTCATAAACACGCACCCATGGACATTCTGCAAACAAGAAAAATTTAGTTTAAACTTTTTAAGCTTGGTATCCCGTTTATTCGCAAGACATGATAATGTATTCAAGTCAATAACCCTATTATGTCCTTGTATACTGTAATATTTCCTCGCGAATAAATGGGACACCTGGCTTAAAAAATCCCAAAAACACAACTACTAACTTCCCATTTGCATATCCGGTGCTCTCCTAGCAGGATTTGTGGTTACTGAACATTTAGACCCTCCAGCAGAGGAAGAAGCCGAGGCAGAAGTAGTAGAGGAGGGGGAAATAACAGAAGATATAGTTGAATTAGTCATTATTGGATCCTCTGTTTGTTGCTGTTCTGTTGAAGAATTTGGGGAAGATGAAGAGGAAAATGAGGAAGAAGAAAGTAAGGGAGAAAGTTGTTGGTGATGGTGGTTGTGGGGGTGGTGGGGGTGGGGGTCTTGTTGTTGTGAATTATTAAATGGATTTATTTGTTCTATTGGAGGGGGAGGTGGAGGAGGGATGGTGGTAGAGGACATTTAAAAGTGTGAAAAGATGAAAGGAAGGAAGGAGAAAATTAATTTTTAATTTTAAACCCGTTTAAGAATAAACTAAAAAATTTATAAGAAAAAATTAAAATTTATAAAGTCCCGACATTTGGCCAGAGGACATGTGTATATGAACAATCAAAATATGGGGATAAAAATATTAATGTTATTTTAAAATAAAAAAAATTTTAAAGAGAAAAGTTCTTTAAAAATTGGCTTAAAAGCGTTCAACAACAAAAAAAATTCAAAAAAAAATTTGGCGTTTAAATTGGGCCAAAATTCTCAAAGGAATTTCTTAAGTTTTGGACAGATAAAAGGAAAAAAAAGAAAAAAATATAAAAATGAAAAGCTAACTAATCTTTACCAAACAAAAATGCTTCTCCCATTTATCCCCTCTTCCTTCAAAACCATATGACGTAAAAAATAGCCTATGGAGAAAATGGGGGGAAGAAAAGTTTTGACAAAAAGAAGGGAAAAATAAAGAGAAAATAAACTTTAAAAGAAAAAAGTTTTAACGAGAGAAGATTTTGGAAGAAGAAAATATAAAACTTTTTTTACCAATAAAGTTGGAAGGAAATAATTTATATTATATTGGATATCATTTAAATGTTTTATTGGTAAAATAATTAAATAAAAGAAAACACAAATAAACTTAGCCAAGTTTATTTAAGCATTGGAAAAATACAAAAATAATAAAATAAAACACAAACAAGTTTAAACTTTATTATTAAAATTTTGTTCGATTAAAAGCACAAATAAATAAACTTAGATAAGTTCATTTGTTTGTGTATTTATAGTTAAAGTTTTTAAACAAGTTTTACAAACAAAGTTTTGTTCAAAGAAAGTTTTAAAAATAAAGTTTAAACTTGTTTGTGTTTTATTTTATTATTTTTGTATTTCTTCATAAAACAAGTTTATTTTCCAGAAGTCTGTGTTTTTATTAATCAAGTTTATTTTATGCGAGTAACATTTGCGAAACGACATTTGTGCAGTTATTTTAAGTAAACTTAGAAAAATATTTTTAAAATATTTTTAATTAAAAAATAAACAAAAAATATTTTTTTTGAAGAATTCAGACTTCATTTTAGAAAAATAATGAAGAGAAATGAAGAAAAAAACGGCTTAAAAAATAAAGGAAAGGGCAATGTCCTTTAAAAGGAAATTCCTTTTTCTTCTCTTTCAATTGTCCTACATAGTTTAAATAAATTCCTCGGGGACGCGCCTGACTGACTTGAATTTTTATTTATTTATTTGAAGGGGGCACGTCTGGTGGATTTATGAAAGAATAAATGTTTGGACTAAAAAAGCTTGGAAATTAACAACTCTATATAATGAACTCTCTATATAAGAGACCTGGGGAAGAAATAAGTGGAGGGAGGTGATTAAAGAATTGTTGGTACTATCTTGTTACCGGCCCTCATTTTTATGTTTTCTTTTTTCTTTCTCCGATAAAGTAAACATTGGGTCAAAGATCGCCAATTAGATTAAATGGCGATAGGTACCACCAGAATCTATCAGGCCAAATTTGCTTTAAGCACCTACTATAGTTAGGTATTTTACCTTTGGGTGAATACGGCTCTCTATTCCCATAAAGTTTTTTTGGGAATTATTTGGAAATAGTATGTAGTATCTAGAGTACAAACACCCAGAATTGGCATTGGTACTTAATTACTGAAAACGTTGACTCTCGACATATAGACTTTTAAATAAATAAAGGAAGAAAGGAGAACAAATAAAATAAGGGCCGGATAGGGAAATTGATTAAAATAATATTCAAAAAACGCCAAAATGTCCGCGCCGTAATTACCCTCCCAAAAGAAGAATTTAGGGATAAAAGTAGGAGGAATAAGGGGAAAATACATATAATTCTAGATAAAGGGCAGAAAATTAAGTTTTTATTTTTTTAGTCAAAACCAGAAGCGTCCCTCCCTCCCTCCAAAAAAATATTTATTTTAACAAATGGAAAAATGAACGTTTATTTGTTAATTAAATAAAAAAAGAAGAAATAATTTATTTTGAATAAATTTTTTAAAAGGAAAATTAACAAAGAAATTAATTTGATAATTTTTTAAAATAAAAAGATAAATAAAAAAATAATTAAAATAAAAAGACGTGACAATTGTGAACATCCCTATTGAGGTGTTCACAATTTGTGCAGAGACAAAAACAAACAAAATTTGAAGCCGCGACAATTGGCATTTAATTAAAACGATTTGAAAGCGACAATTCCTCATATATGTAGTGTGTCAAGAAAGTATAAGACCATCACTCCCAATTTCGAAATAAGGGGAGGTTCGAAAAATTTACAAAAATTCTTGTAAAAAGTAGGGAGGACGAAACAAACTATTATGTACCTAATCCTGTTATAGGTTTCAAATAGAAAATTTAAAGAGTTTTCAGAAAAATAAAAATTTAGATCAGCATGTAAGAGGTCGAAAATATTTTTAAAGAAGCTTATCCACAGATTTTCCTTTGATTTATCGGGTTTTCATATCTCGATGATGGGGGGGGGGGAGTATATAATGTAGAACTTGAACTTTTGCATTCTCACTTGATATCAATTTACAAGAATTTTTGTAAATTTTTCGAACTGCCCCTTATATCGAAACTGGGCCTAGAAAGTGCCTAGAAAAATGTACGCGACATGATGTTGGCAGTTTGTTTCAATTTCAAATGGATCGAATTTATAAAAAAATAGCCTCAGACATAACCTCAAATCATTAGTCAAATAAAGTGTAATTTAACTGTAGTATTTTTAAAAAATATTTAAAAAATAAGTAGAAGAGAAGAGAGAGAGAGAGAAGTATGTATGTGTACATTTGTAGAATTAATATATAAATAAAATGAAAATAAATTTATAGCGCAAAAATGTGCATTGAGGCGTTTTTTAAATTTGTAAAACAAAAAGTAAAAAATATATAAAAATTTAGCGGTGACAAAAATAAACGACTAAAAATAAAGAAAAGAAAATTTTGGTTGGGTTCCCGTCAGTAAAAATATTTTATTGTGTGAAGAGAAAATAGAAAGAAATACAAAGGACGCAGCTATTTTTTAAATAAAATTATTATGTATTTTTGCCTCGTAAAATACAGGAAAAATACAAAAGAAATACAAAAATAATTTCATCTTAAAAACACAAACTTAACGAAAAATAAACTTTGTTTTATGAAAAACACAAAAACAATTAATAAAACACAAACATCTTTTAATTATTAAAACTTTGTTTGTCTAAAAACACAAAATTAAAGTTGAATATTATTTATTAAACTTTAAAATAAACTTGAAAGTTTATTTATCAATCCAGTAGATCAACAATTGAAATGACAACACCCACCCTAGTTCCCTATTAAAATTTAACTAGAATACATGTTGAAGACTAAAATAACCTAAAAATAATTTTCCCTATGCTAAACTTTGCATTACTCAACCAAAAATATCCTTTACATATCGTGTAGAGAAGAGGATGACGCAAATAAAGAGTAAACAGGTCCAACTACGCGCCTGTCTTCTTTCATTTTTCTTTCTATTTATCTACTAGAATCAATTTTATTTGAAGGATATTTACTAAATTTTAAAAAGATTTTTTTTTCTTTATCCCCAAAAATATAAAATTATTTTTTAAAACATCTTAATTTAAATTTAAAAAACTTTATCCCATAAAAGGGCAATTAAATCAAAGGGAGTAACATTAATTTGACAAAAAATTAAAATTTAAGTCAAAAGTATAAAAAGTAAAACCTTATTATAAGATACACCTTTAAGGGCGAAAAATTGTATATTATAGTGAAGGGTCTATTAAATAAAGGGTATCCCCCGCCCATTCCTCAACCAATAAAGACAAATTAAAGTTAAGTTAATATTAAAGTTATATTGAGGGAATCTTAAAATGATGGGTAGTATAGATAGAGTTATCAAACTTTAGAAGCCCTCTCCCCCAATAGGTCAACCAAATTTTAAAATTACAAGGATCTACTACCTTAAATAAAGGGGGGAGGGTATTTTATATATTGAGGGTTATCTTATAATAAAGTCAAATTGTGTGTAGAAATTGTAAGAACAAACAACAAAAATTTTAAGTCTTTCAAAAAAAATTATTTATTTTGATAATTTCCAAAACTAGCTAATCCAGCCAGTACAGCAACAGCTTCTGCCTCAGCAGCGCTAAGTCGATTGTTTTGTGCAGCAATTTGTTTTTCAATAAACTCAAAATCCACAAAATTAATTCCCTCCTCCTCTCCTTCAATTTGTGATGAAGATATTTGGTAGTTGAAAGGAGGGGGAGGTGGGGGAAGTGGGGGGTCTTGAAGAGAAATTGAAGAGAAACAAGCATTGGAAGACGGGGAATTACACGAGGAAGAGGAAGAACACCCGTTAATAGAGCCTGTTACCTTTAAAATATTTAAATTTAGAAAACAAAATTGATAGAGGAAAACAAACAGAATTGACAGAAGGAGTAGGGGGAGGAGGGCAATAAAGATTGTTGTTAACTGTGTGTTGATGCAATAAATTGTTTGTAGTTCCCTGAATATAATGATTGTTTTGATGTTGTTGTTCACGTTGTAAATTACCTAAAAACAAAAATATTTGAAAAATTAAAAAAATAAAATTCTACCCAAATGTGTCAATAATTGACTACGTTGGGCCAAAAGTGCCAAATTCTGTTGACTTTGGGAAGCACTGAGAAGCTAAAAAATTAAATTTAAATTTAAAAATATTCTTTTCTCTGTTACCTCAAAAATTTCTTTTTTTATCGCAGTTTCCATAATAGCCAATTGTTGGACGGCCATTTGTTGTTGTTGTTGCTGCTGAGCTTGTGCTAAAGCTGCAAGCAAAAGAGGATTGTTCTGAAAATATTGTAATTGGTGTTCATTTTGTTGTTGTTGTTGTTGGAGGTGTTGTTGTGTTGAGGGTGTTGAGGACCTCTTTGCTGTTTCCAATAATTGAAGCCAATCAAATGTCTGAGGGGGAAGAATAACATTTTGGGGAGACGAAATTGAAGAGGAAGATGAGGGGGATGAAGAAGGAAAGTGATGCAAAGATGATAAAGAAACAACAATTGGTTGTGGTGAATGTGTTGTTGTTGATGATGTTTGTGGTAATTGTTGTTGGAAATGAGGAATGTTTGGAACTGGAAAAACAAAAATTTTAATAAACTATAAACTTAAATACTAGTAAAAATTTGGTTTCTCATAAAGCCGGATTTCTAGAGTGTCAAGGAAAGGAGTCTGTTAGGCTCAAAATATCCCCAATTTACTCCAAATTTTATTAGAATTTTTAAATTTAAATAAAAATTCTGGTTTTTACAAAACATTAAAAACAAACATTGTTGTTGCTGTAAAGTATTTAATGTATTTAAATCATTTAAAAATCCATTAAATAAAGAGACTTGTCCAAAAGGAGGTTTATTATTTGGAGATTTAAAGTATGGATGAATAACCATTTTTTTAATTTTTCAATTAAAAAATAAATTTTAAAACAAAATCTAAAAAAGGGGAAGGGATTAAAAAAATGAGAAAAAATTGATCTTTACTTTTTTAGATTACACAAAATATAAGAAAATGCACAGAAAATGAACAAAGATTAGAAAATAAATGTAAAGAAGGGTCGAAGAATTTTTATAAAATATGTGAAAAGAAAAAAATGTGCGGGAAATTAGTTAACATTTAAATTTAAAAGTAAAAAGGGAAAAAATTGGAGAGGAAAGGTTGGGGGTTAAAATTAAAGTGCGGATTTATAGGCGGCAAATGCCTGTTTTTTCTGCAAGCTTTGCATAATGTACAAAGTTATTTAAACGTGTTTTTAGCTTTGTCCAAAGACTGCCTATTTTTGTGCTTTTTTTGAATTTTTTGTGCCTATTTTAGGCGCCTATTTCACAGTTTTTTCTTGCCTATAAATCCGTACTTTAATTAAAATATAAAATTAATTAAAAACAACAAACAGAAACATCAAAATCCACCTTTTTAACCTTCGAAACACAAACCTTTTTATTTTTTGCTAAACATGTGGAAAATACTTAAATTTTAAAAATAAATTCAAGTTTTTCCACAAAACACGTTTTAAAGAAAAGAGAAAAAAAGTTGGAGAAACTTAAAGTTGGAAAATGTGTAGGTAGATAAAATCAGAAAAATGTTTGGAAACAAGTTGGAAAATAAAAGTAAAAGAAAGTTGTAAAAAAGGGAAAAATGGAGGAAATAGTAGATAAGTTTAGGGTTTTATAAGAACAAAAACAGCAAAAATAACCTTTTTAACATAAAAATAAGAAAGGTTGAAGGGCAAAAAATGTCAATAGGGAAATAGAAAAAACAAAAATGTAATTTTTCTATGTGAAGGCCATTTTCCCCCAACATTTACTATTCGCCATTTGGGTAGCTAAAATGGTTTGTAAGGCTTTCTCTTAAAGGCAGAAACTATTGATTTTAATTTAGAGGGCACGGGAATGCCAAAGCAAAGGTCTGCGAATGAAGTAACGACCTCGAAAATCAACGTAGAATAGGGAAAATATTTTTGCCCCCTTATGGGTTGTTTAGAATTTTGATTTTGGGCTCATTCGGAAGCCCTGGAAATTTACTACAAGATAGCAGTATTCTACAGAAAAATTCTACAGAAAAAAATTATTCTACAGAAAAAAATTCCATAGTGAGATATAGGCCGTTAATCTTTCGATGCATCCAAGTATCACATAAGATGAAGATTAGATAAATGTTTTGAAATGAAAAAAGTTGAGAAAAACAAGTTTTAAAATAAATTCAGAAAGGGAAATATTTTCTATAGTTTAAAATGAAAAAAACAAAAATTTCAAAATAAACTTAAAAATAACTTTATTGCACTTTTGTGATGGCCACAGGGCTGTCTAATACACTTTTATGTTTTCTTGCCAAATTTTTTTCTTCTTCATTTTTAAGATAAAACCCCTAACCAATGATCAGTTTATATTACTAAAAAATTATTTCTCTTTCATTATTTTAGAAAAAAAATAAAATGACGAGAGTCATATGTTTTTAGTAAAAATTCTGAAAAATAAGAGAAAGAAAAAATTTGTTTCTGACCAATAAGTATTTAAAAATTGTCGTGATTAATTATAAAAATATAAAAATCAATTGACCCCAAATTATTTTTGAAAAATGTTTAAATTTTTTATTTAAATGTTTGTTGGGGAAAAAAGAAGAAAAATGATTAAAATAATTAACAGGAGTTATTTGTTGTTGACAAGTTTTGATTTTTGTTTAAAAAAAAAGAAATATTTAGAAATGATGACGACAATTAGGAAATAAAATTAAAAAGAAACACAAATAATTAGTGTTTAAGTGCTGGAAAACAAGTTGGAAATGTTTGGGAATGTTCGGAAAATAAATGTTGTTAATCTTTCTCGACAACAAACTTGTTGGGAAAACATGTTGGAAATCATCAAAAATTAGAAATGTTTGAAGTTTGATGAATTAGGTATTAAAATGTTATAGTGCATAAAAGGCCTAAAATTAAAAAAAAAATAAAAGTGAAAATGTAAACAAAAAAAGATAAATATTTATGTAGTGTTTCTAAAAATATTTACAAAAAAATATAAAATAATAGTCTAGAAAATCACATGCTTTTTTTGAGGTTTTTAAGGCTGTACTTTAGTCTACCGGACGCGGAAAAAATACATGAAACCGGTACCATTCGATTCGTCTCACCGAGCTGAGTCGAATGGTACCACTCTCCATCTGCGGAAATGCCTACGAGCCGAGATATAGGTCCCCGAAAATCGAAAAACCATAGGGGGGAGTAAGGTCAATTTTGGGGTAAAAAAATCGATTTTTTGAATGATAGCTCATTCGAAAGAGCTCCTCGAGCTGAGTCGAATGACACCAAAATCAACGAAATCCGACTTGATTGGACAAAGTTATGATCTTTTATTTTAGCTCCTTACCTATGGCATCTATGGAGATTTTTGCTGCTACGGAGGCCCCAAATACGTCCAGAGCAAGGGAGATAGGAATAGGTTTATGTTACGAGCCCAGACCCAGCGCCCGTAGACTCCCCGCGAGGCGCGTGCCGCAAAACTCCGCGCGAAGCGCGGAGTTTTGCACAAGCGCCTCGCCGACGCTCCATAGGTTTAGTTGACCATTTTGAGCCTGTTTATTTTGGCTCAGAATTAAGATCTCGAGCTGATTTGGTGTCATTCGTCTCAGCTCGAGGAGCTCTTTCGAATGAGCTATCATTCAAAAAATCGATTTTTTTACCCCAAAATTGACCTTACTCCCCCCTATGGTTTTTCGATTTTCGGGGACCTATATCTCGGCTCGTAGGCATTTCCGCAGATGGAGAGTGTACCATTCGACTCAGCTTGGTGAGACGAATCGAATGGTACCGGTTTCATGTATTTTTTCCGCGTCCGGTAGACTAAAGTATATCCGTTTTTAAATAATAAAATGTGCAGAAAGAAAGGAGAGGAGGAAAGGGAAAGATTGTGGTGGTTACCCTAGAAACAAGAATTTAAAAAATATATTTTTTAAATACATAATTAGTAAAAAGGTGTAAAAAATATTTTTATAAAAAAAGAAAAATCAATTTTAGTATATTAAGCAGGCGGGTTCAACCGTAAAGACACCCAGAAGACCTAAGCTCTAAAGATCTCAAAAGACCGGTAATCTTCAGCTTTACTGGTCCCTAGAAAAAAATGTGGTAAAGTACTTTTTCGATATTTTTGGGGTCTGCCAGAGGTAATCGAGTGTGCTGAGTCCGAATATGGGCTTAGAATTTGTTTATTTCGGACCCCGGACCCGAATTCGACTAGTCGAATTCGGGGTAAGAATTCGAAACTATTAGGCTAACGCTATTCTGACGCATCTCTTCAAGCTGAGTCGAATGATATCAAAATTATTGTGTTTCGACATCTTTAGACTAAGTTATGATTAATTAAATACACGCTTGGTTAGACTTCCGTATATAAATCAAACACCATAACTTAGTCTAAAGATGTCGAAACGTAATAATTTTGATACCAAACGACTCAGCTTGAAGAGACTAGTCCGATTAGGCATAAAATTTGAAATTTCGAATTTTTACCCATGTTTGACATGGTCGAATTCGGGTCCGGGGTTCGAAATAAACAAATTCTAAGCCCATATTCGAACTCAGCAAGCTCGATTACCTACTGGAATGCTCAAAAATGTCAAACTAGCACTTTTTCCTCATTTTTTTCTAGGGACCAGTAAAGCTGAAGATTACCCAAAAGACCTGTTTAGGATGTACTCCATCCACGCATTAAAAACCCGCTATAAGTGAAGAGTACCAACAATATTTTAAACCCCACTTGAAATTAATGAAGAAAAAATTAGATAAAGTATGTATATTTTAGTTTAAAAAAAGGGTTATTAAAATACATTAAAAACCCCAAAGTATTTTGATCGTTGGTCCAAAATAATTACAAAATAACTATACTACAAAACTATAGAGAAAGAAATCAGAATGTTCTATTTTCAGTAATATTAATGAAGTAGATCTTTTTAGAGATAAGAAAGAGAAGAAGAAATCAGAAGAATTTTTGTATTTTATTTAATGAAAATGTTTAGATTAAATTCTGAAAATTAAACTACTAAAAAGAAATCAGAATTAAAACAAAAAACAGAATTTAATAAAATCAGAATTTTCTTTTGTATAACTTTTTCCTTAAAATACATTTCAGAAAAATAAGAGAAAGAAATCAGAATTTACGAAATTTGTATATTTTTTATAAAACCAGAATTTTTTTAAATTTAAAAACACAAGTTTAATTAAAATTCTGAAAGTTAACAAGTAATTTGTCCTTTGTATAGCGCCCCATATATACGCAACCCTTTTTAAAAATAATTTAATTTCCCCCACCTCTATTAACGTCATCATTGTCAACAACAATTTTTTGTTCATCATTATTATATCCCTCGTCGTTACTGTTAGTGCTACTGCTATTCCCCCTCCTCCTCCCTTCTTCCATTACTTTATTCCAAACACTTTCAATAGTTTGATCAATGTGTTGTCCTTCTTCTTCTCCTTCTTTCTCCTCTTTTTTGTCAAAAATCAGTCGATGATTATTTTTTTCCTCTTTTTTAGCAATAGATTTTTGTTTATGTTGACGACGTCGTTGATTGGCGAATAGTTTGTTCACCTTTTTTAATGGGGGGAATATTATGAAATTTATTATATTTTTTAATCATTTAATTTATCGTCAAAATGGTAATAAAATGGTTTTTTGATTTATTAGACTTTAATGTTTTAAACAAGTGAAACCACACACCCCACTTATCCGAAACAATTACCATTTACTATCAAGCCTGTCCGATATTGAAATTGTACCTTATAAGGTGTCTTAAAACCCACCCACCTACATATCTCCCTATCCATTTATATTAAATAAAGGTTCACCCAACCAAAAAATTTTTTTTAACTAAATCAGACTTCAACAATCTTTAAATTAAGTCAGACATGTGTACATATTCAATTAAATCCCTTCAAATTTCTTTTAAAACCCCCCGCACCTTTCCATAATTTGTTCCCATTTCTTCTGCTAAACGTTCCTTCTGTTCCCTACTTGGATACAAATTTCCATTTTGATTTAACCACAAAAGAAAATGCCGTTTTTGTCTTTGTTCTTCTTGTTGTTCTTTATAACGATCCAAATCGACAGGTTGAACTCCAGCAGCTTGAAATTGAGTTTCTGCTGCTCGAGCCAACAATTCTGCTACAACCTGCAAATTTTAAATATTTTTTGGCAAGTAGAAAGTAAAGGAAGATTTGCTAGGGGTTTTGCTTAGTTCTTTCTAGAAGATCCACTTAATTACCATGACGAAATCTTCTTTAGTGAAAACTCAATTGTTTAGATCCCCCATTTATTCGCAAGGCATAAACACCTTTAAACCAAATATATGCGGTTAGAACTGTTGGTTCTTGCAAGTTTTCGAATACCCGGATCCTAAGAACTGATAACTCCTCGGTTTTTTGTCTGACAATTTCTACCAACAGGAATAAATCAAAAAGTTCCAAAGCAAATCTTAGAAGAATTCACAATATATTTATTCACCTTTTCTGTATTTGGCGTCTGTAAAACCCCCATTTGTTCTTGTTTTTGTGATTCCTTCCAAGAAGAAATATTTGAAATTAGCCGTTTATGGGGTGTTGAAGCAGTAGACGATGAAACCATTTTTTAGAACATACAAAGGAAGAATTTATAATTTTTTATAATTTCTGTAAGTCTCTAGGAAAAATAATTTTAAAAATATATTTATTTATTTTATAAAAATGTGTACACAAAAATCTTTATTTTTGTGTTGTTGGATGGATGATGATTCATGCCAATTTGAAGAAAAAAGCTGTTTTTGTTGTTTTGGGCTACCCTACAACTCATCCAATCCTTAACTCATCTAACACTTAACTCATCCACACGGCCAAAAACGCTCAACTCATCCAATCCTCAACTCATCTAATGCTTAACTCATCCACACGCCCAAAAACGCTCAACTCATCCAATCCTTGAAATATCGGCCGGTTGAGTCCCTAGCCGGTTGAGTCCCTGGTCAGTTGAGTCTCAACCGGCCCAAGACTCAACCGGTGGTAATCAACCACTCAAACGGCCGGGACTCAACTGACCAGGGACTTAACCGGCTAGAGACTCAACTGGTCATGGACTCAAACGGCCAGGGACTCAACTTGTCATGGACTCAGACGGCCAGAGACTCAACTGGTCATGAACTCAGACGGCCAGGGACTCAACTGGTCATGAACTCAGACGGCCAGGGACTCAACTGGTCATGAACTCAGACGGCCAGGGACTCAACTGGTCATGAACTCAGACGGCCAGGGACTCAAACGACTGGTACTCAATAGTCTCGTTCCAAAGGATTGGATGAGTTGAGCGTTTTTGGCCGTGTAGATGAGTTAAGCATTAGATGAGTTGAGGATTGGATGAGTTGAGCGTTTTTGGCCGTGTGGATGAGTTAAGCATTAGATGAGTTGAGGATTGGATGAGTTGAGCGTTTTTGGCCGTGTGGATGAGTTAAGGAATTTTAGCCGTTTAGATGAGTTGAGCGTTTTTGGGCGTGTGGATGAGTTAAGGATTAGATGAGTTGAGCGGGCACGTTGTTTTGATAAGAGAAAAAAAGGGGAGAAAGAAGAAAAAATAGAAGAGAAGAAAGAGTTCAATAAAAAAATTATGGATCGGCCAAACACGTTGAAATAAACGTCGAAAAGTTTTAAAACCCCAAAAAGGGAAAAATGGGGTAAAATCTTTAAATAATTAAGAGAATATTTGAAATTCAAGTTTCCAGGTCAACAAAGTTTGCCCCAAAAAAGCCATTCAATCGTAGCCTACACAACACCTTTTTTGTATAAATTAATATTAGAAACAAAAAATTTAAGAGAGATCAATCATAAAAAGAGTAGAATTGCAAGTAACTAAATTTTTATTCCAAATTTGTAAAAAAAAAGAATTGGAAGCCTATAAAAGGGTAAGAAGAAATTATTTTAGTTTAAACAAAATTTTTGAAAAATTATAGGAATTTTGAATTAATTAAATTAATTAATAAAAGTAAAAAAATACAAAATTAATATCGAACGATTAATTAATTAAAAGAATGGAACGATTAGCAAAAAGAAAAAAAAAGATAGAAAAATGATTTTTGATAAAAAAAAGAAATTGAATATTTATAAATAAACAATGAATAATGAAATAAATCAACTACAAAAGAAAAGTAAAAATAAATAAATAAAATTATTGTTGAAGAATAATATTTTTATAATAAAAGCGTGGCAATTGGGGGGTTGGCTAACAAAAAGAATGTTTGTTGTAAAGAATATTTTAGAGGAAAAAAAATGAAAGAAGCACAAGTCTAAAAATCTGAAAATTCTTCCCTAGCAATATGGTGAAAGAGGCAGAAAAAGATCTGATTTTTAATTCAGCCCCATCATCGAGATCTAGAGATCAACAATCAACTAAAAATGGGGGTTATTCGATTTAAAAAATATTTCAGCCAACCTAACCTAAATAAAATAAAATTAACTACAAAATAGGCCAAATGCCATTTCTTTAAAAAAATTTCTTTTCATCAAGATAAATACTGAGGACTATTTGTGAAATTTATAACTGATTTAACCATTATAATACAGAAAAATCAAAAAGAAATAATAAAACAAAAAGTGTGGTAAAAAATATGTATATACAGTGCGGTGCATATGTTTACAAACACTAGAAAATTTTTTGTAAATTCTTAATTTTTTATTCAAAATATACGTTTAATATAGCAATCGAAAGCTCTATTCGTATCTCAGTTGACATGTTTCTGCATTTTTCATAAAAATGAAAATTGGCCGAGATAATCCGGATCTACCGGATATACCAAATCGCATAGCCTCGGAAAAAATTTTTGGAAAAAATTTAACAAACCCATTTGATAAAGCATATTTTTGTGAGTATTTACCACAAAGCCGCTTAAAAATATCTTTATCCGGTCCAGAGATATGATTTTTTGAAAATGGCATTTTTCGCCTATTTTTGCAAAAAATTCACTTTTTAAAGGAAAAATGCCATTTTTAAAAAATCATATCTATGGACCGGATAAAGATATTTTTAAGCGGCTTTGTGGTAAATACTCACAAAAATATGCTTTATCAAATGGGTTTGTTAAATTTTTTCCGAAAATTTTTTCCGAGGCTATGCGATTTGGTATATCCGGTAGATCCGGATTATCTCGGCCAATTTTCATTTTTATGAAAAATGCAGAAACATGTCAACTGAGATACGAATAGAGCTTTCGAATGCTATATTGAACGTATATTTTGAATAAAAAATTAAGAATTTAGAAAAAATTTTCTAGTGTTTGTAAACATATGCACCGCACTGTAGTATTTCACTGAAAAAAAATTTTTTCACTTATTGTTATAAGGAAAGGACACATTTTTACTACATTTTAGTTAAAAAAAGGTGTGCAAATGTGTGCAAAATTCCAAATAAAAGAAATGTGTGTGTTTGTAGCAGAGAGTTTCAAACCTTTCAATCACTTTTTAGGGATGAAGGACGACCGACGTTTTAAGTGAACCCCACACCACCACCACATCAACCAAACACCTTCCCCTTCCTCTCAACATATTTACTCTCCCAACCTTCCCATCTCTCCACAATTTAAGTAATCTTTCTTTAAAATTTTTTTTCGTTGAATCTCTATTTATCTAAGCGGACGAATGAAGAAAAATATGTATACCGATCGCCGCCCTTCCTCCCCTATGAATGAAATAGATAGGGGAAGAAAAATATTATGTACTCTATTTTACAGCTTCTCACTAATCTATTGTTATTTAGGATTACAATAAAAAAAAGTCAGGCAAACGATCCTAATATCGACTGGCTACTACTACATTACTGCCTACTTTACAAATAATTGTGAAAAAGGATATGGATTAGAAAATAGATCGGGAAAAACGGATAGAAAGAAAAAATATTTACAAAAAAAGTCAACAAGGCCAAAGTGCAAGCAAAAAAAGTTGTCGAGGATCTAAATAAGAATTAGATACTGAAATTATGCTAAAAATCCGGAAAAAAATCTATTGAAACTGGAGAACCAAAAAGAAAATTTTTTTCAATTTTGAACTGACAACCCTAGAAAATATTTTTTGAAAAATTAAGAAATTAAATGATCAAAAAATTTAGATTTAAAAAATAATACACACAAATGATAGCCCCGTAGAAAAAAACCGAGTCAAATAAATAAAAAAAAAAGATTAATTCATGATTCTGGAACCAATTGAACCTTAAGAAAAATTGTTTTTTGCTGCTCCAGAGAAAGCCGGGAATGGATGGTTATTTAAATCCTTAGTTTTGATTACTTTGAATATTGGAGTGTCAGAAAGTAGTAAGCGTGTTTAATAGAAGGACAGGTTAGAATCTATTAGAATACCTAAATCCCTAATTAAATCTGCTTGAGTAAATAAATAAAAAGGGTTCCATTTTCATTTTGGATCCAAAACATTTTTTGTGAATAGGAAAAATATAAACAAATCCAAGTATTTCATAAAAAAATCTAAAAATCCCAAAAAAGAAGTTGTTTACAATTTTTTCCTTCAAAAAAATGTGGAAAGATTTACATAGTGTATAGATAGGAATAGTTATGGGAATAGTTATGGCTATGTAAGCATCATATGCTTTTACATAGAAACTGCCAAATAAGTATATACTAAAATTCTTACGTTAAGCGCATGCTTTTAAATAATATACATGACATGTTTTCACCCCTTTTGAGCCCTTCTTTTTTCACAATGAGAGACGCTCGCCAAAAAATTTTTTTGTTGTGTCTACAACAGTTGGGGATTGGGGCGGAGAGAGTGGATGTGTGTGTGGATGTGAAGGATAAAAAGTGTTAAAGGATGTTTGAGAGGATGTTGTTAGAGAAGGAAATATGTGTGTGTATGTGACACACGAAAAAGAAGTAAATAAATATATAAATTATTGACAGGCGCAAGCACTTGGTGAGCGAGTGAGACGCGTTTTAAAAGCAGAAAAAGAATGTGCATAAAAATGTGTACAAAATACCCAAAACAAAATTTTTTAACAAAAATGTCCTCACATCCATTGAGATTTTAAATTAAATTTAAATCTCAATGCAAGTCTTTCTCGTTGTCTCGATAAATCGGTCCGAAACACATTTAAATGTGATTCGACTGTGTTTTAAAAATAAAAGGATGGAAATTCCAGAAAAATGATTTTTAATGTCTTAAAAATAATAAATAAATAAACAATGTCTGGAGATAAAAAAATTAGAGGAATAAAAAGAAAAAAAATTTTTAACGCAATTTTTTGCATGATTCTTTGCGGATGCGTGAAAGAAAGCTTTTCCTTCTTTAATAATGTCTGAATATTTTTTACATCAATAATGTAAAAAATATTCGTTCTTCCATCTCCTTTCTCACAAAAATATGCACATACATATTTCCAAAAAATATTTTCACCTTTTTCTAAATTTAAAAAAAATGAGAGAACAAAGCAAAACTCGCGCAAATTAAAAGAAAAAATAAAATGAAAAAAAATTTGTTGTTTGAGGCTGGTACTACCAGGCAGAAAAAATTGAGAATATTAAAATTATATAAGTAATGTTATTGAAGAAAAAATAAAAGAATTGCGATTTCTTAGCTTTCAAAAACATCAAAAAGTTTCCC